CCTACAAGATCTGGCTCTGGCTACTTCCCCATTTGTATTGCCGGCAAAGCGCCTCGGCGATGAATGGTTACATTATGGCGTCGCCAGCGTCCCTTACTCCCTGGTAATAGCTGCTCCATTGACGGAGGGAGACAAGCCTGTTTGCTCGGGTCCTGGTACTAGACCCAGTCACAAGGGTGACAAAACAGACCGCCGGTGCTTAAGCAGACGTGTCAGCAACAGCAGTGTATTTCTCCACGCACAATATTTTGTAAAATATAAGATAAATATGATCAAATTCTTTATATCATTCTATACGTAGCAGATAATTTAATTATGGGATTTGCTCTTAATATTGTCTTTTTTTTCTATCATTAAAAATGAGCCTTACTCAGTGTGCCGGCGATCTGTTCTGTCACCCTTGGGGCCAGTCTGTTTTCCTGACTCCCGACTCCGACCCAGGTCAGGCCTTGGCTTCGGCGCCAGGCATGTATTGTACTCACCTGACAACCAGGCAAGGGAGAATCAGACTCTGGTGAGTCGTGCTGCGCACTCTCTGCGGTGCCTGCCGAGAGAAAGGTCTCAAACATAAATCTTGGCTCAGCTCCGGGCGAGTCAACTACCACGTCGGCACCGCCAAGTGCAGGCTGCATCGCTCTGAAAACTACAGTGGGTTGTAGCTCGGCCAGCATCTGCCGTGCCACACCAACTACCAGCAGGCTAGTCCCTAACGGTGACTGAGTTTGCTTTGCTTTTTGTGAGGGGTCCTCGCAACTGTACGACTTGAGCTCCAGCTTGCCAGGGCTGGTTGAGAGAGCTGAGCGCCCTGGTTAAAAGATAGCGTGGCAGCCAAGGGCTAAAAGACTAGTGCATCGCATGAGACAAAATAAAGGGAAATAATGATACACGGAAGCCTTCATCGCTCGGCATATGCATCGATGGACTGAGATTTCTAGATGCCGGCGCTATAATATTCTTTGTTCTCAGATGGATGATCGCTCGAGACACACATATGACACTAAAAAAATGCCGGCCTAGACCGCATTTCTTCACATCAAGCTTGTGCCACGATAAGAGCAAGTGAAGTTGCTTTGAAAAGCCGTCTCCAATTTCTGCGGGAGCGATTATCCACAGGCGAGGTCCGAAACTGACAGAGCGATGACGACTTGCAATATTAGATGATGCTGTCTAGTCCGGGCCTCGCCATTTTCTCCTTCCTGGCAGTCAAGACCCCGGGGGAGGAGAGGAGGGGGGGTGGGTGTAGCAAGAATGGCCACTTGCATCGGGGACACGGTAGTTTGTGTGTCATCTGGGGGGGCGAGCCGTCTCATAGGTTCAGAGCGCACCATTTCGCCTCTTTGGGATGAGCTATGGACACGGGACGGAGATGATGCCCAAACTGGAACAAACTGTATCTTTGTTGACGGGGGTGCCATGCTCTCGCCCCCTTCTGCCGCCGAGTGGACATTCCAGCAAAGGCTCCGATGGCGCGCCATCCACAGCAGAAGTCTGTACATTGAGATGTACCACTGTCGGTTATTCAGTGCATATCTCCGTACTTTGTCGTCGAGTTTATTTAATGACCCGTACACGATTGTCGTTTCGAGAAGAGACGCCTGTGGCACGTAAAGAAATCCGTCGTGGTGTTTACGCGAGGGTTTTGGTGATGCCCAGTCAGGCTCGAAATTCCCGTTGCCTGCAGTCAAACAAAGTAGTTCAAGCCATCCATTGGTAAATACGTATGAACTATTGTATCTGGCAAGGTTGAAGTGGAGGATGGCTTATGGGTGGTGGCTGCGAGCAACAGTGAAGAGCAGCCATGGCCTCAATCAATAACATGTCCAACTATTAACCAACTACTGGTAGGCATTTACCAGTAGCCATTAACAGTTGCTGCGGTCAAATCGGCCTTTAACTACTATGCTCACGAAAAACCCTCACCATTGCCAGCAACCGATCCCGGCGGTCAACTTTGCAGTCATCGTGACACAGATTCACCACAACTCCCCCACTATCTCATTATTTTTTGCTGACGACTGAATTATTTAAAAAAGAAGAGAAAATTACCGGACGGTGGACAGAGCGTTGGCCCACCCCCACCAAGCCGGCTCTTGCCATGAGTGCCGACGGACGACGAACCCTGCAGACAACTAACGAAAAAGAAATTTTCACATTCAAGCCGGACCCCTTCTCCCGCAACAGCGGAGCCCTCCCCCTCCCCCCTCCCCCTTCGGCAGTCTCTCGGAGCGCAGCATCGCTCTCTTTCCAGCGCGGCGACAGCAAAGAAACACGGGGTGGGTGGTTCCAGGCGCACTCCTCTCGTTTGTACAGTACAGTACAGTACAAACACGTATCGATTCTTCCCTCCCCCCTAGCTTCCCGCTGATGCTTGGCGAAGACTCGGCAATGCCAACGAATGTGACATTGAACGGCCTGATGTGCTGTCTTTACGCCTTGCCCCCCCGCTAGCCAGTGAGTTGTTCGGGCCAGCGGCTGGTGCTATTGCGAAACGTAAGGACAAAGCGGTCCCGGCAATGACGCGCAGGTGGCAAGCCCTACCATTGCTGGCCTCTTTCGGGGCTTTTCAGCTCATGCTACAATGTCGCAGCGTGGCAGCGATACAACAAAACGAATCGGAGACTGAGGTCGCCTGAGGCAGACCTCACGGCCAACGGCAGACACGCAGGTGCTAAACTTACTCAGCAAGCAAGGCCAAGACCGACTGTTGGAAAGCATCTGGGTTATAATTAGGGGTCGGGAGGCCCTCTGAACTGCTGTACCACCACTCGTATTATTAGCAGTCTGTGCCATCGGCGCTAGCTTTTCGCAACGTCGTTCGTTGGCTGCTGTTCTACGCCGAGCCGGTGTTCGCCGACTCGGTTGAGCGAGTCAAGTTGCGCAAGAACGCAGCGAATCCTGCCAAACCAGGCTTGTATGACTTGCAACTCGAAAAAAAAAAAATAGCAACCGCTTGATTGCTTCGCCACCAAATGCTGAACCCACACGCTGCTCGCAAGGCGTAAAAAGAGACACTGGACTCAACGTTGGCACGTTGGCACGTTGGCACGTTGGCACGCTATGTGGAAATGCTACATAATTTGCCGCGACCATCAGCCCACCGGACCGGGCGGCAACTACTCCGAGCCCATTCGTACTTTGTGAAGCGACCACTGGTAGACGTCTTATATCCAACTAAGAGTGGAAGATGCTTGATGGGAAGGCAAGAGGCTAATTTAGGCACTGTTGTCCTGGCCTGGGACCCTGCAGTACAGGACAAAGTCAGCTACCATTGGCACTAACAAAGCTTGAATTGGTAAAAAGCTGCCAAGACTTGCGCCAGTATGAACCGCGGGTACTAAGCCTGGCTCTCGGCCGGAAATTTGGAGTCTTGTTACGAACCAATGCCGCCGCTAATCCGTAGGAATACCCATATGTGAAGAAGCTGTCAACCAAACGAGTATTCTAGCCGTTGCTGACTGCCAAGAGTGTGTGGTCTGTTCAGCAAGCGCCGTCTTGAGCTCAAATTTCGCGTCGCCCCCCCAGCCAAGGCGCTGAAGCTCCGTACCTGCAGGGATCGCACAGAAGGCTGGACACTGCTTCTGGTGCGGCCGAAATCCAGATCGCCCCCCCGATGCCTCGGGTGCTGAAGCAGCAAAACGTGGAGAACGGCATCAAGTCGTCACTAATACAGCGGCTCCGGCGTGGTAGCCACACTTTGTATGGGATTGTGTGTCCTCGGTCCACCTACCAGATTGTCGCCATCCACTAATTATCCGTTGGCGGTTATGAAAGCCCAGTTCATTACTTCCATGTGGCACCGTTTATTATGACCTTACTTCCGGTCCGGTCACCCTAGGGTGAGGGAGCGGTCAATCTCTCCCATTCTTTAAAAGGTGCTATGCCCACACCCACACTGCAAGTTGACAGTACCGCGACAAGTCAACGGATCAACATCAACATCAACATGAACAAAGTGCTGGCTTTCAAAGCGCTAGGGTTGCAAAAAGTCCTTCTGTGTCGTAGACAAGAAATAGTTGCCCAGTTTCAGTCGGGTCCTGAGTGATGGGCTTTTGCATTAATTAGACCTTTGAGAGCCGTTGCGGTGGCACGAGCTATAGCCAAGGAGGGGGGGGGGGCTGTAGGCAGGATCCTAGAACTAACTTAATAGTGGTCATGATATACAGAAGCAGACTTTTGGAAGCTGTCACCACTCGTCAATGCCACAAGCTGGCTGGCTGGTTGCTCTCGTCTGCCTACCACCATTGTTGCTTGCCCACCATCGCTTCATAACCGAAAAGGCAACAGGCTGCGGCGTTAGTGCCTTGTGCTGGTTCTTTTGACTCGAAGCCAACCGCACTCGCCACCCCCCCTAAGTCGTGGAGACAGTTCTCACACCCTCCCCTTTGCCAGTGCCGCCGCCGCTCCCCGATAGAGGGGGGGGAGGGGGGGTGGCTCAGGATGTGTCAAGCAAGGTTGGGGGAGCCCTGAACGACGCATGTTAGTCGGTAGGAGATGTGTTAGTCTGGCCCCATCCCTATACTCCTACGAGAGTGCAACATGGCTTTGCATCCAGCAAATAAACGCTTCACGTTCGTCCCGGCAATCTGGTAACGGCTTTCCTTGGCTGATTTTGCATTGCTCGGTCGTATTTTCTCATCCTTTGGCTCAGCTGCCCCATTTCTTTCTTGTTAGTTGTTTTGTCCTAAAAACGCCCGTTCCCGTCCTCTTTGCTCTTTCTTCTCGATCAACTCGTACCGACCCAACACAACAACTGCATGCATCATAGACTTATTGGCCGGCTTTTGCCACTTCCTCTCTACCAACAGAATCGAGGTCTCAGTCTTTTGACGCACTACTGTAACCGCCACACTGCATCATCATACTTGGTCGGCAGATTGGTACCGAACCTTGACTATACGCACAGAGCTTTTGCCGACCGCCAAGCGCTACTGGCAAGGTAGTATCCCACAGAGGGTGCCTTGATATCATATATCTCTATCCCGCTGCAAGGATCCCTCTCAATGGGCTCCCTTGCATCGCTAGAGTCTTGTCTACGAATGGCCCTGCCAGACACTCCACCAGAATTGGCGAGCCCGACGGCGACTTCATTCTCTTCAAGATCGTCTCCTTCAGCAGATCACATCTGGGCCTCACAAGCACTAGCATCTTTGCCAATGTCAAATTATGACAAGACAACAGGCCGTGATGATCGCGAGGACCGTCGGGAAAGCACGCCACCCCAAGCCTCCAACAACCACCAGCGCCCACAACTGCCTCCCCTCAGCAGCTTGTTCGGGCCTCCATCCTCTATGCGGCCTCTCAACCCTCTCTCCAGCCGCCCTGCCCATTATCAGATGCACTCAACCCTCGATCGTCCTCATACGTTGGCTGCTGGACCTCAAAGCTCGTCCTCTTACTTGCCATCGCTAGCTGCGCAGCCCAGAACCACCTACGAAGCTTCTCCGTATGATTTGGTCCGACCAGTTTCCGACTCACAATTACCAGGAGCTGGCGAATCAAGAAGCCAGATCAGGACGGAGTCAAGATGGTCTCAGCAAGATGCCGGTCGGCAGGACTACATGCTGGGCACCCCAAATACGACTCGCAGGCATCTCCCTGAATCAAGAGACGAAGCGACCGAGGGCAAAAAAGAAGCCTCAAGCTCGACTTCCCATGCCGCATGTACTCCGGAAAGCCTTGCTTCCAAAGACTCTCTTCCACCAAGAACTTGGACAGGCGCACAGTTCTTGCCACGCTTTTTGCGGGCTGCCGAAGTTCCCGGCGAAGGAATGTGCTACTTTTACGACGATGGAACTCACTGCAAGACAGTGATTGACGGCGAGAATGTGAATGCACTTTGGGGTGTCACAAAAGCCGGCAAGCCAAGAAAGAGGCTTGCCATTGCATGCATTACATGCCGCGAGAAGAAGATCAAATGCGACCCCGACTTTCCTCGATGTGTCCAATGCGACAAGTTTGGCAGAGTTTGCAAATTCAAAAATGCGCCTAGAGGTGGCCAAACGACTTCGCCATCTGCACAATCTGCCGAACTATACAGTGGAAAGAACTTGTCTTCTCCACGAGCTTCGCGAGACTCCAGGTCCCCTGTTGTCCAGCCTGCCTCTCACCAAAGCTTCGAAGATGGCTACCACAAGCGTTTAAAGCTCGGAGCAAATTCCTTCAGCCATTCAAAGGGCACCTCGCTTGCTGCTTCCGACGCTCTGGATCATTCAAAGTCTCCTCGCCCACCATATCGACGCCCGTCCGACTTTTCGCGCATTTCAGACAATGATCTATGCCGTGCCTGGCGTACTGACGTGTACATGTCTGACCCTCGATCCATCAACGATGTTGTCATGCAGTTTTTTGTCCACATTGATTCTACAATGCTCATAAACTTCTTGCCCGAGACCATTTGGAAAACGCATCTTGCCCTCTCGGGCGATAGAAAGCTCCCGGAAGACTTGATGCTTCTTTACAGCGTTCTGACTATTGGAGTTGCCCTTTCCGGCGGCCCAAAGCATATTGCTTCCGAGTACGCTCAAGTCGCGCATTATGCGCAGAAGAACCTCGGATTTGATTGCCTGCAGCTCGTCCAGAGCCGTATCCTCATGGCTGTGTATTACATCTCTATTGATCGTATTCACGACGCCAACGAGTTGCTATCGTCAGCTCTGGCAGTCTCCAACAGTTTGCAGCTCAATGTGGAACTTGAAAAGTCTACAGAAGCGAACATGACGACCTATCCTTTTGGCATGTCTAGAACAGGGTATAAGGAGAGTCGTCGTCGCACACTGTGGTCGCTTTTCATGCTTGAGAGGTTTAATGGCATCTTTCCCAACAGATTAGCTATTATCAACGCGGAAGATCTCTATATTCGTCTGCCCACCGACAACGATAGCTTTGAGAAGCAAATTGAGCGAGACGAGCCCATGTTTGACCCCTACAACCTCACAACGTCTGCGAGGCTAGGCTCGCACAACGTTCTAGCCAGTCTTGTAGAGATGGCATATCTATGGTCTTATTGCCAAGTCACACTTTATCGCATTGCGTGCCGTCCAGCTGCCGCGTCGGACGAGTCAACCAGAATACAAACTCTGGCAAGAACGATTAGGAGTTGGTTCTCATCTCTCCCCGAGCACCTCTCATTCTCCATGAACAACCTCAAGGCCTCGGCTGGCGCTGGTAATGCTTCTTCGTTTCTCTCCCTGCACCTTTTGTATCATCACGCAATGATCAAAGTGAACCGTCATGGCTCCGCCGCCACGGTACAGGTGCAAAATGGCTATGCGCACAATTGCTTCGGCCATGCCGCTGGCATAGTGGATGTGCTGCAGACGGTTGACAATCTGCGCCGCACACAGGCATCTCTCATTATGCTACCCCGTGTCACAGCCGTGGCTACTGTCGAAGCCGTCGATGTCCTGACCGCGAATGGCACCTTGTCAAGCCTCTCGGACCAGATAAAAAGTGCCAGAGATGCTCTCATGGCAGTTGAGCGTCTAGCAAGCACATGGGAAGATGCCACTCGCTCCAGAATCGCACTACACAAGCGTCTGGACGAGATTGTCTACATTCAGAAGCATGGCGCAAGACCGGGGAGCCCTACCCGTGGCTACATCGTGCTGGAGACGAGCAGCGGCAGCCACTGGCAAATGTGTGAGCCAATCGATGCTCTACTACCCAGGGAGATGGATATTGTATATACACTTCCTCTCTAAGGTATGCTGCTCTCAACCTTTTCATTTCATTTTTTTTTTAAAATTTGCTCGCAAGCACTGTATGTGTCCTTGCAAATCTTGCGTACTTTGTCGTTGGCTGGCGCTCTTGGTATATACTCCCCTCAAATCGGGAAGCGGGTTGAAACGGAACCTTGGATATTTTTGGTAGACAATTTGGGTGCATAATGGAAAATGCATGCGAAAAAAGCCACTCTGTTGGCTAGCACGATACGTTTTTGGTTGGATAGCCTACAGATAAGCTGTGGCATCTCGGGACAGGAAGAAACGTCTTAACAGACCGTTGAACACGTTATATCACAAACAGGAATATTTTGCAAACATCCACTGCTGCCTCTCTACTCCTAAATTGAGGGATCTTGCCGGCTCCTTAACATTTTTCGGATAGCTCGAGACTTTCGGCTGCCAATTTTGCCGAATGTGTACAAACGTAGCTTTAGTCTCTGGTGATGATCCGGTCGATCATCAGTTCGTCCATGCTGATCACTAACTACCACGATCCAGCGGGGCGGATCCGATCAATCAGTGTCAGCCTGCTGCCAAAAGAGCAAGACGCTTTGAACGATTAGAAGCCTTTTTCTTTGAAATTTCTACGCCGCTTCCTGGCTTCTGCGTGGATCGACATGGCTTCATAGATAGAAAAGTGCCTAACCTGCTCGCGAGAACATTGACACGAGGCCCGTGTTCCGGTACAGCGATCTACCTATTCCATTATTCCGCTTGCTTATATAAATGGGCGGTTTCAACCTCGCTTCATGATGAGCCACTGCTCGAAGGACGAAAGCCTTTTGTTTCGCAGGTTTGGAGGCCCGCACTGTGGGACGGGTTGCCAAAAGCCATGAGGCCCTCAAGGAGCTCGGTACAATTTAGCATGGGGCTCTGTAGGCATGTTGCGGAAGCACATCGCTCATCCCGGGATCAATTCAGCAAGTCGGCGGAGGAGTCAAAATCTTCATCAATAATACACTTCTTTGTTTTGTCCAAGTTGCAAAGTTGGAAGCTGATGGCTTCCCGTGCTGCGTGTACCCACCAGCACGTGATGGCTTCACAACTTCGATTGCACGAGGACCTGGCCACAACATCAACTTGACAAACCAAGACTTTGCATTGCATTCTAAAAACCATCAATTCAAGTTCATGTATTGGGCCTCTAATACTACAATGGTATATACGCGCTGATCCCACCTCTTCCCGAACCGTTCCTACTCAGCCCAAAATGGCCTTTTCCTGCCAGCCAGTGGCTCACCTAACGGGCTCCAACAGTATGAGCTTCCCTCTCGTTGCATTGATTGTACACCACTGAAACCCTATATCTAAAGGCCCCGTACATGCGGTGACATATTCTTCATCACCTGGCACCTACATCCTCACCGGTTCCGCGGACCGCGCCATTCGGCTGTACAACCCACAGCCTACCTCTTCTGTGCCCAAGACGGCCTCGGAGGCATCTCTCGCCGCCTCGTCGAGCCTGCCGCAGGGCCGGCTCATTCAGAGCTACGAGGCGCACGGCTACGAGGTGCTGAGCCTGGCCGTCGCCGCAAACAACACATCGTTTGTGTCGGGCGGCGGCGATCGCGCCGTGTTCCTCTGGGACGTGGCCGCGGCGGTGACGACGCGTCGCTTCGGCGGCGCCAGCGCCCACGGACACACATCCCGCGTCAACTGCGTGGCGTTTGCGGGCGAGGGTGACTCCATCGTCGCCAGCGGCGGCTTCGACACGACGGTGCGGCTGTGGGACGCGCGCAGCGGCAGCGCCAAGCCCATCCAGGTGCTCGACGAGGCGCGCGACGCCATTACGTGCCTGGCGGTGCGCGGGACCGAGGTGGTCGCGGGCAGCGTCGACGGCCGCGTGCGTAGCTACGACATCCGCATGGGCACGTGCACCACCGACGTGGTCGGCGGCCGCAGCGGCGTCACCAGCGTCGCCCTCACCCGCGACGGCCGCGCCATGCTTGTCGGCACCCTCGACAGCAGGCTCCGCCTCATGGACCGCGACGACGGCACCTGCTTGAGGGCGTACGCGGACTCTACCTGGCGCAATGAGGAACTGCGTCTGCAGTCGGTGCTGGGCGCCAAGGAAAAGTACGTGCTGGTCGGCGACGAGATGACGGGGGCGGACGAGGCGCGCCCAGGCGAGGGCAGGGTTCTGGCGTGGGACCTGCTGAGCGGCAAGCTTGCCGGTAAGATAGCGGTGCCATGGGGGCCCGAGGGCTATGACGCGCGAAAAAAGGTCGTGGGTAGAGATGGCAAGGAAAAGGTGAGGAAGAACGTGATAAGCTGCATGGCTTGGCGGGACGATGGCTGGGGAGACCAGTTTTGCGTGGGAGGTACGTCGGGCGTTGTCACTGTGTTTGCCACATGATTATGATATCCCCTTTGCATTTATAGAGTTGTGTGTACATGCTGCTTTTCCAATTGGGCGGCCGTTTCGCGAGGAGAGAGCATGATGAATACAATATGCATTGTAGGTGACTCGAAATCGTAAGCTCTAGCTGCAAACACCCTGCCCATCAATCCTATATACGTGTGTACGGCCGCTGGTCTCCAATAGCAATGCACCCCAAACGCCGGCCAGAAAACAAAGGTCCAGATTACACGCTTGTGCGCCTCGTCTCCCATTTCCCTATGAGCTGACTTATTTTTCAGTGTTTCTCATCAAGTGCTTGAATAATATTAGAATTTCCACCTCGATGTGGAACAAATGATGCATTTTTCGTTTACATGAGCGTTGTTGTTTCGTAAGAATGATGAATCGCACAACTTCACTTGAGACGGCCCTGTCGCGAGGTTCAGTCCATGTGAGCGTACTTGAACCAATTTGGTCGGCAATCTTCGCGGTGAAGGAATGGCTCTCCGTCTGTTAACCGGCCAGTCACGCATCCCTTGCACTTGGGCGAGTTGGGACAGTTGAAGAAGGGAATATGTTGGTAGCCGATATCGCGGAACCAATGAATCTTACTCTTGTCTTCAAAAAGACCAACTGCGATACTGTGGACAGGGGCGTCACCCCAGCGCTCGTAGAAGAAGCCGCCTGCCTTGTCCAGGTGGTTAAAGTAGTCGTCGTACACCTGGCTGCGCCAAAACTCCATGTCGGCGACCTCAAAATTGGTCCAGAAGTGACATGTCGAGAAACCTTGGGCGTTGTAATTGTGCTCAGGTCGGCGCTCGCTGTCAGTCACCCACTTCACGGCATTGTTCTCTTTGAGGTATGTTGGGTGGTCTGCGAGAAACTTGGCGGTTTCGGGCCAAAGTGTGGGCAGAGTATTTGGATCGTCGTAGAGGGTAATTGTGAAGCCATATGTCTTGTTGTTGTCGTGCATGTAGCGGAAGACATCGTAGTCGACATCGCAGAAGAAGTGTACTTTGGGCTCGACGCGCCAGTAGTAGCGGACATCCTTGAGAGCAGGATGCTTGTAGAACATGCCGCTATTCCAACGGCACATCTGGTGGTACGACATCATCCTGGCATACTGCACGCCATTCTTCTCGAGAACGGTAGCAGAGGCTTCGAACATGTCCATGTCGATCCAGGAGGGAACTGCCCAGTGCTCGTCAGGGATGACCTCTGCGGCCAGCCATTAGTATCGCTTATTGCGTCGGCGTGCCATACTTCGTCTTCACCTACCGTAGTTGCACTTAGCTTTTGTTGCTGCGCTGGTCTTTCTTTTGAATTCTTCCGAGAAGGGCTCGTCATTGAAAAAAGTCCAAGGGTAGTTGAACTTGTGATTCCATGTCCTCTCGAGGTCGACCATGGAGGCCACCATATCATCCACTTCGCTGTTTCGAACAAGTGCTAGCAGGGTCGCTGGTATACGGTCGGTATCTTTGGCATCGGGGGCATATTTGGAAGACGTGCGGACGAGGATGCCCTCTGGTTCGCCGGTCGCTGATAAGGGGTTAGCAACGCTGTCTTGACGCGCCTATTGCTACGAAGGAATGGAAATCCTCACGATCCAGGTTAGGGTCTCGCTCAAAGTTGGCATATCTGCCGGCGGGACCGAAAATAGAGGCTGTGGGCTTGAACACTTGGTAAAGAAAAAAGCACCAGAGCACAAGGGCCAACAGGCCGAGCATCCTGACGGGACGCGCGATCGCCATGGTGGCGGAAGCTGTAATGTGGCGCAGTCGGAAACTCGTGTGGTCGAGCAAGGCTGTATCAGCGAAACATGAAGTTGGTCGCGTTGGGACAGTGACGCAGGATGATGCTTCGGAAATGCCTAAGGAGTAGAGTGATGATGCTCCTGAGGCTATTCGCAGACAAAGCTTTGAAAGTCTATGGGCGAAAATTGAGGACGGGGGCGAGACAGAGACGCTAAGGTCAGAGATAGGGGCTATTTAGTGGTCAAGGACAATTGCTGTAGGGAAGCAGCACTGAGCATAGTGGGGCGCTTGCGCGATCTGGGCTTGAACCTCGTGTGAACAGCCAAACAGCGAGCCATCGCGCCTCAGTTGATGATGTCAGAGGAAAACTTCCAATCGGATCATATCTAACAAAATGAGTTTTGGTTTATGTTCTGAAGATGCAACAAGGCGTTATGCTGGTCTTGCCGTAACATGGCGCGCAAACCAAAAGACACACCAAGATCCGCTGTAGTGCTATCGGGACTACCGTACCGTACCGTGCCCCGCCAAACCGCTTAACGCGTTGCCTTCACATCAACCCTCACCAAGCTCTCCCTAGTAGAATGCCGGTGTCCAAGATGCCTATGGTCGCATCATGGCGTTTGCTGCAGAGATAGAAGGCCTTACTGGTGACCTGATCAAGGCACTGAGCCAGTCGAGAGCCACTGTGCGTTCCTTACCATCACTCCTAAGTCTCCAGGCGACTGATCATCTGATAGACTGACAAGAGCTTTCTTCGCACGCGTGATGCTGCTCTTCGGGCGTTTAAGACTAACAAGTTTCTTCGAACCAACCACTTTGAAGTAGAAAAGTCACTATGTGGACTTGAGGAAAAATTCCGCGTTCACAACAGAGATGCCCTTGCGAATGAGCTCAAGGCGCGCCTCGATCTGCTATCTCACCTTGGCTTCAAGTGGTACCCGGAAGCTTTACATCTATTACTAGAACTTTCAGATCAGCCTACATACAACACCAAGCTTGAGAACATACCACGCATCTCCGCAGACGACGATGGTGGACCCAAGCTACGATGGGAAGACATTGCCCAAGAAGATGGGTGGGCACAGGACTCGGACATCTGGGACTCCATCAACTACAGCGAAGGGTCCGGAGATGAGATCTTTGAAGATGATCCCGATGATAAGTCCGATGAGAGTTCGCATTTTGGTGGTGATGCCCCTTCTGGCAGAACAGTTCAAGATCTCATCATCCATCCACAAGACAATGACGCATTAGAGGCGGTCATAAAGCAGCAGAAATGGAAACAAGAAGAGCCGACACGAGACCTCAGTGGAAAGGTGCGCAAGATTGGCCTGTCGGAAACGCAGGCCCTTCGTGAAGTCTTGTTCATGCTTCACGGCCTACCCACCACATTATTCGACGCGGATGGCGCACCAGATCCGGCGTTTCAGATATTCAACATAGCATGGCAGACTCAGAAGTCTCTGCTGACAGCATTTTCTGAAGCTGGCGGATATATTAACATTCTGCGGCGCTTTGCGGCTCAAGTCGAAAAAGAGCCGCAGCTCCAAGCTCTTCAAGACTGCGTGGCGAAGCGGGTACGTGTGTTAGATGACCACCTCGTGCGCATCCAAGAGCGACTCGCTAGCCCTACCGACCAAGTCGTAGTCAGTCTCATCGCGGCCAGAGAGGAGCTGACACCCGTGCTGGAGCCGCTGTTTAGGTTGTCTGGAGTGATTCTAAAGGTGCAGCAGAACCCAACGTCGGATAATTTTCGATACCTTGAGCTGCTGTTTGACGAGTCGAGTATGGCGCAGCTGACTGGAAACCAAGAGCTCTACGAGTTTCTAGCACGCATATTTCTAGAATGCTTCATCGTCTACCTGCGCGAGATCCGCAGCTGGGTCCAGGAGGGTAGGCTGCTGCCCAGCGACGAGGCCTTTTTCATTTACAACGGCCAAAAGGATGTGCCATTGGGTGGCATCTGGCAGCACCGATTCAAGCTACGCCGGACGGAGGACGGACAGCTCCTCGCCCCAATATTTGTACATCCAGCTGCCGATAAAATCTATACGACAGGTAAGAGCATCGTCATACTGCGCCTCCTCGGTCGTCTCAAGGTCGAGGATACTCTGCGCAGCGACCAGGATCAGATTCTTACCTATGAGTCTATCTGCCCTCCCGGGTTCGAGTCGGCTCCGTTCCCGGACCTCTTTAACTTGGCCCTCGGCCAGTGGATCGACCGCACATACACGGCTGTGTCCTCAAGCCTCAAGACGGCCCTCTTTGACGACTGCGCTTTTGAGGCCGCGCTGCGCGCCCTGCATAGCGTCTACCTCATGGAGGATGGCGCTGCCGCCTCGGCGTTTTGCGAGCGTCTATTTGCTAAGCTCGACACCAAGGACGCCACTTGGCAAAACCGCCGCGTCCTGACGACATCCGCGCAGGAAGCGTTTGCGGGCACCGTCGACGCCAGCCGCCTGTCCATCAGCGTCGACGCCGCCGACGCTCGGCATGTGTCGGCCACGGAAGCGCGCAACTCCGTTACGGCCGCGCTGCCGCTCGTTCAGGTTGCGTACAGACCGGAATGGCCCGTGCAAATGATTCTCGACGAGCCGAGCGCCGCACACTACCAGTCCGTCTTTACTTTCAGCCTGCAGATCAAGCGCGCCGCGCACGCGCTGCACGCGGCCAAGCTCCGCGGTGACCTGAACTTCGAAAATGACGCCTTTGACGACGGCGCGCAGAGCGAGGCGCGCGGTCTCTTTTACGCTGCCCGCAGCAGCCTTGTCTGGTTCGTCAACACGCTGCAGACGTACCTCGTGACGGTTGTGCTGGTCCCGCAAACGGCGCGCATGCAGCGCGAGCTCCGCGCCGCGGCCGACGTCGACGGCATGATGGCCGCGCATGCCCGCTGCGTCAAGCACATGACGGACCAGCTGTGCCTTGGCGCGAAGCTGGCGCCCCTGCGGGCGGCGCTCCTCGAGGTGCTGAACCTTGGCCTCCGGCTCGCGCATGCGCGCGCCGAAAATGGCGTCGCGAGGATGGACCGAGATGGTGACGATGTCATGGGCGGCGCCGGCGACAGTTACGTGATTGTGCTGAGGCAGATTAGAGCAGATTTTGCGCGGCTGGTACGGTTCATATGCGGCACGCTGAGGAGTGTAGCGAGGGCCGTCAGCGATGAGTATGCCGTGCGGTGGGATGTGCTCGCCGATATGCTGCAGCCTGGCCATGGCGAAGAGATGTAGGTAGCACGTCATTTACCATGTTGCGATTACGAATATAGACAAATGAACGAGAAGTCGAGATACGACTTTTTCAAAATATGCTACTGCTGGTTGATCGCCAGCATGACAGTAATGGAAACATCAGAAACGTTACCTTCAAGTGTCTATACTTCATGGAATGCAAGACCCGTTCGAGAAAACTATCATAATAGGGAAAGAGATAAGACAATGCTCTAGTCATCGACTGTGGCGCATCACTGTACCGCCACGCCAACTGGCAAAAGACGAGGCATTGACCTCAATACGAGCATTAATCGACTAAATATGGCTTATGGAGTATATAGATGTTCGATACATTGATTTAGGAGGCGCCACGCTAAGGGAGGTGGTCACGCGACAGCGGAGGTGAGATTCAGAACGATCTGGGTGGCGGACATGGCATCTTTATTGCATAAGGACATGCCGTAGGAAATTAGAAGCCTTTTCTTTTATCGATTCATAATTTTGCGAATTTTTTCAGATGCCGAGTGGTGTAGAATCAAGCCGCTGGACAACGGGAAAAGGGGCACGCTGTGGAATGAACAAAGCCACAGAGAGCCAATTGTGTGGGGTTAGCAGAATGGGGCTTGGGGTCCAAATATAGCACGTTTTAGTGGTTGGAGGTCCTGTAAGAGGCAGCATAACACGCTCTCTCGTGACAAAATACAGGAGACAGGCCGCCTATATGTCCTTTGAAAGCCCCCCCTAAACAACGCCCATCGACGCAATACCAATGGACAGCAGTGCGTCGTCCCAAGTGGCATGGACCCGCTTTTTATTTTATTTTTTACCCTGTCAATGTCCAATCTGGACCTCGTCGTCGATCGTCTCTCCCCCTTTGCTTGAGCAAAGACCAGTTTGCGCTTACAGCTTTTTTTTTTCTTTTTTTTCTTTGCACCACACTCGCTTCTGCCCGTTGGTCTAACCTGTTCAAACAATCTCTGAATCTTTGCATCGATTTTCCTGGCTGTCTCTTACCTCTCAACACTCGTTTTCCTCACATTCATCGCCCAGGCGCACCAGCGCTGTCTCGGCCCATCATGAGCTTCTTCACGGCCTTGATTGGCTTCTTGGCCCCCCTCATGATCGCACTGTCGCCGGTGCTGTCCTACGGCGACCAGGCTCTCGCCATGCACCGCAGCAAGTCGAGTTCCGGCTTCTCGCTTGACATTCCGCTGATCATGCTCATCGCTTCCTTTCTGCGGTACGTCATCCCGCGACACGCTGCGCGCGCGCACCTCTCCCTCTCTAGGCTCTCCTCCCCCACCATATCGCCAAGGCTATCGCGGGCATCACCTTTTTTGCTCTCACGTGCTTATAAATTTGATTCACAGCATCTTTTACTGGCCCGGCGCGCGATACGACACGAGTCTACTTGTCCAGTCCGTCATCATGGTCGGCATGCAGCTGGCGCTGCTCAAAATCGCCCTCGACAACCGCCCCAGCCCGTCGTCCAAAGGTGGCGAGTCCAGTCAGCCCTTTAACGGCATGCAGGCCAACGAAAAGGGTTTCGTCGAGGCCATTATAAACTTTGAGCGACCGTACAGCTTCTGGCAGTGGAAGGCTGACAAGCCGTACGTCCCCGACGGCCAATGGAGGAAACCATCCCGGTGCGCTTCGACACGCTAACAGTACACTACAGGTTCTGGCAATTTCTCATGTACTTTGTTCTCGCCCTCTGCGTCCTCCAGCTCCTCTTCGCGCCGATCCACTCTTTCTACGGCTTCTACTCCGAGATGCTGGGTATCGTAGGTCTCTCTGTTGAGGCCACCCTTCCGCTACCGCAAATCGTCGCCAACATCCAGACCCGCGCCTGCAAGGGCTTCCGCATATCCGTCCTCGCCAGCTGGCTCATCGGTGACGCCATGAAGATGATTTGGTTCTTCACATCGACATCGGAGATTCCCTGGATCTTCAAAGTCTGCGGTGTCTTCCAGGCCAGCTGCGACTGCCTTCTCGGCCTGCAATACTTTTTTTTCGAGACCCAGGCCGGCGCCCAGCTGCTCCAGTCAACCCCGTTCGGCAACAGCAGCAGCAGTCCCCACGGTGTCCAATACCACCAGATGCAGCAGATGCAGGAAACTGGCTGGGACAACCACCCCCACCACCAGCCCGAATACAGACCCTCCATGCATGCGCCCTCGAGAAGCCTCACCCCTACGAGACGGCCTGCGCCTTTTAGCGATGACGATGCGGAATAGAGGCCCCATACGACCTGTCAATTAGTTCAGGCAAGCTAGCAAGTCGCCGCCGCTCCCCTGCTTTCACCCTCTGCATATTTGCGCGCCGTGTGAGATTTTGATCTAAGAGAACCAAGCGGCCATGAAAGATACTACTTGTAATTCATTAAATCGGCGTCTTGGAGAATTGGGAATAGTGGGCTAATTTCAGCACCCATTGATTTTCTGGGGTTTACCTATCATTATCAGCTGTAGTAGAGTCGCCTTGGTCAGACCTGGATCATGCCTGGAGCTATGGCGTTCTCAGTCGGAGCGAGTAGGGCGTTAGCACCTGTTATGAAGGGACACTAGGCGATGGGTATAGACTACACGATACACTGGCGTACTTTGGGGATTTCATCAATCAAAAATCCAGTAACTGTACACGGCGAATCCTTGCAAGTCTCCCAATTTTTACTTGTGTGTTACTGTAGCTTTGTCGCGTCGCTGCGCAGATGCGGCTCACTTTGCTTGTACTGTTCTATCTCATCAGCACCAAAGAGCACCTGGACCCAGAGGACCCAGCCACCTCACTTTAACATCGACACTCCTGAGCTACATCCTCACTGTTATCAAGCAGCGATTGCTTCGTTCTTGCAGTTTGACTCTTCCAACAGTGTCTTCCGAAATTTTCTCAATCAGACGCCCTTTCGTTGACACGCCAGTCGGAGATAGTGCACGTGCCAAGAAAAGCCGTCGCCGTTGATCCCGTCGCGGGACGAGCCGTTGCTAGCTTCCCGCCGACTGCGTTGTCCGAGCTTTTTATCACGACAAGCCGGCGATTTAAGCCTCAATCTACGAAGTACCGAGTGCTCGATTGACTTCATCATTGGTAACTCAACTGCTCTTAATGCTCTCGACTTCTGAAACTTACGCTAAGAAAGGAGCAATCGCCTCATTGTCAATCTGACGGAGACTCTTGTACAACGCCCGTTTGCAAAGCCCCGCCATCTAGATTGTATGAGACTATAAAAGATCATTCAGAATTCTTTTATTCAGCTTCGTTTCATATTTACAGGCAAGTCCTCAGTCTGACTGCGATGCTCAATTGCTACGTTTCTAGCTCTATTCTTTACACTGCCGCCCCCGAGCCAACTACCGCGAAAGCATTTCACACTCCCAGCGAGTGCTGGCATTCCCATGATGTTCTACTGTCGCAGGAAGCAATAATTGCTCGTTTGTCGGTCAGTCACTTAAGCGCAGCGCAGGAGAATTTTTGCCAGCTGCCACGTGCAAGCACCTAGCCAACACTTGCTGCAGCCCGCTTCTTTCACACCTCTCTTTTATCAACGCACGCCAAGAGCTTTACCTCTGTTTTCCAATTGACTCATTTCCATTATTTGTTCCTTTTATTTACCTTTACAAACGCCATCTGACCTTTTTCTCGTTGCAGCAAGAATTTCTCCCCGCATCGCACCACTTCCGCTGTCCAATTCCCGGCGCCAGATCATGTATTTGCTCTTCTAGAACCAGCTTCCCTCTGATTTACTAACTTCCGGTTGCAGAAACATGGCCCCTTCAGCCTCCAAAGCAAACTACAAGACCTACGAGGCCCAAGCTCGTCTGGTTCGCGCCATTGTCGCAGCCCATCCCTCAACTAAATGGAATTACAAAGGTAAAACATCTACTATTTGCCCCTTGCCCTTTTCACATATATGCGTGTTTTAGTTTCTGTCTTCGCGGCTCTCACAGGAAACGAGGATTGAGTTGGATAGTGATTGACTGTTGCTCGGCAGAGATTGCTGCCTGTTACGGTTCAGACATGACTGAGCATGCGCTCAACCACCGTTTCCGACACATTCGGGCGCAGACCGAGATTATTATGGAAGGACGCAAACTCAATCTCGACGTCAAAAATCTCACCACGGATGAGTCTTCCCTGCCTAAGACTGTTGGCGCCGTGGACAAGAAAAGTACGCCGCCAACGCTTTGTTCATCGGATCGCGACTGTTTCCTGGAGCCACCATCACAATACATGTTTTCATTCAATGCATCAAAAGTTCATGCGCTAACCAGCATTTCATAGACATTGCCAAGTATTTTGGTCAGTCCACCGGCGATGGCATTCAGTTCCAGTTCCGCACCATCAAGAAGGACGCCGATAAGATGCGCGCTACGGCGGATGGCGGTGGCGACCCCTCTACCTGTCTCGATTTAGGTACCTCCAGCGGCTCTTCCTTTACGCCCACCTCGACGCCCAAGACGTCTCGATCACGAAACGTTACCACGCCCTCTACCGCCGGCGGCGGCGGTAGCACGGCGAAACGCAGCCGCGCCGGTCCCCCCGTCGTCAAGATAGAATCGGACGACGACGACCTCGACTCGGAATCGACGCACAACTGGAGCGAGATGGAGTCCACGCCCTCGAAGCGGCCGCGCAAATTTGACGCCACTGGGGCCTCCTCAGGCCAGAGGACTGGGACGCCCTCGCGCCTCGCCGCCGCCAGAGCCAGCGCTACCATCGCTGACTCTTCGGCCCAGCTGCAGACGAGCGAGTCCGAGACCGAGACACCCGCGTTCTCCGTGCCCGAATTCTCTGCGCAAGCTTCCAACGGTGCCGGAAGCGCTGTTCGTCCCTCGTCATCCTTTGCCACGGCCACTACCACAGCCGCCGCTCCGGGCCGCTCCCTGGCGCAGCAGCAGCAGCCGCAGCAGCGTGCCACTCCCTCTATATTTGGCAACGTCTCTGAATTTCAGCAACCCGCGCCGTTGTCAGCACCCACGTCGACGGCAGCCGGAGTTGCGAGCAGCAACCCGTTTAGAACCTCGGGCACAGACGTGTACTTGAGCGGCGGCGGCAGCCATCGCGACTTTGGCACTTCGGCCGCAGACAGCGCATTCTACGACGACCATGATCCAATTGATGGCGAGTGTTAGACTCTCGGCACACGAGATGCTAATCTCTTTCTTCCTTCAGCCGTCTTGCATTTTCTTTGCTACAGGTCTTTTATACCCACACTATTCGCATTGCTGAGGAATCGATCCCTTACTTGATGTGTTGTTTTCAGATCCTTGCACATGTTGATGTCATTTCGTCATTGCTGCCTCTATTTGATGGCCTTTTTCAGAGTTTGGTTCTTCTCATCATCTGTTTCTGGATTTGTCTTTCTTTCTTTGCAACAGACGATAAAATTTGGTTTCTTAATTTCCTTGTTTCCTATTTTTCCCCTTTCTAGTTTCTGGAGTCAGGGACGACAACAAAAAACAGATTAGCTTAGTCACAGAACGGCACGGAAAAGGGATGCGATTTGGATGCTTGAGAGAGGGAGCTCTTCGGGAGCCATGGGAGCCACAGAGATGTCGGCAGGAGAACAATCGCGCAGAATTAGCAATTCTTTCAATGAAACACATTGATACCATGCATGGTACAATTATGTGAATGCTACATTGCATCCGCAACGAATAAAATCCTAATGTATGCCTCCTCCCAGAAACGGGGTTCCTCCCACCCTCTCGTGACCTAGCCTTTATACATGTTCTCAATTGGTATCTCTCCCTATTCCTTCAGTCATGCGAAATTTTCTGCCCCTCAGCACTCTTGTATAATCGCTACCTCTCAAAGGCAGCAAAGCCCTCTACGCGAGCAGCAGATCCCACAGAGCCTGCTGGTCCACAAAATCGTGGTGAATAACATTCACCAGCCAGTAGTCGTCGCGGATGCCGCTCAGCAGCGTCGCGCTCGGCGAGCCCTTGGCGTAGACGCGCGACCACTCGTCCCAAATGTCAAAGGCTTCTTCACACCACGCGCGGAACGAGACCTCTTCGATAATAGTCGGTGTCACGATCTCCTTGCTGGGGAAGACGCCCCACGTCACCGCGTTTGTGCTGGCTGCTGCCGTTGCTGCCGCCGCGCTACCAGAGTTGTCCGAGCTAACGAGGTCGCCCTTGGCGTTGCCGGCGTAGAAGCAAACGACTTCGCGGACGCCCGGCGCTTGCAGCCTGTCTTTCAGAGAGGCCCAGTCGGCGGAGGAGAGGAAAAACTCAACAAAGGCCTTTTGGAAGACGAAGCCGTTGGCAGGGCCCCAGCCAAAGGTGGGATCGGTGGAGCGGACGCTGTTAACGGCGGGTTGCGAGGCGACGGTCCACCAGCCGCGGCGGTTAAGGGCGGCGAGGTGCGTTGTGATAGTGCTCGACTCGGCGAGCAGCTCCTCTTCGCTCCAGGGCAGGGCGGAAAGCTCGCCGCGGACGTGGCGGACAAACATGTCGTCAATGTCGCGGGAGCTGGCCGGATGGCCCCAGAGGCGGACGGCCTGGGCGACCGACATGTGCAGGCTGACGCCGTAGCCATCAATCTCGCCGTAGGCGGGCGAGCGCGAGTCGCCGAAGCGGCCGTTGGGGAAGTCATCCCAGGTGGCCTCGCGGCCGAGCGCACCCTCGCCCTCAGAGATGGCGAGCGTGTTGGCGCGCGCGTTGAGCTGCGACACTGCCGCCGGCACGGCCGCCTCGGCGCCCGTTGCCTCCCACTCCGGGTTGGTTCGCCGCCCGCTACCGCTGCCGACGATAACGCGATTGTGTGGATCTGAGCCGACAGACGAGTGGCGCCGCGAGGACCGCGAGTGGCTGCGCTGCGGCGGCGGAATCGCGTGGCCGTTGACCTGGAGGAACGGCGCCGACGTCGGCCCAGCGTCGACAATGACAACCTCCTCCTCATCGGGCGCGTCAGGGATGAGGTGCGTGCGCTCAAGGATGAAGGTAACGGCCTTTTCGAGGTTCAGAGTGTAGAAATGAAAGCCTCGCGGGCGGCCGGGTGTCGTCTTGGTCTTGACAGTGCGAACCTGCTCGACGAGCTCGCTGAGAATATCGACGCCCACGGCTTTGACGCGCTCATCGTCGCCCTTAACGGCGTTGAGGCGATCGAGAAGGGCGGGCGGCATGGCGGCGTGGCTAAGCTTGGCGGTGCGCTTGATCATGGCGTAGCTCTGGATGGGCATCAGACCGGGGAGGATGGGAATGGTCTGGAAGGCTCCGCTGGGGTGGCCGCGCAGCGTCGCCTCAAAAGTGTCGTACGCCTCAATGTCGAAGAAGAGCTGCGTCATGATGAAGTCGGCACCGGCCTGCACCTTTTCGACCAGATACGGTAGGTCGTGCGCGAGTGACTGGCCAAGCGGGTGGCTCTCGTCGGCATGGCCCTCTGGGTAGGCGGCGACGCCGACGCAAAAGTAGTCGCCGTGCTTTTTGCGAATGTACTTGACCAGGTCAATGGCCCAAACAAAGGCTTGTCCGTCGGCAGCGCCGTCGTTGTCGGACTCGTCGTCGTCAGTGGTGCGGTACTCGTCTGTGCGTGGGGGGTCGCCGCGTAGGGCGAGAATGTTGCGGATGCCGAGGGCCTTGGCGTCTTCGAGGGCTTTGTCAATGAGCTTGCGACTCATATTAGTGCAAGTGAGGTGCAGGCACGTCGTCATGCCGAGCTCGCGCTGGCACAGCTCGGCCAGCTCGAGCGACTTGTCGGCCGTCGAGCCACCGGCGCCCCAGGTGACGTTGACAAAGAGCGGACGCAGGCCCTGTTCCATGCGGTGCAATCGGTCGCGCAGATTGGAGAAGCCCATGGCCGTCTTGGGCGGGAAGAACTCGAGAGAAAAGTACTCCCCATCGGCCGGCAGCGCGGCAATCTTATCTGTTATCCTTTCCATATCGAATCGATCGGATTAGGCTGCGAAGCCTATTTTGGGAAAGAAGAGAAGATTTCGACTTGGTGGCGAGTCGTCGACAAGTCGTCTCGTCGTTTTGGCGTTTGTTGCCGCCGATAGTGGGGTTAACTCGCAGCAACCGGAAGCGGGAGGCGACAGCAGCACACAAGGTTCGGGTCGTCGGCTTCACGCTGAAGTATGATTTAAAGGATAGCAGCCGTGCTGTAAAACTCGGAAAGAAGTAGAAAACCGAGAATTTTCATTGATCGAATTGAATGCGAAACCCCTCAACCGCCAAGCCAGAGGTAAAGCGGAAGGAGCCAGCCGCCTGAGCTTTTCGGAGCCCCACGCGGGGCGAAAGAGGTTTGGCGGGTTCAGGAGACGACTTGATAATAGGGAGCCGCCTCGTTGGTTGGCTTGCACAACACAAGGCCACTAATTACATATTGATAATTGATCGACATAAAGTTGCACCGATGGCGGGGAATTTCACAGTGGTCTTGAGCCCTCATCCGAGTCACCTGAGCGGTGCCGGAGTGCGGAACGACGGCACTCTTTAGCGGTCACGCGCTGCTAGATCCCTGCGCCACAGAACCACCAGCCGCTAACTAAACCATCGCACCACCCTTGAAAGTTGGCAACCCTTCAGCCACACTAGCAATAGAGTCAAGAGAGCTCCAACTTTTTACAACGGGCAAACTTCGTTGCTGTCACCACCATCATATCGCAACTTGAAAAGGCGTATAATATCTAATCGTATACGAGCGCATCATGGTCACATCATGATGCAGGTCCTCTACAAAAGGCAGCTTCCTGCGCGTGCAGCTGTCCTGCTCCGATCTCGCGTTGTGTCTTCTGGCGCCTCTCACCAGTCAATACTATTCAACAACCGATCGAGCGCCACCACGACCTCTCATTTCGGCGCGATTCCCCAGCTGCGGCGGTGTTATAGCCTAAATCTCACCTCGATTGACGCGAATTGGCGCAAGAACTGGCAAAATATTGCCGCCAATGAACCCACCCAGAAAGACCGTATCCAGAGTTCGACTAATACCAAATATGTTCTTCCCATGTTCCCTTACCCCTCGGGGGCTCTACATCTCGGTCACCTGCGAGTGTATGCAATTGCCGATGTCGTCGCACGATATCATGGTTTGCAAGGCTACGATGTGCTGCTGCCCATGGGCTGGGACGCCTTTGGTCTTCCAGCTGAAAACGCTGCCCTGGAGCGCGGCGTTCCCCCAGCCGGCTGGACCGAAAACAACATTGCCAAAATGAAGGAGCAACTCGGGGTCATGAATGGCAGCTGGGACTGGAGCAACGTGAGTCCTCCTCAATGCTGTCGATACTCGTCTAACACCATATAGGAGTTAGCTTCTTGCGACCCCGACTTTTACAAGCACACTCAGAAGCTCTTCCTTATGCTCTACGAAAAGGGCCTTGCCTACCAAGCCGAAGCCGAAGTCAACTATGACCCAGTTGATAAAACAGTCTTGGCCAATGAGCAAGTTGACGCCAATGGTTTCTCTTGGCGCTCTGGTGCCAAGGTAGAAAAGAAGCTCCTCAAACAGTGGTTCCTTCGCATCTCAGACTATCGCGAGGATCTTCTGCGTGGACTAGATACGCTTGCCAAAGACGATGCATGGCCAGAGCATGTCCTCGCACAGCAGCGCAACTGGCTCGGCAAATCTACTGGAGCCCTCATCAAGTTCCCAGTCATGGCCATGGGTCATGACATGGGCTCTGCTATTGAGGTATTCACCACACGCCCAGACACTCTCTTTGGTGTGCAATACGTCGCCCTTGCGGCCTCTCACCCTGTAGTCCAGCAACTTGCTGGGGCAGATCCTGAGCTGCGCGCGTTCCTGGATACCCTCCCTGGCCTGCCATCAGACTCCAAAGTGGGCTATCTCTTGCCACAATTTCGCGTCATTAACCCTCTTGCATATCACGACGATACCCCTGATGCTACTAAGGCGTCTCTGCCAGTTTTTGTTGCGCCATATGTGCTTGGTGATTACGGCGAGGGCGCAGTCATGGGCGTTCCGGGTCATGATGTTCGAGATCACACTTTTTGGAAGACGCACAACAGCGAACAGCCTGTCCGGTATGTAATCACAGAATCGCCTGATGAGTCTACAGCCGTCATTCCGACCGAGCCTTACGTGGAGCACGGCTTCATGACAGAGCATAGCGGACTCTTCAAGGGCAAGCACTCCAAACACGCTGGTGAGATTATGGTCAACATGCTGAAAGCGGCCGACCTGGCCAGCCCTGTGGAGAAATGGCGTCTTCGTGACTGGTTGATCAGTCGGCAGAGGTACTGGGGGCCACCCATTCCCATCATTCATTGCGACAGCTGTGGCAGCGTACCTGTACCAGAAGAAGCCCTCCCTGTGAAGCTTCCTGATGTGGAACAGCACTGGCAGGCTGGCAAGGCCGGTAATGCGCTGGAGACATCCCCTGACTTTGTCAACACCGAATGCCCCAAGTGCAAGGGACCTGCGCGTCGTGATACAGACACCATGGACACGTTTGTGGACTCGAGTTGGTATTTTGCACGCTTCGCCGATCCTCACAACAGCAAGGAGCTCTTCTCGCCCGAGTCGACCAAGGCCCTACCCGTTGATGTTTATATCGGGGGCGTTGAGCACGCGATTCTGCATCTCCTATATTCGCGCTTCATTTTCAAGTTTTTGGCTGGCACATCGTTGATGCCTCAATACACTGATGAGACTGCCGGTAGCGCAGAGCCGTTCAAGCGCTTGATTACACAGGGCATGGTTCATGGCAAGACATTTGTTGACCCAGCCAATGGTAAATTTCTGAAGCCAAACGAGATTGATCTGAGCGATGCAACTGAGCCCAAAATAGTAGCCACTGGCAGCCCCGCCGAGGTGCGCTACGAGAAGATGTCGAAATCCAAGCACAACGGCGTGGACCCGACCAAGTTCATCGCCAAGTATGGCGCCGACGCCACACGAGCGCATATGCTGTTCCAGGCTCCGGTAGCAGATGAGCTCAAGTGGGATGATTCCAAAATTTCGGGCGTTACGCGCTGGCTGCAGCGGCTGCACGACGCTGTGGTCAAAGTCGGAGCTGCTACTGCTGCGTCGACCGAGACTGCTTTGGACTATCTGCAAGCCAAGCAGGCTAAAGTTGGCAACATGAGCAAAGCGGATGCGAAGCAGCTAAGTAATGACATTCTTCTCTGGCGTGAGACGCAGCGCATCATCGGCAACATTACCCGCGCATACGACCAGGTGTACGCGCTGAATGTTATTGTGTCGGACCTGATGACGCTCACAAACGCGCTCGTCGGCGCCAAGGACGCCAGTGCCATGATCAAGTGGCATGTGGCCGATACCATGACAAGACTCATGGCGCCCGTCGTTCCAGCCGTCGCGGAAGAATGCTGGAGCGTTCTTCATCCTTCCGCTGGGTCGTTGTTTAAGTCGGCGAGCTTTCCCAAGATGGACGGGTCGTTGGAAATTCTGAAGCCCCAGTCTCAGACGAGTGTGATTCAAGTGAACGGCAAGGTACGCGGCAACCTGGAGCTGCCGGCACCCGAAGGTGGTCTTGCCGGTGATGCGCTCAAGGACTGGATGGTGGAGCAGATCCTGGCTACGGAGGAAGGACGAGCAAAATTTGGTCGAGGCCAATACGATATCAGCAAGGCAAAGCGGGCGATTGCCGTCTCAAATGGGGCGCTGATTAACTTTGTCATGTAACAGCATGTATTTTGTCATGTATTATTAGTCGGACGCAACGTGGCATAGAGAGCATGTAAGCATCGTGCATTATAGAATCAATTAGAAGCACTACAAGGCTAGCAAGAGACGTGTCCATCTCGTTCCAATGTGTCTATATCAGTGACTCATTATGAAAGAAGTCTTTTTGGCATGTATGTACAATATTCTATCACTGTAAAATCATGGTCCATTTCAAGGACCATTTAGTCGAGACGTCTCTCCTCGCCTGGCGGTAGCAGCCGCTCCGTCTCCGTTCCATCGGCCCCCTTCTTGCGATATAAAACATAATGCTGCAGAATAAACAGCAAATCAAAGAAGATGCTAATCTGGCCGAGGCCAAACTTGACCGGGTTGCTCGTAATGCCGCTCCAGTCGTGCTGGAGGTAGCTGTCGATGCCCTGCTGCGCGATGCTCAGCAAACCGCCGGTAATGTCCAGCAATATCTGCCAGATGCTCCAGCCCTCTGTGCTCTGATTTCGGATATTCGTCAGCAGCTGCGGCGTGTACTTGACCAGTGTGACCGCGATCTTGACGTAGCCGAGCGCGTAGACGACATCGAGGTCGCACCAGTCCACCTCGGGATCGACGTCGCGGCCGCCGGACCGCGCACCGAGAACGAGCAGAGCCGTGGCGCCGACGCCGACGAATGCGCCGGCAGTCAGCCCGAGGGCGAGGCGACTGGGTCGCGCGCCCGGGTTCACGTTGTTGTTGTGGTGGTGGTGGGTGGTGCGGGGGAAGCGCCAGAGGGAGCCGCCGACGAGGTACTGCGAGGCGGTGATGGCGGAGAGGACGAGGCCGTGCAGGGCAAAGACGACGTCGTTGAACTGTACAGTCGGGGTGAGACCGCTGTTGCGCGCGGCATACTGGCGGCGGACGGCGGGGGAGTAGTACAGGGCGATGTTGGACGCAGAATAGGCGGAGAAGCCTGGGGGGTGAGAGACGAAATTAGCATCAGAAGCAGTTGAGTGTGATTTGGGGGCAAAGCGAAAGAGCCCCGGGAGGGGGAGCAGGGGCTTTCTGCATACCGAGGACGTTAAGCCAGGGAAAGTCGACCGTGGTGCCCGTCGTCGAGCGCCGCCGGAAATTGAGCAGCGCCTGCGGGTAAAATGAGAGGCTCCAGAGGGTAAAGTAGATCCAGCCAAAGCTGGCTGATATAAAGGGCAGAAATCCGCCGCCGCTGTCGTCCGTACTAGTCATGGTTGCGGGCGAAGGACGGGGGGGGGGCAGCGAAGTCGGTCTCGTGAGCAAAGCGATGACGAGCTGCGACAAGTCTGCGCGCCAGGCCTGCCTGCCTGTACTTTGGAGCGGCGGGCGCCGAACAAAGTCTTTTTAACAAAATTATAAAATAGGAAAAGGCACTCAAAGGAGCGTCAGTGCGACGAGGAAGCGCGCGTATAAATTGAAGAAAAGGGAGCGTGGTGGTCTCGAATCGGGCCGTGGTCAAAGTGAAGAATTGTTGAATGTCTTGGGAGGGTCATGCGGGCTTGGTGTCGCGATTCGGTGACGAAATGACGGGAGCGCTTCCGCCTGATGTGGCGCACACAACAACTCGGCGGATGATGCTCGAGTTGCTAATAAGAAGAACCTCTTATTAGCCTAGCCCAGTACGTCGAGCGCCGAGTCATATTCTGGGGACATTTTCACAAACGTTACCGGTACAAATTATTCGAATCAGACTGGAATGTCGGTTTCAGCCCGACTGAGACGCCACGTCACCGATACTTGCACGGAGTACAGAAATTGAAAGCGGCTGTCTGAGATGGAGTCTAGTTTTGCATGCATTCAAGCAGCGCAAACATAAAAGAAGAAAAAGGCATTTCGAGTCTGCCAGATAAGTTTGATGTTGACACCTAGTACATGATCGTCATGGTCATGTTTGCCCCTCCACGGCATCGTCCAGATGTACCCCGGATTCTTTGGCGCATGTACATGTAGTATGGGCGCCACATCCCCGCCACACTACACAACTTTTCGTTGTTCCCGTACAGTAAATATCCATGAGCATGGCAAAATAACACAATATGCCCGTCCCGAAAACGAGACCAAAAAAAATATTGAAAAGAAAAAAAGAAAATAAGGACAGAGCAGGAAACGTTCGAGTCAGACTCCTTAACCACTCGGACACTCCGCCTATACGACGGAGACAGGACTCGAACCTGCGCGGCCTAAACCATCTGATGTCAAGTATTCCTTAACCACTAGGGCACTCTGCCTTGTTTGCGCTTGACTTATTTGCAGTCTTATAGCTAGCGCAGGGTCTGTAGCGTGATGTTCAGATTCTGGGAAACGACATTTCTCTAATAAGAGATGAAATTTCTTATAAAAAATGCATAGTCGGTTAAATGAGATAAACTTGGTACGCCTGCAGATGGCAATGTGTCAAAGCATGCAAGATGCAAACGAGGGACAACTGAGTTCTGTTGATACTTGAAACTCTATATACAGACCGAGGCATCTCCAGCAGACCGATATATCACGGAAGCCCTATCCCCATGTCCCGCTCCCTCACCCGCTCTGCGAAACGCCCGCACAAGACCGTCGCCAGGTCTCCATCGCCCGGTTACGAACCAGACCCGGGGCCTCTCCATATCCATCCCACTACTGCCCACCCACGCGCTCGTCCTGCCCGGCGCACAGTAGCACACCGCCCACGACACCGCCTCCTCCTCCTCCTCCTCCTCCTCCTCCTCCTCCTCCTCCTCCTCCTCCTCTGCGCCACCGCCGCACCGCGCCAGAAGATTCGCCGTCTCCAGCACCGGCAGCCGCGCGAGCAGCTGCGCAAACGCGCTCAGCAGCGGGCCCATGGTCGCCTCGTCCGGCATCGTCGTCGTCGTCGTCGTCGTTGCCTCGCGAAACAACAACGGCCGGCCCGGGGAGCGCTCGCCGTCGTGTCGCGCCACGCGCCATCCCAGCGGCGTGTCGAGGTCGATGGGGGGTAACGCGGCGTCGCCTCCAAAGTAAAACTGCCCAGCGGGCGTGAGCAGCGCCATGCCGACAGTCAGGTTCCGCAGTGCCAGCCAGCATCCCGCATCGCCATCCTCGTGCAGAAGCGACGGCCCCACGACGCCGGCGTAGCAAAATTCTGTGGCATGCGTCGTCGCCGCGCGCAGCTTCTTGTAAAGGTCCTCGTAGCTGTTGGCACCGACGCCACTCGGCGCGCAGATGCACAAGCCCAGCCGCCCGATTCGCAGCGTCAGACTCACCTTTGTGATGCGCCGTCTTGGGGCGAGCTGGTCAGCCAAACAATCGGCAAAGGCGTCGCGCGCTGCGTCCCGGACGGCCTGTGACGCAATCTGCTCCTCTGCGTAGTGCCACAACACGGCCTGTAGGTTGGGGCAGCGCGCCACCAACTGCGCCTGCTCGGTGAGATGTAGTTGCAGCACGTTGCGCCGCTTCTTTTCCGTCGTCGGCCGCGCCGGCGTGAAATCTAGCGTGCCGACACACGGCATCGCGCCCAGCAGGGGCTTGCCGGGGTGGTGGCAGTCAAAGACGATGCCTTGGCACGTGCGGTGCCGTAGGTCCGGATGCCCGGCTCGAAATCGCAGCGTCAGATCCACCACCGCGGCATTTCGGTCCTCGCCGCCGCCACCGAGAGCATCAAACAGAGGCTGCAGGGCGTTCTGGCGGACGCCGAGACCAGTCCAATGCTCGTGTGTGAGGGCGAGGACGACGGTGAGCGACCGCAGGTAGGCGCGGCGCTCGGGACGGCTCTGCAGCGCGGATCGGAGATTTGCAAGGCCGGAATAGCCGAGATGCAAGTTGGCGTAGACAATGGGCTCGATGGCACGCTGCCATCGGAGAGAAATCGTGGCGGCGGACGCGCGAGTCCAGCACTGCGTCGAGGGCTTGGACAGCGCATTTCTTTGCTGCTGCGTTTGGAAACTGTCCTTTCCACGACGCATCTTGCACATTAGCTTCTTCGCCATGCTGGACTTCGTGTCCGATGTACTATTGCCTGCCGCTGGGAGGCCGGTCATCTCAAGCTTCTCCTCGGGAAGCAGCGCGGCGATGCGGTCAATGATTTCCTGCGATAGTCGATCCATTCTGAGCAGCAATTGATGGAGTGCATTCTCTGATGAGCGGAAATGCTTCATAGACCAGTTACAATGGCATTTTGGGCCAAAGCCCGATTTCGCGAGGAAGCTTGCTCTGCCGAGGTGATGCCCAGACAAGACAAGAAAACGAGGCGTTGCGGCTAGTCTGACGCAGCGGAGCCGGGCTGTCAGCCTCAATTCCACGATGGGCATTTAATCTATCTCGCAAGATTGGACCAGCTTGTTTTCTCCAACTCTGGTTGCATTCCAGATCGGCCTAGCCGTGAATATTGGTCACGCCAACGGTCGCCTCCACGATTCCTTGATAGTACCAGTGCAAGAGACGAGCCACTGTGAGTTTAAGAGCCATAATAAGCCTCAAGAAGATGAAAACATCGCAAAGGCCGGTGTGAAGAAGTTCCAGTGAAGCAAGAAAATTCACTGGATGAAATGTTACCAGAGCTGAGGATGAGCTTGTTCTTTTAGATTATCCATGTGCTCGATAATGCAGGCGTGCTTTGACTTATGCGCTCTCAGCGACGCCAAAACACTTGGCGTCATCGTTTTGTCAGTATTATTTCAAAAGATGGGCGCCTTGATATCATGATCCAAACCTCGTCGAATCCTCGGCTTCTGATAAGCATCTATAATACTTGGTAATAGTAAAAGCGGCCTACGTATTAGGAGGTACCTCGCGACGCATGTGCTGCTTCCCTGTAAACATCGAGCTCAGGCTCGAGAGCATTGTCAGTGCCAGCTGCGACATAATGTCAAAGTAAAATTCCAATGAGCCATCATCTCGGTGGTTCCGACCGTATCGCCGTGAGGCCTGCGGATGAGCATGGATGTTGAATCGTGTGAAATCGACGATTGCCGTTGCTGTGGCTCTGTGCGCCGCTGGCACTAACGTCGCCAATGTCTCCATGCCAGGTAGTTTAACTTCTTGGTTTTTCTTTTATTTTATTTTTTTATTATTTTTATTATTTTTTCATTTAGCAATTTGCAGTTTACGTTTTGCAAGTTTGTCTACTTGTTCAGAACATCCTTAAGAGAATGGTCTTTTTTAATTCTCCCCGTTGCGCAAACATCCGGCTATTTCACCTCAGCACCGCCCTCAAATCGGCCCTTTCCAATCCACCGCCATCTTTGCCATCAAATCAAACGAAAAGCTTCTCGTCTCGCCACCATCATCTCACCGAAAGCACGCGCAACACGCCATCTACTCCCGATCGAACTTACACAAACAGTGGGGTTGCCTCAACAGGCGTCGCTCTTTCGGCGATTCGGAACATGCATTTAGAGTATTCTTTCTCTTAAAAGGGGGGTTGCCCATCTCCAACTGTAATTAGTGGAATGACAAGGTCCAGGTTTTCTTGATGATACGGTCAAAACATTTCCAAAGAGAGGCTTTGTCGTGATTGTGGTGCGTCGTCCTCTGGCCCCGAGTAAGTGTGTGGCGTCATCCTGCTCGGAAATGGTCAGGCAAGACGACAAGGCTCTTATCAGAGCTCTGCTTTCATTTCTCCTCGCATTTTATATATCCCTTGAAGGGGTCCTCTGTGAAAGCGGATTTGGTATTGATCCAGGACCACACAAAGACTAATTACATGGTCGTCAATCCGCATCTTCCTACTGCCACCTTTGCTCGCAGCAGTACTCCACTGCCCGACGCCATGCCGGCCGACCCCTCGGCACCCTCGGCCGCCTCACCGCCACCACCGCCTCGCAGAACCAGCTTCATGGTGCTTCCCCCCGAGGTGCGTCTCCAAATCTACGGCTACCTCCTACGCCTCCCACCCCTCACCGCCACCACCACCACCAACATCGACGAGCCCCGCGTCTCCGCCGGCATCCTGCGCACCAGCCAGCAGATCCACGCCGAGGCCGCGGCCGTGCTATACGGCGACAACGTTTTCCTCGCACATCCCTCGCTGCTTGCCGACTTTCCGCGTCTGCGCCGCTGGTACACGCCCGTCTGCGCCGCCGCGCCGCTGCCGCGCATCCGCCGCTTCCACCTGACGCTGCGCCTCGATTGCGACCCCGGGTTTGACCGTCGCCGCGCCGCCGCCGCGTTTGCCGGCGCCGAGGAGCTGCACATCCGCGTCGTCCAGACCTTCTTCCTCAGCGCCGGCAAGGAGAACCTGGCCACGCTCGAGGACGTGCGTGGCGTGCGGGGGCTCACGATTTGCGGGAGCACCACGGGCTTCGAAAAGTACGTCGAGTGGCTAGCGCGCTTGATGCGGAGCCCACCGGGCACCAAGGCGATGCCTTTCGCGGAGTCAGAGGAAGAACACGGTGATGCTGGTCGGGTGATTATGGCGAGGTGAGAGACTGGAGTGTGCCATTGGGCCTTGGGAACGAGCGCTATGTCGTGTCGCTCTCGGCCCGTGTGAAAGAACACCGGGTGCACATCAGTCGCCCAGTCTCGTCGCCGAATCGATGAAGACGAACTCACCGGTATCGCTTTGCCTTGATGACAGGGATGACTTGGATGCACTCTAAAATCGACATAGGGCCTAATGGTGTCAATATATGAATGTGCGATCTCAGCAAACGGACACAACAAAACGGCCAGGATTCTACTACGGATACCTCTGTCTCATACACCCAGCTCCCCATCTTCTTCCCGGAAGCCTCCTTCCACTATCCCGCATCGCCTCCCTCCACCAGCCCCGCGTCCATGATAGCTGCTTCTCAGATACGAACACTCCTCAAACGGCCTACGCCGGCTCGCACGCTATGCCCTCTTGCGGCTTCTCCGTCGCGGGGCCGCAACGACTCGTGCGGAACAGGGCCGGCGCCGCCGGGTTTTGGGAAGTCACACAGATCTGGGAAGCGCCAGACGGGCATAGTCTCGCTCTCTCGAAACCTTTCAGTGAAGAGATTGGTGTGTATTGTCGTCACAATTTGCTCATCAGTCATTTAGCTTTCTTAAACAAGTGTAAATTGACGGGTCCCCATATTCAGACTGCAGCAAACGCAAAATTCTCCCAGAACCTGATCTTTATAGATATATACATTGTTGGTGTACCCGCTGGTCATGACAATCGGCAAGAAGCGGCGTTCATCAACGACATAGGTTCAGGCAAAGGAGTCGTCACTCGCCTAGCAAGTGTAGAAGATAATTTATATCAGAGACAATTCACATTAATCCACTGTCCATCTGGCAATTACACGACTGGCAGACAATCCGTCACCCAGCTTCCATCATCTCAATTTCGTAATATGTTTGTTTTCTCTATCCATTCTCTGATTTGTTCTTCTCTCGCCAGTCTACCGATATATCCATTTATCAAAAATTCTTGTCGCTTTCCTTCTTTTGTTGTACATGACTCGGTGGCTTGGGCATTGGTAAAAAAAGGCGCGCAAAAACAGAACCTAGCAGAATCTAGCAAGGGAAGAAACGCGCAACAAGAGAGACTGAGAGTACGGGGGGGGAACTGTAAACATCGGGTGCGCCGCAATGCCCTCTTTGTGTCCGAGTAAAAAAAAACGCCGTTGTAAAATCAGATATGATGCAAGGATAAAAATATAAAGAAGAAGAGAAAAGACCATACTTTGCATCATCAATGCCCAAACAAAGGAAACAAATCTCCAGTTCATCTCTTTGCACAACCATCTATCCCATGAGTTTTCTTCTTGCCGTCGCGCAGAAAAAGAAACAGCAAGGTCTTTTTGCTATCAAGTACCTTTCGGGTGAAAAGAAATGGATTCATTGAGACGCGCCGCCACCGCCGATTGCGCGAGGCAGAGTCTTCCAGCCCTGCTCGTTGGGAAGCTTGGCGCGGCCAAAGTCCTCGTCGAGATCGAGGATAATCTTGAGCGCGTTGCGGCTGCGGCCAAAAGGAGTCGTGTCCTGGACGGGGGCCGTTTCCGACGGCCCGCCAGTCATCTTAGGGAGCTCGGCCTTTTGGCCGCCGGGCATAGGCAGGACGTTTTGTAGGAATTCGTAGGCAGCGAGGGTGAAACCGAATTGAGGCGACGAGCGGAAGATGCGCGCGGGGCCGCCCTTGAAGAAGGCCCTGAAGCCCTCCTCTTGCCAGATGGTCTTGGCGGCGTGGCGCAGGCCAGTGTACTGGGCCTCGCCCTTGCGGGCTTCGACCTGGAGACGAGTCTTGATGACGTCGCAGGGCGTCGTCAGGTAGGCGGCGGGCATGCCGGCAATGGCACCGGCGGTGAGGAGCTGCAGGATGCTCAGCTTGTGGGTCGGGCTCTCACCGAAAAAGTCCTTCTTCAGGTGGCTGTAGGTCGGGAAGTAAATGGCGGAAAAGGGCACATCGCGGAGCAGACAGGCAGAGGCGCCCTTGTAGAGGCCAACGAGACCGAGATTGCGAACTATCCACATGGCAGAGCGCTTGGGGGCGCCATCGACAGTCTTGGCGACCTCGCCCTGGACCTGCAGACGAATCTTGACGATTTCGAGAGGGTTGGTGAAGACCTGGATGCGTCAGCTAGAATTGTACGAGGAGCAAGCCTCTGTTACTTACGACTTGGCAACCACCAGCACTGGCGCCAGCAAAGATCTCAGCCCAGAGGTTGATTTCGCCCTTCTTGTTGGTAAAGTGGCCGCGGACGAGGTCATTGACAGTCAGCTTGATGGCCTTTTCCGGAGCGACACCGACCAGCTGGGGTAGGACACCAGAGTAGAGACCACGGAAGCCCTCATTCTTGACGACCTTTTGGAAGCAGTCAATCGAGTTCTTGTACAGACGCTGGCCAGGCTGGGCACCACGCTGGTTCTGCAGGCGGGTCTTGACCAGATCAATAGGGTAGACCATAAAGGCACCAAAAGCACCAGCCAAACTGCCGAGACCAAAGTTGTAGGCAGACTGGGCGATGCTGTGCAGGATACTGCCACCGGCGGGCTTGGTGGCCTTGACAATGGCCGTCAAAGCCTCGTCGAGCGACTCGGCCGGGGTCCTCCACGAGGGGTCAAGGACCTTGGCAAAGTCGCGCAGGCCGAGACGTCCCGAGGGCTCGTCGAGGCTGGCAAAATGGAACAGAATGTCGGCCTCCATCGGGGTGAAAAGGGAAAAGCGGGTGACCTTGGCGGCCTCGTGAAGGAACTCGGTGCGAGTAATCTTGCCGTCGGAGCTACCGCGGACGGCGCGGCGGATAATCTGCTCGACCAGATCCATCTCCTTAATCATGTTCTGGAAGGCGCGGACGTTCGCGTAGGAGATCTTGGTGCCCTTGGAGATGTTGCAGAGGGTGTGAAGGTTGTTGAGGAGGTGGTCGGAGAGTTTGTGCTTGGAGGTCTCGAGGATGATGCGCTCAAACTCGTCGGGCTCAATGTAGCCGTCGCCGTCCTTGTCGAGGAGCTGAAAGGCCTGGCGGATGCGCTCGCCCTGGAGCCCGCGCAACATTTGGGAGAACTGGGGGTAGTCAAGGTTGTGGCGTTTGGAGCGACTGCCAATGTAGAGCTTGGCCCATTCGCAGTCCCAGTCAAAGGGAATGTTCTCGGGGCCCTTGTTGAGCTCGTAGAGGCGGCGAAAGTCGTCGTATTTGACGTTGCCAGTGCGCTCCACGTCAAAGAGGCGAAAGGCGATTTCGTACTCGGCGTCCGGTTTGGCAAGGATGTTTTCAAAGAAGTGCCAGTCGCTAAGGGAGACCCTGCCCTGGCCGTGACGGTCGGCGACGCGGAACAGGATCAAGTACTGTTCACGACGGATTTTGTGCTACGTTGGTAGACGATCAGTTAGCAAGACGTGTTCAATCGTGGAAATCCTTTTCTTTTTTTTCGGTGTCCTCTCCTCGCTTGCGCGAATTCTTCGTCTGTAGAAGCACCGAGTGCACGCGACTCCCTGCGCGCAACAGCAAACGGGGCAATGACTAAAAGACGGTGACGAGAAAAACAAGGAAAGCCTTACAAAGTCCTCATTTTCAGGAGCCACGGCATTGATGAACTCGTCCGGACCCATGAAGAGCTCGCCATTCTCATCCTTGACGGCCCTTTTCGTAAAGCGCGCCTTGCTCTGGGAGGACGGTCCAGCGACGTCGTCGGAGCCGAGGACCGTCTCCTTAACAGCCTCCTTGACTGCGGATGCCGTTTTCGCCATGACTGATGTGCCGACTCTCAATTCCAAAGGAGTTGTAAGGATACAAGGATAAAAAAAAAATCGCAATCCAGGGAAATCCGGGGTACGGACGGGAGGGGACGGGGGAGGAAGAGAGAGATCGGAAGGGGGCGTGGAAGATCTGGCTGAGCAAACAAAAAAAAAGTTTGGTCAATTGGGGGAGAGGAAACAACCTTCAAACGGCGTTTGGGGACAGAAATTCAGAGTACCAAAATCGGGGACAAGTCGGAGCGCGCGGCGGACCGGTAATGGCTCGGGAAGAGACTGGCTGAGCTGGCCAAAAGGTACCGCGAAAGTACCTCGTAGTGTTGCGTCTAATGAATGCATAATAAGCCTGGCCCGTTGTTCTAAACCTTCCATCTGTCAGGTACCTGGACCCGGGCCCTCGCTTTAGTCGGGGCGCTTTGGTCCCCCTGTGATGCCGAAATGCACCCTAAAGATTATTTAGTGGCTTCGGCTCTCCTCCTTTCTCTCCCTCCAAACCCCCCTTTCATAAAACGTCAGCGGCATGTGCCTACACGCAGCAACGCTCAATGTCTTTCGACCGAGTGTGTCCTGAACAAGAGGTACTTCGCAGGTACCCCATCACAAGACCAACCACACCTGGACAGAGCCCGCTTATTATTTTACCTCTTACTACAGGCGCTGGAGCACCCACTACAGCGCGGCCCAGCTCCCAGGCCACGGCTTACGAGAGAATGTCGGACGGGGCGGCATAAGCCTGCGTAAGTCGAACCGATTGCCTTGTTTGCAGGGTCCTCCTGAGGTGGGCTGGCAACAAACATTGTGACACATATACAACAAGAGAAGAAGAAAAAAGTGAACCCCGTCACTCGTGGTGGACAATGTGAGAAAAAAACGGTCTCCTCGGTGTGTCAAGCTTGTGGCTTGAGCAGCCACCTTACTCCGTCTTGTCCGCCATCCGCCCTGCGGAACCAACTAGCCACAGGCCCACGCACGCGAACCGCCACGAAAATGAACCTGCGCTGTCCACAAAGGTTCACGCCGAACAAGTTGCCAAAACGGCGGGTTCCGGTAGGCGCGGGGCGAGCGGCCTCGCTCTGGGTAAATCTTTGTTTGAAATGATGCAGCTGTAATGATCAGCACACACGCGCACGACCATAGAAAATGTTCGTCCGAGTGACTATCGCACACCGAGGTATTGATACCTCACTCACCTTCGCGTACCCTTTCCCTAGGAAAATACCGGGCGGCGGACCCGGCTATAAGATCAGCCGCTTATTTCCAACGCTCTTGGGTATCTGCGGGCGTGGCGCACCGAAGAAAGAACAAAGATAACAACAAAAATGCGTATCAAAGACGCCAAGGAAAGACCGACACAAAACACCTTGTAGAAAAAAAAGATACATTATGCAGCCACAGTACATCCCACGCGGTTCGTCCGTCAAACGCTGCGCGCCTCGTGCAGCCCATCTGCATGCGACGTCGGACCACACAACGTCACACCCAACCGGCGGCTAAATAGTATACGTGTGTGTAGCCTGGGCCCTGTACCTAGGCAGGTAAGTAGTAGGCCTGCGTCTCGACAGGGCACCTGTTTACAAGACAACAGCAATTGCGCCGCCTAACGCGCTTCTCTTCTTACCTGGACCATCGGCGCCATCAAAAGGCTCAAAGCGGTAGGGCTAACCAAAAAGTCTGCACAGCTTCAAGCATACATTGCTGTCTATCGTCGACTGCCAGTGCAACACGCTGCTTGGTACAAACATACTCGACATTGAACAACGTCAAAAGACAAACAAGTATGAATGCAATACCAGGTTGCCATTTTTATCTATTTTCATAAGACATGCTCGTCGAATTAAGTATTTTGAGCCATTAGAGAAATTTCCATCTCGCAAGCGAGCCCTCATGCAAGTCATGATACACAAACTACACTAAAAATTGTCAAAGACAAAACAGACCGAATCCGGAACACCGAAACAACCTTTATCCCTCAATTGGCGGTATAAACCCGCTTGTATACTGTAAATGCTCCATAGTGTCGTGCGATTGCACGGGTTGAGATTTGAACGCCCGCATAGGCGCAGTGTGTTGTGGTAGTGTGAACCCACGATCCAGAGCGAGCTGCACAAGCGTTGCAGCCTCTTTGAACCTCTTTTCGCGATACTTTTCGTAGACTGCTGCATGATGTAAACGCGGGTGCTCGCAGCATTCAATCAGCATCGTTACCAGTGGCTTCAGCTGGCTCCAGGTGTAGCCTGAAAAGTAGACATGAGCCTTGGTCTGTCAAATTATGTTAGTAACTCATAGTGCGATTGCATCTGTGTCGCACGTACCCAGTCACCCTTGTTCAGAATTAACCTCGACAAGCAGTGCGCACCAGCTGCCAGAAAGCTGGGTGGTGAGGCTACAAAGCGCTCATCCATGATTGTGAGCTCAAGAAAGTACTTGGCCAGCGTGCGCGTGTCCAAATCATAATCATCAGCCTTGCTGACTCTGCGCAGGAAGCTCATTGGGCCGGGCCAGCCGAGCTCAAAGTTGAGCATGCTGAGCATAAAGCGCTCAGCTTTGAGAATCTCCTCGGGGGAGTAGCCATTGTCGACCATGAAGACAATTTCATCCATAGACGGGCAGTTGATTTCCTCATACTTGGATGCCACGAGCAACGCGGTAGCGCCGACCAGCTGCAACTTCGTGACCGAGATGATCTTGTATGACAGAAAGCGGTCAATGTAGTTGACGGTGAGAAATAACGTTTCGGGCAGGAGAGCAAAACGGCTGTGAACTTGCACCAGCCAGTCCATCAAAACCGATCGCATTGACCATTGAATTTCTGTTTGCACCTCCATGTAGTGGGGGTTGGGGAGCATCTTGATCTGCTAAGCGGTTAGCTCAGTCATCCCTTCTGGATCCGTTTAGTCACATCTACTTGCCTCGAGCTCGTGCAGATAGTCAAATATTTCGTCACCATACTCTGCCACCATGCTGACGTCCCAAGCTTCTTCTTCAAAATCGGCAGTAAATCTCGATTCCTCCACCTCAAGTCTAGCCTCCTCCAGCTCCCGTTGAACACGGGCCGTCAGACGGGGAGCGAGCAGCGTTGTGGCACCAACAGTAGTATAGTCTCTTGATCGGAAACTATGCGCAGTGGTGAAGGCTTGATCTTGGTCGTCGTATTCTTCGTCTTCTTCCTCGTCCCACTCCTCCGGCTCGGAGAGGGCAGGGTATGAAGATTCTTTAAACGAATGGCTCGTGGTGGGCCGAATCTCGGCTAGAGAAGAGCCGCTAGCCGCGAGTGGCATTGCTTCAGCCGCGTACAATGGGTGCTGTGACTCAGAATCAATGTGGTATGGGCCCGTGTCGAAATAGACGGTGTGGCCGCTCGCTTGTTCGAGGGCAGGAACGTGCAACTTGGCAAGCTCAGGTTCTTCCGGAATGTCGAAATGTGTTGACTCGTAATCAATTCTTTCGAAAAACTTGCTCTGCGTTCTACGCAAGGAGGGCTGCTGGGGCTTAAGCTGGGGCTGACTCTTGTAGTGTCGAGGTTGCTTTGCAGCGTGTGATGTGTTGGCTTCAAGAGCAGAGAGCTGGTCCTGGCTTTCCCTGGAGATTCGTGTAGGATGCAGGTTCGAAGCTACAGTGTGATCTTGCTGGGCAAGGGGTTTATGTTGGTGAAGAGGAGGCTTTGGTGCCTGGATTGACTGACTCTCAGAAAGCGGCTTGATGGGTTTGTTCCCAAGAGCACCGTGCCGCAGAGCTGCACGAGTCAAGGTTTCCTTGCTGTAAGCGGTATTCTCCTTATTCAGATTCGAACCTATGGGACCGAGCACCGACACCGTAGCAGGCTGGGCCTTGAGGCCAGCTTTGGCGTCATGGTGGGCAGCAGAGTGCCTAGACATGTTGTTGGTGACATCGCCAAAGGCAGCGCGCTTGGCCGGGCCGCGAAAGCCAGCGGTGGCGGCGGACACCATGCCGGCAAGACTTCCGGTAGACTTGTGACGATGATGCAGGCTAGGTGCAATGCTCTTCTCGGAAGCAAGGGGTCGGAAACGCTGCTACGGATCGTAAAGGCAATGTTGTTAGTACTCACAACCAATATGCTCGCACAGGGGGTATAAACGAAGAAGCAAGGCAGACAAAGCTGCAACGGGAAGAACAAGTCGGAATAAAATGAAATAATAAAGACGGTAACAATTGCCGTCTATGGCGAGGCGAGAAGTGGGAAGCAAAAATTGCTGGGTGGGAGAGGACAGCACGTTTGGAGCAAACTCACCCGAGTGTCCATGTTGTTTGGCAGCTGCCAGGCAGTGTGATTTCGGCTCTGGGACAACAGTCTCAACTGGCAGAGCTGCGATTGCCGCCAACGGATGCGAGATGGGAGAGTCCCGGCGGTCTCGCGGAATTGACGAATCGCAAGAGCGATTCTATTTCATCGGTATTTTTCTATTTCCTCTTTTGCTCGTTCCTGTGGTTTCCTTTTGTGATGTTGAAGCGTTCGACGCGAATTGGGCCAGCGCAAGATTTCTGAGACGATGGCGTAGCTTCCGGCGACAACGCAAAAGAGGGCCGGCCTGAGAACAAACAGCCAAAAAGAAGAATCGATCGCCAAACAGAGAGTCGCAGTCGCTTCGATACGAGGAGAAGCTGAGCGACAAATGCAGAAAAGCAAGGAGCCAAATAAGACGAAGAGACGAAAATGATAGATGCTGATGCAAAAAGTTGAAATGGGACAGACGCGCAATGAGTCGGATTGGGTAGCTCTGGGGGGCAAAGAGATTACACCAGCAACACCAAAGATGAGCATGTACTGGGGAATGCGCGAGACGACAAGGAAGAAGAAAAATAATGGCAACGCAGCAGCGTTCGGAGCCAAAATTAGAAAAGGTACTTGGTACCGGGTTGTTATCCAAGCAAGGGGAAAGAGGAAAAGAAAGGGAGAGCAGTAAATAGCCGAGTATTGATACAAAAAAGGGACAAGTACGAGATGACATGTTCCTGGTCCCATGTAATGTACACAGCGGCCAAGTGCTGTGTTGTTTATTTGTTTACCAGTAGGTACCTAAATAAATGTTACGAGTCGGAGGATCCGCGAGGTACCTAGCGCAGCAAAATACAGTGTAGAGGTACAAGCGGGGCCAGACAAGCCATTGAGTGGGCGGGGTGAGTGGGAGATAGTCTGCCAGCTTGGTGCTTCGTAGAGGAGTGAGAGACGAGTCCGCTACCGTCTCGTCCAATAGTAATAGCATCTGCGAAAGCGTTGCTGAAGGCTTCCTTTGGTTGCACGGGATTTTTTGCTCGCTCCAACCCTTTCTCTGCCTGGGGAAGCTGAAGCAGCACAACATCTGGTATGCGACGCACGGATCTCGCTGTGGCTCCAGCGCGCGCCAGGCAAAAAAAGGGCGACCAGGACCTGGTCGTCACGGCGATGACGATTTTCCGAGGCTGACTAACCATGTGCCAAAACAAACGGCTGCCAAGAGCGGTAGTGGCCGGCACAACGACACCTACGCCTAAGCTAGTCCATATCGGGAGTCGTGCTGCGGCCCGTCGCGTCTTACCCCCGTGCAGCAATTCGGTTCTATATTCGTTGTATAAGCGCCACAGCAGCAACCCAGCACTATACAATCTAGTCCAATACAGATTAAGAAATTTACATATTCCGCGATATCAGCACAAAGACTTTCGGGGCATAATTTCAGATGGTAGTGCGGCTGGCGTGGCTATAGTTGTCCTCTGCGCACCCGCGTCGTGGCTTGGGCCCACATCGACACCAAATAGTCACGCTCGCACGTGATCTGAGCCCCGGATCTTTTGGCAACGAATCGGAATTCGCACTGTGAAATGTTCGAGCGGGCGGCCGCAGCAGATGGTGGCAGAGAGAAAAGAGCATATGCATAAAAGCATGTGCCGGCGCGCACAAACCCCCTTCATCGCGCATCGTAGAATGATGGATGGGTAGGTTTTTGACCTTTTCTTCTTTCTTTTTACTGGCTTACTCGTACACAATGACCTGCGCCAATGGATGTGCTGCAGCTGACATGAGAAACACTCGCATCCCGTTAGCCGCCGAGGACAGCAAAAGGGCTCGTTTCAAGAACTCGGCAAGTGGAGTGTATCAATTTCCCTTCCGCGCATGCCGTCATAGGGATTTACTGACAACAGCATACCTGAAGGCTAATTTTCTCTTTCACTGTCATCTTGCTTTGTGAACATCAGCTATAATTAGGCGAAACATGCGCTGCGCATCTGCGCGCCAGGATCACCAATGTCGCGTTCATCGAGCTCGTCGTGTAGCCTCTCATCTTGCGCCTACCCTACGTCAACTCTGCGCAATCGTAAAAGCTGTCGGAAACAGGAAACCGCGCACACCTACGATAGACAGGTGTCTCCTCTTTATCTCTTTCCAGCTGTTCATGCCATTCGAGGTCAAAGCTGGCCGTCTCCCCTACCGACGCCGGCAGACGTCGGCGAGGAGGGGTCGAAGCCGCCAACAAAGCCTCCTTCTTACCTTTGACTCCGCCTCACCGTCCCTAACTCCCACGTCATCCGATAGTATGTTTCCGTGCCCAAAAACTCAAGGCCAATGGATCGCTCGCCAGTCTCGGCGTTGCGCAAAGAGTCAAGATCCCTGGGCCTTTCTTCAATGTTCTCTTTTTATTCGCCACGTAGTGACCTTGACCCGTGGCCCACACACTCACATACCCAGCCTCGCGCAATCTCACCAAAGAAAAGCCCGAGAACCTCTGTGAACCACTCGCGACGAATCCCCCGTGATAGGGTGTCTCTGAGATTACAGTCTGCAACGGCTTCCCAGCATCGCGTTATCGTGCGCTCATCGCCCGTTTGTCATTTGCCCGTTCGCGCATGTCCCTTGATGGGCCCTTCCCCCCATGTTGGGAAACTGAGCCCCGGGCGGCTACGGGTTTGCGCAACGTTGCGCTGCGTCGCACAAGACGTACTAGTGAGCAAAGACCGCCTCTATCGACTGGAATTTACATCTAGCCTGCGTAGAACCGTTTGCGCCCGTTTTCAAGTATGCGCGTAGTGCGGCGCGAACACGAAGAGCAATTCGGTAGGTAGAGTTCTGGCCTGGGGTCAAGTCAAACGCAGATGCTGCGTCGCAATGGACCGAGACAAGATCTGCGCCGGCAGCCAGGGAGGAACGTCGGCTGGTCGCATCGCATCGCAAGCTATCGCGAGACTACCAATTGTACCTTGACCAGCTCATTGACCATGTTTGCGCCGTTTTGCGCCGTGCGCGACGGAGAAAACTTGTTGCTGCCCAGGTTCACGCGCGCCGGCGACGCCATTGCGCAAGTGGCCGTTTGCACTGTCGCGGCCCTCCACCCAACTGTGTCATGGCGCGACACTGGCCAGCGAGGCGGAAAACCTTAAAAAGGCAGAGCAAGGGCCGTGGCGCAAATAATGAAGTATGAACCTTTTGGTCTTTTCGTGGCCGGCTTCACGCGCGCGCAATGGCTTTGCTGGCCGGCGACTCTTGGTATGCATAGCAGAGAGATGTCGGTCGGATTGACTATCTAGTGATGACTCACAGAAATTTGTGCGCGCGCGATATTAGCAACAATGTCAATTTGCGATGATAATAGCCAAAGATTCTACATAGATTGCGATAGCATTTGCAGGCAACGCGGCGCACACAAGGTCAGTCCCTCGAGCGGCTACCGAGCCTCAGGTTGAGCCCAGCAAGATTCAATTCTGCGCGCGCTCACTGGTCCTAGCTCAGCGTATGGGGGGGCCTCTCTGTTTCAATATTTACTTCGTACTGCTGATTATTCGGGTGGCGATATGTTTGATTTGCACCCACTGGTGGGAAATGCTATTGTCGATATTGGTGACCCTGGATTCTCATTTCCACCGGATATTACAGGTAGCTTAAATTTCTGCGTGGCGGCCCCTTTGACAACGCACAACCTGTGCCGGATAGATCAAATTGAAATCGCGAAAACAAAAGAGCAGACAAGAAGAAAAAGCCGCCTAGTCCACTTCCAAAGGCAGCGTGACCCATGGGCAAGTAAAGAGGCTAATCATGCAATAGTGCGTGCATACGGCGCAGTTCTTGTTCAATGTTAGCAGCAGCGTGCGGGGATTTTGACGAGAGCGGTGACGAAGCCACCAGACCAAGGTGCAGTCCAAGTCAAGCCCAGTGCCCTCCTGGCGCCGCCGAGAAGCCCCCATTTACATTAATTGGGCGGAAACTGCATCCCCGGAGCCCTTTTTGGCGGGGCGAGAGAAGCCACAGGTTCAATGGTTGGACAGACGGAGTGGTCTCTTGGGCAGACTTGTCGAGCTAATGCAGTATCTGAATTCCATGTTGTTGACATCTGGGCAGCGAGAAACGAACATTGTCGGGCAGCGAGAAAGAAGAAAGTGGTCAAGAGTAGAAATGTGTCGCGACGCAAAGAAGAGAGAAGGCGACTCGTCGCAAACCAAGATTGACAGGGTGCAGCCGACCCTGTCGCAAAAGTGGTCTGCAATAGTCTGTAGAGATCGCGGTCAAGGATGAGCGGGGCAAGGACAGCATGCAAGGGTCCGCAGCGGTTTGTGTGATTTGAGACGGTGATGATTATGACGGGGTTGATGAAGCCATGGGTCTAACTATTGCGCATAGTTAGGCAAGTTGATCAGGTAGAAAGACAGCCTTAACTAGTAGTGTCTGGAAGTTCTGATTGAAAAGCGCCAAACCAGCCCCCAGAAACTAAACCAGAGTCAACGTGCTCATGACGGTCCATGACGGAACCGCATCATGTCGTACTCGGTACATGGACAAAAAAAGACGAAAAGAACACCAGATGGCATATCTAGTAGATGGTAGCGCTGTCGTGTACCGTGTATCACAGCACGAGGGCGGGGTGATGCTAATAACGAAGACGAATGGCTGGCAGAGAGCATCATCAAGTGCTTGAAACGCAATCATTATTTAGCACCAGCCTTTGTGCAACTCCACGCGCAGCCGGATGGGAACCCCGTGCTGATAAAGGATTTTGCTTTGCTGGCACGTTTTTTCATTAACCGCCACAACTGGGCTCGCTAGGATTAAGCCACAAGCAATGTGGTCCCCTTGTCGCAAAAGAGGCCATCTGGGCAAGGGCTACTAGTCATTCCCTCTGTTCGATATCGTCTCGCAGTGGCAGACAACAGTCCAGGGGAGGGACCCCGAGGTTGCTCACCAGAAACGCTGGTTCAAAAACGGTTGCTATGCAGGCAGCCGCCTAGGAATTCTTACTCTTTATCAAACAGCCTAGCCTCAACAAGCGGCGTTGATTGGTGCGCAATTCACATCGAGTGCCATTCGCTTCGTTGGTGGCATGACGGGCTGGGCGCCAAACAGTTTGTAATAATTAGCCTTTCGTTTCTGGCTGTTGCTGCTGATTCTGCCTTGGAGGGTTTTTTTGACTCTTTCGTGATTTTAGCGTGCGATATCGAAGCCTGAGAAATGCCGAGCGAGGCCCGTCGGCAAGAAAACGCCAGGTTACAGGCCATGTCGCAGATTTGGGGCGCGCATTCGAAAAGAGCCGCCTTTGACAGTCTCTTTCTTGTGCAACCTGCCCATTCACGAGCGGCGACATCATGGTGCCCCTTGTCTTTTGTGCGAGAAGACGCTGCTCATGTCTTGGGTTGATGAGCCGGACATGCCTAGGTTGGCGCATCATCCATATGCCCCTTGCTGTCTAATAAGACTCTGGCAAGGTCTATTGATACAGTATCTATATAGTACAATGTATACGGAGTACATCATATATATGTTGGGAACCCGCCCCCCCTGGTTGCAAAACCATTTGGTTCCGAACCAAGGCTTTGTGGCTGACCAGTGACCACCACTACGACCCAAATGCGGCCCATCTGGGGAGCCCTCCGCGGAGCCGGCGAAGCGAGAGAGGATATAAACATGGCCAATGTACAGGTAGATTTGTACGCACAAAGGGCAATTAGTGGCTGTTTGCGTAAACTACACAGATTTAAAAGTTGGAAAGAAAAAAGGGCCAGAGCACACCGCGTGCTGGTCGTCTTTCCGCCAGCCAGGCCAGTAAACCAACTAACTAGCAGACTAGGTCTTCATCACCAAAAGTTGAACCGAGTGATCTTCCACCAACCACGGATGTGACAAGGGAGTAAGGGTGTCTGCTCGCCGACCGGCCTGCCTCGCTTGCCTTTTTTTTTTTTTTTTTTTTTTGGTTCCTTTTGGCAGCTCCTGCAGGTAATTGCCCTCAGCAGGCAGGTAAATTCCAACAGCATCCCGGATGGCTGCGCAGATCGATCTCGGGGCTTGTGCGGTAGACGGCAGTTGGCAGCGCCTGGGGAAAACGCACGGCGCAGGGCATGGGGTGGGAGCGCTGTGGGATACATACAGGTAAATGATGGACAGAGCTTTGCAAATATCTAGCTTGCAAACCTGTTTGAACCCTCTCGTTGGTGCAGCGCGCGCCTGCGCGGGGTGCAGGCTTGTATCAGAAACATCATGTCCTGTAACCTGCGGGTGTTGCGTGATGCTTGTGTGCACGCTAAAACAAAGAATCTGAGCTGGGGCAGCTGAGCACTGTGCCGCCACTATCAGCCAAGTATTGAATAGTGTAATCCTGTATCTGTGCTCATAACCATGATTTCAGGTGAGGAAATATTATTTACTGGTAAATAACCAGAGGTTGTTTCGGCGCCGGCTTGCCAATCAGATAGCTGCTCGCCTGCCCACCTGCCACCGTCCGCCCGCCCCCCCTCAAGGACCAAATTAGCCGCCCGTGAAATCTGTTTGAGGAATAAGGGCAAAGTGATCGTCTTGTTTCGGCCTTTGGACTATTGCGCATTCCAGTCTCCCTTTTCATCTTGGTCGATAGGGGAAATGCCTTTTGCGTCTGGCAGTAAATCGCCGCCAGCGAATGAATCGTGCCTACCTACCTACCTACTTATGCGCTGGCGAAATGGCCAGAATGTGTGCCAAAGCGGGCCAAGGTTGGAGCCAGGATGGGCATATGACACGCTCTTTGTAGGAGCAACCGAATTGCCTTCTTTCTTGCTGTTGATTTCATCATCTTAATTCTCGATATTATTCCACCATTGCAGTCAGACATCATTTAGTCTCTTATTTTACATGCTCTATCCACTGCCCAGGCACACGAGCCGTCCACCCTCGAACTGCGGAAGGCTGCAGATGGCCATCACCGCCGCTGCCTGGCTATGGGACTATCTATATCCACTGTCTTGCCTCGTACCTCATGCTCGCAGTTTCCAGGGCCGATGCAGCCATCACCGCTCCAAGTGACTGATGACCATGGCGGGCCGATGCAGCTGGTATAGATGCGTTAGCACGGGCGGCACTGTATAGGGAGCTTCAGGACCAGCTTCCTCCCTTCTCCGCGTCTGATGTTGTCTGGCCTTGTTCCACTGCGGCCATGCCATGGACACAATGGTAGATGAAGACGCCAGTCACACCATCTCGTCCCGTAGGCTCACGCCATCCATCCAGCCCGCCCGAGCCGTTGTCGCCGTCCGGCGCAAATGCAATGGACTGACTGCCGTCATGGGTCCCAACAAGCTCTTCGCGCAGCGCTAGCACCTGTCGCATCCCACTCACACCAACGCATCCATGTAGTTGTCGTGTATATGCAGGCAATACGTGATGTACATGGGCAACCCTTCTGGTCGATTAGGCGGGAGAACCCTTTTTTGTTAGCAATGTGCCCTTTGGCTCATGAAAGCATCACACTCTGCGCTATCTGCTTTGCCTGCGAGCAGCTGGTCCAGTTACTTGGCGCATGTGGAGACTCGAGGCCAAATGGCGGAGGAGCTTGTTGTGGATTGAGACCCAAGGTGAGGCGAAGAGAAGATTTGAACAAAAAAGACACTCACGCGGGGCAAAGACATTCACAAGATGGACAAATAAAGAATTTTCCAGCGGTGATATTTTTTAGGATCAGCTTATCTGGAGTGTATTCTAGTGGAAAGCTTCCATCTCAACCGGTACCAACTCGATCCATCGGCTTGCGAAACCTTGGGCACGTTTTAGGCAGTTCCATACCTGAGCCAAGGCTGGCTGGCCCGGCACAGTGCCACCCACACACACGCTCTCGTTTTGGCTTCCTTTCAGGTGACTCGCCAGCCTCTGATCAGTGGATGTTGTGACTTGTGTGAGTAGTGGACATGTTTATTACGAATGAAGAGTAAAGAGCGAAGAACGGTGAGAGGCAGGCTCCTTTGCGTTTTGTGTGGGAAAAGGTAGGTCACCTAGATGTGTAGCGCCTCCAATGCCCAGCCTGCCCGCACTGTACGGGACGAGGAACCAATGCCGGCGCAAACAGAGCACTGCGCCAATTCAAGTTCTGTCGCAAGACGACTCTACAGCATCCACCTACGCGATGCATTGCTCAATGGTTGACTAACAGAACAATCGCGTTACCAGTAAATGCTTTCGTACATTCTTCTAATGCGCTTTCTCACACCAAGAGAGAATGAGGAAGCCTCCCATGGCCCTCGGACAATGCGGCGATCGCACGTCGGTGGCACATCAGGCCAAAGGATGGTTGCATGAGGCGCTGGCTTCTCTACAGCGCATTACAGCACATTACAGATGCCTGTTTGGCTTCTGGGCGCTGTGTGTTAGCGGGTCAGCCAATGGGCCACAGCGGCCACAGCGGCCTGGGGCGGCCGTCTTGGGCGGCCTACAGCGCTCTCAGCGTATGGTTCCTCGCTGTAACCCTCTTTTCTGTACACTGTTTATCAGACTTCTCCCACTGTAAACCAGCCACACCAAGGCGCAGCCCAGGCTCAGGCCCAAGCCGCTCTCTCTCACTCGATAAAATCGTTCGGCGTCCTGCTACTTGCTCCTCTTTTCCCCATGCACACCAGTCCATCGACCTCTTCTGCCTCAACCACTTCCATCTACCAACTGATATACATCTTGGGTGAGTCCTGTTGCTTCCATTTGCTATCGCGATCCTCCATTTGCTCTTCTCTACCCCGTCCCATCATCTTCCTCGCCGCGCCGTTCCTCTGCGCCTTCTTCCGCCTTGTCCATACATGCACACACATCTGGCTGCGACGGTTCGACCGCCAGACTCTGCCTCAAGTCTCCTTGTTCCTCTCCATCATCGCACCATTTTCTGCCTCGCATCCAAAGTCATTCCCATCGCTAATTGCCACAGACTCTTCTCTAAATCTCTAGCCGGCTGCTTTGTCGACGCACTCGCAAAACCGCACCCTCGTTTTCCCGTCTTCTGCGCCAGCCCGGTGCTGACGACTCGGCGCTAGCCCGCCCTCCTCTTCAAGCCCTCACGGCGGTGATGCAGCCTTGAACTGCATCTTACCAATCTCACGCCGCTTCTTCGAACCCATCGATCGCTACAATCAGGCATATCCTGCTGTTATAATCACCTACTGGAATTCTTTCCGCTCCCTGGTCTTTGCGGTCCTCGTTTACTCCTGTGTGCCTTGTGCCCTTGACCCGGGCCTCTTAGCACCTGCGTCCGCAAAAACCGCAACCCACCCCAGACGGTACGTTGGCATTTTGCCGCCGCCGACTGTCTAATCTTTCCATCGCTTGGATCGATCAACCTCTATATCACACATATGCGCACCATGACTTCCATGTCGCCCATAAATACTGCTGCCGCCATGTCCGGCCCCTCCTCCCATAACGGCAGCGTCTCCCCGAGACAGCCCTCGCCGCCAAAGAATGTCGCATTCGAGTTGTTGTTCCTCGACTCTCCTCAATATCGTGCGCGGCTCCCTATGCGCGTGCAAATTTACCCCCATGACACAACCGACTCCATTGTCACTACGGTCAAGAATTTTTATGGCCTCTACTCCGGTCGGGCTGGCTCCAAGGGCGTCAGCTTCGAGGACGACCAGGGCAATACTCTGATCGCGCGGTATGAAAACTTCAGCAACAACATGATTGTCTATGTCCGTGTCATTGAGGAGCCCCCTGTCGCTGCTACCGGCTTCTCCCAACAAAATTACCAGACTTCTGCAGCACCCGACGCTTACTATGAGGGCGATCAATATGCAACAAATCGCCAGCAGGGCGATGAAGCCCCCAATGGCCGATTGCCGCGCCAGAGAAGCCAGTCTCCTCGGGTCGCTGGCGCCAGCCGCAGCGGCTCTGTGAGCAGCAAGAAGAGCCGCTCTCGATCTGTCAAGAGCCGCGCCTCCAATACTCTTCACGGCGACTCGTACAGCGCGAGCGTCGATGGCTATAGCAGCGGCGACGGAGAGCAAGGCAGTGTTTCTGGCCGAAGCAAAGAGCAGCTCGGTACCACTGATATCAGCGTCGAGAACATTGTCGAGGGTGGTCGACGCAAACGAGCAAAGTTTGAGAGCTCGGTAAGGACATGTTTGTTTCTGCATCATCGAGATGGATGCCACCAAAGAGCCGTTTGATTCTAATCCTCCTCTTCTTGTCTAATAGGAACTTCCTCTTTTTGCGCCTCCCCAAATGCCAGCCGCCACCTCCAACCCATCTGTGTCCCCTGCTCGCCGAATTGACTCCCGGGCACCCCTGTCCTACGTGCCACATGGGACGAACCCATTCACGAACCCGCGATCCCTACATGCTTCCTCAAGTTATGGCAACAGCTACCAGACCGGCGTTTATGCAACTCCCAGCACTGAAGGCCGCCGTCATCATCGTGGCAGTATCAGCTATGGTAGTAGTGGCGCCATGGGTATTCTACCTACTCCAGACCCGACTGTCGGCAGCTGCATGTCTGAAGAGGACAAGGATGTTGCCATTCAGCTGATGCGCCTGGGTGAAATGTCCAACATCTCACATGGCCGTACCTCTGCCTCCACATTGGACGACACCTTCAGCGGCAGAGCCGATAATACTTCCTCAACTGGAGCTACTAGCGAGGGGGAAAGCGAGAGCGACGAGGAGCTCCCTGCTGCTCGTCGCCAGAAGCTTGACATGTCGGGAGCCTCCAAACTCATTTACCCAACAACGGAGAGCAGCCTGACGCACGCTCAAGCCGAGTACAGCAGCGACCAGGGCGATGATGACGATGGCAAGTCAGGACAGGCCATGACCAAGCCTATCCCCAAGCACAAGCCCACTCCCTCCATGCCCAAGCCACCGGCCAAGCCTAAGATACACAAGCCGTCCAATAGCTTGAAGATGAAAAAACCCCCGGTGCTTACCAATGTACCCATGTCCCCCGCTTCTGCTCCGCACTCGCGGAAGCCTTCGGTCGCTTCCATCAGCGGCATGCCTCCTCCTCCCCCTGGCGACGACGAAGCCGATCTGTCTACCAAGCCACGCTGCCAGAGGTGTCGCAAGAGCAAAAAGGGTTGCGATCGTCAGCGCCCCTGCGGCCGCTGCCGTGACGCCGGCCTGTCCGCCGATCAGTGCATCAGTGAAGATGAAGGCAATGGCCGCAAGGGCCGCTATGGGCGCCATATGGGCGTGCCCATCAAGACTAATGATGCTCCTGTCGCGGTTCAGCCGACTCTGCTTCCGGCGGCTCCTATCGCCCCGATAATGGCGGTAGCCGTCGACAAGAACAAGAAGCGGAAGCGGTAAGCGTCGGAATAGCCAATACTATTGACAGTCAACTGTATTAGCATGCAGCTGTCTCGATGAAGGTCGGCATAACTGCTGCCAGACCTTGACTTTGCAAGTCGCTCGCGTGATTCACGGTACGAAGCTACGTCTGTTTATCTCGGTTCCTTTTGTTTTTTTGGCTGCCTCCGAAGTTTCGTGGCGCGTTCGATATATGGCGCTGAAAGGATGTAATTACGACGGCCTTTGGACAAGGTCAACTACGCTCCCTAGACTGGCGTTGGGCTCATTGTAGGAGTTGTTTATTTTGTGTTTACTTTCTGCTTATTACCTTTTTATTACTGCTCTTGGTTCCGTGTTTTTTTTTTTTTTGGCAATGATTCCTTTCTTGCCCGCGATTGCTTTCTTGCTACAATTGCCAAGGCGTCCCGTCAAGGACTGTCGAATCGGGAGATGAAGGAAGTTGTTGAATGATAAGGGATAGAAACAGAAAAGCCGGGAGAGGCATTGACAGGTAAAGAGAAGAGAAAAAGGACTTGCAAAGAGGAGGCGGATGCGAGGGAGGAGGATAGTATTTTGATACTTGGACAGTGTACGCTCTGGTAAGCGCACGATGTTTTGTTGGAATCGCGCGCGCCTACCGAGGATGCGCGCACATGGTACACGGCAGAGGAACGGGAAAAAAAGAAGATGGGGAGGCACTGGGGTCGCGCATGTTTTTGCTTTTCTGTATGCTTGTTTCTTTATATTATCTTTCAGGTCCTTTTTTTTTTTTTTATATCTGCGAAATTGTCTCGAGGGAAGAGATTTGTTACCTGAGGCTTCGGGTTGGCTGTTTGTGCCATTTGTTTCTTGGTTTTTTGGCCTTTTTTGTTGTCATCTTCTTTTGCTTCTACGGTTTGTTTACTTCCCGATCGATTTTGATTGCGTACGCTTATTTTAGTTGCTTTCTTGTTGCCATTTGATTTTAACTGATCTTTTATTATGACAAAGTGTGTCTGTTTGTGCGACTGTTTTCTTTGGTGGGTGCCGCACGAGGCGAGGCGCACACCGGATTTCTCTATAATTCCCTACTGATTATTTTATTATTTCCTTTTTGTAAGGTCCTTTCCCTAATCGAGTGAGAACGACCCTTTTAGCGAGAACTGGCTTTTTCAGTTACAAGCGCACCACCACGACCGTTCACATCCCAACGCGCACCAAGAAAACGGTGGCGATTTCGATCTGCCCCCCCCTCTCTCTTCCCCCCGCCCGACATCATCTAGTTTCAGCTGTGCGCGCGCAAAAGGAAAAATTCAAAATGGCATCATCCAATGCTTCCCCCCAACGCGACACCATTTCCGCGTCTGAAATGCATGCGCCGACGCGGCGTGGTGATGTAGTCTTGCGCGGCGCAAAGATTGCACGCACACACACACACACACACACACACACACCGCACCGCACGCACTGGTCGGTCGCCAACGTGGCTCCGCGGGCTTTTTTTTTTTTTTTGCTTTTGGGCAGCGGTGTATTGGTGGTTTGTGTGGGTTGCATCGGCACGCGATTTAACCCGGTTGAGCGGCGGGGTTTCCCTTCTTTTCTTCTTGTCAGTACCACGCTGCGGGGCTCGGCAGTCCCCCCTCTCCCCGCACAGTAACAGAAAACAGCCTACCCTGAACCTGTGCGGCGGCTGGCGGCGGCGCCGGCTTGATCCGGGGACGCGTTATCGTTATCGACAAGAGGGTGTGGAGCGGACTATCGGGCTGAGAGACTTGCCAAATCGGGTAATCACGTGTTTTGTGGTGGTGGCGCACTGGCGGTGTGTGTGGTTTCGAGAACTACGTCATAATTCTGTTGTAGGGTATCACCGTATTCTGGGAGGGTAAAATTTTGAGTGAATATGACGCGGCGAAGTTTGCGCAAGGTGCCTCTCTCGTGTATGGAATTTTGCTAGCTTTCTGACACACGAGGTTCCTGGTCTAGGGGAAGCTGGCCAGTTTGGGGGCTTTTTGTGCTGGCTGTAGGCAACAAGCTTGTGTTTGTTGCTCGCGGCTTTTTCTATTAGACGGCCGCAAAAGAAAACTACTTGCGGTTGAAGGGCTTCGTGTTTGAAAGCACTATTTTCATGCGAGAACCCTCCATACAGAACTGCATCGATTACGAGACGAATGACACCAGAATTGGCCAAGGATCCCGACATTGACAGCAGCTGGCCCTTTCGGGTCGTTGGAGAATGGAGATTGGTCTCTGCTTCCTTTGCGAGGATACGAAGATGCAGCAACTCGGAATTTTCCGCGCAGCCTTGATTTGATTGCAAGAAAGCTGGCCTCTACTCCCCTTGCAGCCAGAGACTGCCTACTCGGGGGTGTTAGCTCTATTCCCTGGTCCGCGCGATTGCAGCCACGACAGACCGTCCTGACGCGCCGACCACATCGTCGCACGTAGCGCTCAAAAGAGTAAAGAGGCAGTGAATCGTGTCTTTTCTTTATACTGACAACGTTCACCCAGCGGATGAGCCAGGCGTTGGCCGGAACTGTGGCCGAGTGCCGCCGTGCACACGCACTAGATTCTACGGCGCCTCCCTCCACCAATTTTGTCGACGCATGCGGTAGTCGCTTACGGGATTTAGCAGCAAGACTGGTGCGGTGCATGGATGCGATTTTAATCGAGAGACAGATTGATGCGAGAAGAAAGTATATGAGAAATTGTTTCAATGATTGGCCTCTCGGTGATGACGGCAGGGCGTGTCTGGCGATCGTTGCAGCGAGACGGCTTCAAGTATGGATTTCTTCGGCCGCAAAATCCTGGCTAAAGTTGATCTAGTAGCTTGGGATTAGGGAAGGGGCCAAAGCCGACGTTGTCCCACGAGACTGAATTAAGATCGACAACCATCCCGATCTCGTGAATTGGGCAGCCCGAATTGGCCATGACATCTTTTCCTGACGAGCAAACCATGGCCTGAATGACCCTTCTCTTTCTCTGTTTAAAATTTATAGCGACCGACAACAAGACGTCATGACGGATTGCGTACGACACAACCTGGCAGCCGACGCAAACCGTTGCCGTTTCTTGACCAGTTTGACGCGCATTCGTGCAACTTATCCCCGCGATATTGCTCTCTTTCCTGCCTCTTTCATTTGTTTTTCTGGCTTTTTAAAGATAAAATTGCTCAAAGAAGAGTCCACCGTACTACTTTTCATCAACATCAGTCTCCCTTGTCTCGAGCCTTTCTCAGGGAGGGTTACTGGTAAATCTCAGGAATGCGTAAATAGTGCCAAGGAGGCCAAGAGGACTGAAACCTCCCCGAGACAGCCTATTGGCCTCGGTTCACCGCCACTGCAAGAAGCATCATGTTGCTTGGCAAAAGAACAGACCGGCGTGTGATCTTTGCTTTACTCCAGTGGTGGTGTTCTACAAACGCGAGCGGGGCAATGTCTTGCACGTTTCTGGTACAACGTTGCAGATGAGGCGAGAAGTGTGATGATTTGCATCTTCACTGGGCGAATGAAAGCTCACAATGTGGAAAGAGGAAAGAAGAGAAAAAACCCAGCGACACCAGTTAGAAGGCGAGCGCCAACAGTAGAGATCGTCTGAATGGTGGTCAAGTGTGCAAGAGAGCACGCCTGACTCACTCCTTGTATGCGTCGTATGTACGAAATGATTATGTACTTGATGTAGGTAAAATATACAAGGGATAAAAAACTTTAGTCTGCCATGGAAACTTTTTGCGGCAGCCGCATCATCCGAGCCACATCGTTGGAGCTCAGCTCGGCAAGCACACGGTTCACAAGACTGGCAACCTGCGCACCGTCCTGCCACACAAAGTCGTGCTCGCCATGCAAGTCGTTGACAATGGTAGGTTGGAAGCCATCAGCTCTAAGCTTCTCGGCCATGGCCTCCGTCTCGGCCAGGTCGAGTAGCCCATCATTGGGCGAGATGGCAAGCCACAGCGGCGTCCCACGTGGTAGGAGTGCTTGTCTAAAAGAGCCGTCATATTGCGCTGGAGAAGCCTGCATCCAAACATCCTGATCCTCACCAAAGGCATTGGTGATAAAGTCGGTGTAATTGCCGTCACAACGACGATTCAAGTTGACAAGGTCGTAGATGCCGGAGATGCCAATGATGGCAGCGGGTTTCGGAAGCGATACGGGAGACTGCAGCTGCCACTGCGCATTGCTCATGAGCAACTGGAAAGCTAGCATGGCCCCGGCCGAGTGGCCAACGAGAATGTACTTGTCGGCAAGATCGAATCGTTGACTCAGAAAGTCCATGGCTGAGCGCACATCGTGGACATGGTCCGGGTGCTGCGCAATGCGTTGCTCTGTGGATGGTGTCTGGTCTAAACATTGCGGAAATTCCTCTTGGTACGGAGACAGCCGGTAGTCTATACTAATGAACCCACGAACCGCGTCCGGAAGCGCACCGGCAGTTATCAGATGCCTGATGGAAGGAGCAAAGTCGGTTGGCTTGTTGCGAGGGTCCCTCCATGCCCCACCATGGATAAATCTTTCGCACGAGCACAAGTTAGCACAGATGTACATGTTCGGAGTTATATGGGAGATGGGCGTCTCCCTCTGACAAGCACTGCCTAATAAGACATACATGAGCCAGTAGGAGGTATTGGGTTTGGCAGGTCGGCGCTGCTCCCAGACACCGATTCGATGAAGACTATGCTTTCCATAGCGAAGATACGTAAATTCGAGGTCTGGAGCATCGTCACGGATTCCACCAGCCTTGTGGCCCTTGCCGATACCCATTCTTGCTGTCTCTGAGATTGGCGCCACAGGCCTGCCTCTTTCGGCAGGGTGATTATGTCTGTGCTCGAGCGTCCAGAGATGAAATGAAGTGCGGGAGGCTCGGAGCCAGCCCACGATGCGAAAATATCGCGGATTGGAGTCGGATGGCCTTGACCGGCGATTTTAATGTGGCGACGACGGTGGTGGGCACACAGGTCCGAGTCACTCGCACGCGTACAAAGGGGTGAGACAGAAAGGTGTCAGAGCGCACAGGTATCGCTGTAGAATTCCGGTCAAGATAAGGTTGACAATAATGAAAAGGGAAGAAAAGAGGCTTTGAAGAGTAAAGTTGGGAAGAAATGTGGCCTAAAAGTACCGAGCTTCAGCGGGAGCAGAAGTGGGCATCTTCGATAACCTCTGTGACGCGGATGTGACGATTTCGGCTCAAGTAGGGCTGCGGAGGAGTCGGAAGAGAGAGTGGACAAAGTGGACAAGACCACGGATGGTAGGATACCAGGGACATGAAGTGGTGGGCGGCTTGTCGCTAGTCCAAGCCAGAGGAACCTATTATGAGAAGCACGGCGCGTGACCTTCGGCTAGGGGAGCCGGTTGGGAAGCTAGAACGAACAATTGCCGTACGCCAACAACGTAGTTGATTGGCTTTGCGATAATACTTTTTGGTTTGCGAAGCCAGGCAAAGTGCTATATGGTTGAGTAGCGGAGTTGGACCAGCAGCCACGGCGCGAATTTGTCTCAGTCTAGCCAGACATTTTGCTGTGAAGCCACGCTGAACAATTTGCTCCGAGCCAGAGGTTGCTTAATGAATTCGACGACTCGCCAACTGATGGGCCAGCCTACGATGAAGCGTCGAAAGCTTGGACCGCCTCTGATCGACCTGGTGCCCACGTCGTCAACGTTTTGATGGCTTCTGACAGTCCAGGGTGCCATGCAGAAACAGAGAGTTCGTGACATCGGCAGATGTGCGCTACTTGGACTTGATGGGTTAGCTTTCAAGAAAGTAAAAAGAGAAGCTAGCATACATAGCTGTAATAATCCATGACTGGCGAGGGGTGCTTATTCCGATGCTGTCGGCTGCGGACGCGGGCACGCTACCCGAACTGTCCACCGCAGCGTTAACATCCAGAGCTGGTCAAATGACTTTTGATGAACCTTCAGTGCCAAGGTACCTATCTGTCGTCTAATTTTTATGATACTAGGACCTCTTGGCGGTTCGCGTTGGCATGTTGCGGGTTGGATGATGCCGACGAAGAAGGGTTGTATGATGCAGATTAATTATGATGGCTTGCATTCGTTGCCCGACCTATTTGTTTTCCCGAGATGCTGGGGGTCTCATCACGGGTTTGTCTTCAGCGATCCAAGACATGTTAAGGTACCTACGTACAGGCACCAGGGCCTCATAAATAGCGGACACTGAATGCGCCACAGGTTTCAGCGCTCTTGGCTGTTATCAGAGATAGCGCTGTAGACCGCTGTAGGTTTTAAAAGTTGTGACATCTGGTCACCCAGCATTGATCTTCTTAGTCAGCGCTCATGATTCGTCATCATCAAAAGGTGCCTCGCCGAACAGGCATCCCCCTGCCAGAGACAAACAAGCACAAATTCCATCGTCATGCAACAGAGCATCGTCCTGTGTACATCTGCATCACCTGTCAAAGCTACGTGAATTGGCTCATGTGACGCGGTCGCGACTTCTACCAGAGAGGAGAACAATCTGCGGAACATCGACAACACAGACACTCTGTCCTGACCGAGCCTGGCCCACCACACCCTGTGAATGGTGCAATCGGGATAGCTTGCTCATTTCAACAGAATCTACTAATGAAGCCAAAGCGCAAAGTGCTGCTTATGCTCGTGGGGATATCTGCCGCCCGCTGGTCAGCTATTCGCTGCTCATGGGGCCACCTATGATGCGCAGTCTGTGCGAAGTCTAGGTGCGCCTCTCCCGTCTCGCACACGCCCATCGAACATTATCGGAACGGTCATGGCTCAAGATGGCAGGGCCGCATGTCTCGAATTCAGTGAGCAGATCAACTCACAAACAACCCTGCTTGCCTGCCAATTCGCGCCTCATTAATTACTGCAACCTTTCACCTATGCCTGTCAGTCTGTGCGTATGCGCGGCGCGAGTCTGCTGGTCCGCTTGCGCCGGGATACTCTGAGATTCCATCCCCGATTAATTGTCACATCCATTGTCGACTTGCCATGTGCCATCCTGGCCTGTCTCACCTCCCCGCTGCGAGCTGAACCCCCTGGCGTCCACGTCTTGTGCGATACTGATTATTGACCGGATGGATAGGTCAGTTTGGTGACACCTTTCAACCATGTGCAACCTACCACAGTGGCTCTTGTGCCGACTGTCACTGCCGATCTTTTCGACCCAAGCTTGACATGTGTTCATTACCACTGTGCCATCGTTTGGTGCTCTATCTCTCGTCAATATCAGGGTCTATTTACCGAGTAGCAGCCCTAGTGCTATATTGCAGTAATGGTGAGATCTCGAGATGGATCACTGGGCTGCTATTCCAAGCTTGCAAACCTGCAATGGGAAGCCGCTTATGATTTAGACGGCCATGTACACGGAAATAGTATTGACGCAGCTATAAGCAACAGGCCCGATAGGAGCCTCGTCGCTCTTCAGGGAGATGTATGGTGTAGCCACGAGACGCGCAAAGAGTGACCGTCAGAAAAAGCGTGCAAATAGTACAGGCGCTGTTATTCACTCACCCTGAGCAATGACTCTCTGTCGTACATATTACACGGCACAATCGGTAGCACCCGCTGCCAACCCAACTCCTCCTTGCAGAGTGGACTAATTACGGAGAATTCTTTTCGTTACGCGACATCCAAAACCCCCTGCTCTGGCAGCGAGCTAGGCAACTGCCCCGGCTCTGGCTGCGTGTCGCTGACTCGTCTCTTGGTGAACTGAAAATCCCGGCCAGAGACCTTCAACACAGCAGCAACGAAACATCCCATCAGAACCAACAAGTCACTATAATAAGACAGATAACAACTGGCCAACATCAGAGTACCCCGAGCCAGTGTATTGGCCAATCTCTCAGGGCCTGCTTCTTGTCAGTGGTTGGCTGGAAAGTTTATGGCGGTTGGCTTAGCTAGCACACCTTGTTGACGACAGAGTTTCAGCCAGACGTACGTTGTGGATCAGAGGTACCGGCGAAAGCTACTACCGATCTGTTGTCCAACCACATCCGCACCCTACGAATATCTGCGCACCAACAACCTCTGCTCTAATTCCCAGGCCAGTTCTGGAAGCCAAGGTTGCGAGATGCATGTGCTAGGCTCTCAGCACCAATGCTCGCTTTTCAATATCGATGGCTCGTCACCAAGACGGGGGTATTAGGAAGCCGCTGCACGGTTGACGCTGGTTCTGCACTCGGACAACTTAGGACTGGTGGCGATGCATCGACATTGTCAGCCACTCATTCACTCGCTGCAGATTTTCCTACGGGGTACAGAGTCTCCTTTCATGCCCACCGCGACTCAGGAACCGCGGTACAAGTGAAGGATGGGCAACGTTTCAACGGTCTCTTTCTCAGAGGGCGTGCCATTATGCCGCCCCTCCTTTACCCCTGCAATTGAACCCTGCTGAGAGATGGGCTTTCCTCCCCCATGGGTCACAATTAATCAGCTGCAAACCTTGCCAATCATAGCTGTGGTGGCAATGTGGCATTGTGGTGGCACTCACTAAGTAACTAGTGAGAACCGCATCCGGCGGAGCCCCTACACACTTGCAGCCACCAATGCATGCGCCTGTCTGGCCTGCCTGCATTGCAGCACCCGGTCGTAGTAAAATATTGAGTGGAAGCCGAAAGTCAGAAGGAGGCAAGCATTTATATTAACTGCTTTAACTTCGCTAGGCTTTGCTTTTGTTTCTTGCCAATCCATCGATCTACATACTTCCCTTCTCTCAACTTGGGCTTCTCACGAACTGTCCGAACTGGGGACACAGGCACGAACCGCCGTCTACTGTGATAGAGTTACTTGCTACACTACAAGGTCGCCGATGCATTGATTCAGACCTGCCAAGCTTTAGCGCTACTGTGCCTTGCATACGCCCCTCATATCACTGGCTATGACGACCCGCAACTCTATATAGAAACCGCCCTCGCCATCTTTCCTCAACCTGCGTCCCGTCTCATCTCTACTCCAGTTTCGTCGACTCGTCGTCGACCATAGCGCGCCTCCGCGCGATTGTCAGTCCCGGCGGCTCGAGACGCAGATCAGCACAGTTTCTTTCACAATGGCCGAAGTCGATCTCAACGAATACAATGGCGGCCGCTTGGTCGGCGCCACCATCGCTCTACTGGTTCTGAGTTGGATCACGATTGGACTACGCACATATACCCGAGCCGTGATCATGAGGAGTTTCCAGTCCGACGATTGGTTGATGTTGGTGGCTCAGGTTAGTTGTCCACCTGCCAGCCAAACTCCCCCGAGGCCAAGCTGCTCACACTAAATACAGATCATCTTTACATCAATGTGCGCGTTCATCTTCGAAGGCGTGCGTAGAGGCATGGGACGACACAACGCAGCTATCGAGTCTGACGATGATACAGTTGCTGCCCTCATGGTACGAACTCGAATCAGTCCTTTACCCGGCCAAATTTGTCTAACATGAAATAGTGGCAAGCGATTGCGACGATTGCCTACATCCTGTCCATGATGTTCGTCAAACTCAGCATCGGTGTCTTTCTTCTTCGACTATCCGCCAGAAAAGTCTACACCATCATCATCAAAATCAGTCTCGTCGTTGTCACCCTATATACGCTGGGCGTCTTTTTCTGGGATGTTTTCCAGTGCATGCCCGTCGCCAAGCAGTGGGATTACAGAATCACAGAGGGCCATTGCGCTAGTGGGCAAGACATTATCAATGCCGCCTACGCCATCAGTGTCCTCACTGTTGTTTCGGATTGGCTCTACGTACGTGATGTACCGCCTCTATTGAGTAATGTTTGCCATACTGACTGACACTGCGTAGGCGCTGCTGCCAATCCCCATGCTGTGGAACGTCAAAATGACCAAGCAAGCCAAGGTCACGGTAGTCCTTATTCTTGGTCTTGGTATTTTGTGAGTACAAGCGCTATTGAGAAACTTGCAGCTTACTGACAATTTTGCAGCGCCAGCATTGCTACACTAATACGTGTCAAGTTCTTGGCTTCTCTGACAGAGACGGATGATCTGCTCTGTAGGTGGTCCCACGAAAATCTTCTTGTCCGTTTGACACTAATCTGGTAATAGTTTCTGCAACCGATGCCTTACTCTGGAGTATGGTAGAGCCTGGCGTTGCAATCATCGCCTCGAGCCTCGCAACCATTCGACCCTTGCTGCGCGTTCTCAAGATCCGTGGCTTCGAATCAACGCACCGCACGCGATCTACAGGATTGTCGGGCAAGAAGCAGGGAAGCTCTATGCCGGGATATGGACCCAACGATGTCTCGCTGCACCGCGTCACTGTCGTTGATTCTGAGAGTCGCAGTGAGGCCATGGCCTATGACGAGTACCATCGCCATGCGGCCGGACTAACTTCGCATCCGCCGCCCTTGGCTTACAATAACGACCCGATGCTGGGAAACAAGGTCAGCATCTCTGCTGGTGGTAGCGGCACACCTGTACGGAAAGATTCCAACAGTGAGGTCTACATCATTGAGGGCAAAACAGTTTCCCCGACATGGAGTCCACGCGAATACCCGGCCTCAGACAGATCCGTCGAGGACATGAGTGCCCTGGAGGAGCAGAGCCAGGATCTGGGCAATGGTACATCGAGTCGGCATGGGCGCCGGCCTTGAATAGATTAAATGTTGTACTATTCATTTTTTACGGCGTACATTTCGGCACCTTTACAGTATACCAGGCACGGAGTGGTTTTTATTTTCTCTTATGATGGCAACGGACCCAACGTTCTCAAGCGACTATGATTGCTCGCAAATGATCTTTACATATGATTGCGTATACAAGAATTGCTACATGTATCAATGACACTTGGAAATCGCAGCGTCTTGGCTTTATAGAGATACAAGGGCAAGATAGAAGGGCAATGGAATATTACATCTAAATAATTCACAACGCATCATAACGCACTACACAACGCACTACACAACGCACTACACAACGCACTACATTAACCACCTTGCACCGCATGGTAGCGACCACTCATGACACAAGTGTATACAAGTCTGCTGACGCTTTTCACTCGAGCGGTGTCGGCATTTTGCTCCGGCTACACATGTGCCTACTACAATCACACAACGCTCGGCACCACTTTGTCTCGTAAAATATATTCGAATGAAACGAAAACCACCCAATTCCCAAACCAGAGCATTGTTACAGACCCAGAGGCGAGCAGGTCAATAGCTGCGCTCCCTGGACGTATAGCAGCAGAGTCATATTTGTTCACTTTACCCTCGAAATCGTCAGATGGATGGGTGGGGGGGAGGGGAAGACGAGCGTTCATCTATGAGAAACTTGTGCCTGGGATCGCTGGGAACCCGGATCCCTGGATGGAGAGGCCCCTATATGAGGCTATATGTCGACACGTTTTCTCAGGGCAGCATCTCTTGGCGTAAATCTGAAGCAACAAGAGAGGGAATAAAAACGGAATGGTAATAACAAAAGCTATAAGCAAAGACTTGCCCCCCCCACCTGTTATGAGATGGGACGTGGTATTGCCGAGAGGAGGCAACCACGGCATGCACACTCCACTGGCACGGGTTGTATAGAGGCATTGGGTTATAGGTGGGCACGACTTGACAGTTTCGCTTCTAGAATACATGAGATGATTTTTGTATTGTCAACAATATTCTAGTCATGCAAGTCATCAAATACAAACCATAAAATGCAGCGCTGTATAGAAAAAGAGAAAAAAGGAAAGAGCCGGCACCCGCCGCCTCATGCAAGACCCGATTAAAAAGAAAAAGAAAAAAAAGTCCACATCAAATACTTTTCTCCTAAAACACCCCTTCCCCACGCTTGTTTCTTGAAGAGCGAATGATAGCAAACACCAGAGAAGAGACGATGGAGACGTGAACAGAAATCGACCGGGGAATTGTCCATTTTGGCTGCAGCTAGACGGGTAGACGCAATATCGCGCCCTCTTCCCGAGTCAAAGGCCCCCCCCGGCCCCCCTCCAGCCCCCCTAGACGACGCCGCGACTGGATCAGGCTGAAGAAAAAGAGCAACAAGGGTCTCCACGCTTGAAACGGCTTGCCGACCCGGAAGGCGTTATCGACTCCGCTCTTTTCCAGAAGAAAGAGGGAAAAAAAAGCAGAAGGGTTACTTTCTGCAGATAGTCTAGAACTCTCGGGTGGGATAGATCCCGGACCGTTTTCCCCCATTCGGCCTTTTTATTTGCTGCTATTTGCGAACCCCCCCCCTGTTCAGTCGGACGAAGGCGAGAGTAATACCTGTAAGGGGGGCGTAACAGAGCGTGGATGAGTGCGCATGTCCGTGTTCCCCGCAGGGCGTCGTCTTTTGTTATGCAGGTAGAAAGCCCAGTTAAAATTTTCCTTTGGGGGCTAGGGGAGGAAAGGAGTAGAAGAACGAGGTAGGGTCGACGAAATAGGGCAAAAGAAAAAAAAGAAAAAAAAAGAGGGGGACTGATGCGTACGGCGCAGGATATGCGACGGCCATGGGCCATCTGCGATGGGCGGAATACGGCCTTTGTGCTCATCTCGGAGCAACCCGTCGCAAGAGCTGTCGCACGCACAACCAAACCTGGTGTTCAGGAGGAACAGAGGAAGTAATAGCATTCCGCGGCCGAGGGGAAGCAAAAGTCTCGTGGCTTCGACCTCTTCTTCTGATTTTCTGTCTTCGTCTTCTCCGTAGCTGCTCCGCCCTTCATCTTACGCGCACTCGAGCTCTTCCGGCGCCACGTTCCAGTCCTCCTCCTCGCTCCAGACGGGCGCGACCGTGAAGCGGCCCATGATCTTGCCCATGCCGACGCAGTCGCCGCCCGTTGGGCGCGCCGACGCCGCGGCGCTGACCACTGGCTTCTCGTCGCTCTCCTCGACAATGACAGCCGTCGTCAAAAAGTTCATGCCGGCGGCCGGGCTCATCTCGAGGACATGGCCGCCCCAGTCCAGCTCGACCTTGCCGGACCTGCGCACGTTGAGGCGTCCAATCATGCCGCCCTGCGACAGAAACTGCGACTTGAAGCCGTGCTTGAGCTCGGCCTGCGCGCGCTCCTCTTCCGTCTCCTCGTCGGAATCATCATCATCATCGTCGTCATCGGCGGCGGCGGCGTTTTCGCCAGTGAGATCCACGGCCGTGCTATCCGTGATGGCGGGAATGTCGTCCACGCTGACCGCCGAGGTTTCTGCCTTGACCTTGGCTGGCCCTTGCGGCGTGCTGCTCTCCCTGAGCGGCGGCATAAGAGGCGGGAATTGGAACAAGTAAAGACGGCCGTCCTTGTTGGCGAGCTCGGGCGCGCTCTCACCGTTGACAGACACGGCGCCAAGCTCCCGAGCTAGTAGATCCAGATCTGATTGAATCATCTTGCTCTCGGGGTCTTGGGGCACAACCTTCTTGACCTTTGCTGGTACCGCAGTAGCAGCCCTATCTTGCATCTCGGGCACGGCATCAAGGTCGACATCCATGGAGTCTTCTGCTTCAGGCTCCTCCTTAATTAAAGATTTAGAGCCCATCGCCCAAACACCCTCCTCGGGCTGGTCTTGAGGCGGCAGCGTCCCCGACTCCCCGTCCACCCAGAGGCTCTCCTCCTCACCGGTAGCATTCTCCTTGGCTTCCAGTTCAGCCGTTGTAGCCACGATGATCCCGGTTTTCTTGTGCTCCTTGCGATATATACCCATGGGCATTTTGCTAGTGTCCTTGGAGCTAAGAGCGGCAATCATGGCCTCGTCTTCGCTGTCCAATTCCTCCTCGGGCGACATAATGTGTAGTTTATCGGCGTTGATTCGCGCTTCTCTGTAGATGTCCCGGCCTTGTGCGAAGTTGGGGCCCTTAGACTCATGCTTCATCCCGCGACCGCCAAAGCCGCCGCCACCGCCGATGCCACCGGCACCACCCCCAAACCACCCGCTGCCACCTCTGCTCGGGCCTGTATTTTGTATCAGAGCTCTGTTCCAAAAGTCGGTACCTCTCTGCTAGACTTACCACCTCCGATGCCCGAGGAAAATGGACCGCTGGCCCCCGAAATGATGCGACCGAAACCTCCTCTTCCCATGGTGTCACCGCGACTGCGTTTGCTGCGGAAACGTGAGCGCCCACGAGCTCTGCGCTCTTCCGCAGCACGCTCGCTTGCCTTCTTCTCCTCCTGCCGCGCCAAGCTATCTCGCTCGGCCTCGTCTCGACGAACATTTCTCGGCCGGAATCGTCCCGCAGCTGGGGCTCGTGTACCTCGCGTGGAAGACCCGCGTCGCGCAGTTGTCGTCTCGCTGGTGGAAGTAGCCGGAGCGTCAGTGGACGTTGGTGTAGGCGCTGGCGCTGGCGCATCGGTTGCTGGTCGTTCGGTGCCGCCGCTGGCCGCCCCTCGGCGGGTGCCGCGGGCTGGGGCTCTTCCGCGAACCATGTTGACAAGAATCGCAAAAGTATAAAAGCAAAAACGATGGCGTCAATGGGCAGATAGCTGTGGAAGAGAACAATTGAAGCTGGACGAAGCTTGGGGAAAATTTAGGCGGTGGAGTGAAGAAGTGGTGGGGCTGGATTCTGCCATGTTGGTGGGCAAGTTGGCGGCATCTACAGCGCATTGCCCACTAAGACCCCGGCGGTAGATGGTAATGATTGATTGACGAATGGTATGCGCAAGAAATTTATGAAAACTAATGAATGATACATAATGGAAGATGTACAATGAAGAATTTCTGGTCAATCTCGAGCATCTTCGAATATTTACACCAACGAATTTATGCTGTATCAACCACAACTGTGCTCTATGGGTATCAAGAAGAAACGCGCCATATGCAGAAACTATCGAACACACATCAAGGCATCTTCTCCGAAAGTGTCCTCGATACTACCTTCTCTGAGAAGCATCGATCCTATCCATTCTCGGCCAGCTTCTACTGCCGTCGCGGCAAACTTGACCACAACGCAGCCACGGACATTAGCAGCCGACCACAATACGCCTTCCACCGTCTCCAAATCAATTCTCCAAGAGCGCCATTTCTCGTGTTCCGTCATGCTGTCATCTTCTGCTTTGCGAGCTTCGGCCGTGCGAAAGTCTCTGGAGCCCAGTCGAGGTAGAGCGGCGAACTCGGTCAGGAAGAAGTCGCCCAGAGACTTCATGAGATCCCCCCGTAGAATTAGAGTACCAAAAATTCCGTTCTCGTGCATGATTTCGCGCAAAGGCCCATCGCTTGAGGAACCGCCGTCCCCAGCAAGAATGACCTTGTCCCGGACGAGCAGCCTGCCTTTACCTGCATCGTCCTGCAGCCACACCTCGTTGCGGCCTGTCCACTGCACAAAGCTCCAATTCTCGCCTCTTGCGGTTCTCCCCTGGGTAACCCAATCCAACAGACAGAGCGATGAACTTGGCCTGGTATTGAAAATCTGCGTCTGTGAGTAGACGCTCCCTTCGAACGGCTGAACGGGATCCGGGAGAAGGCACATGGCAGCACCCGGCTCAACCTCGACGCGCATGACCTGACTAGTCAAGACAGATGGTGACGGAGATTTGAAGACCTTTGTGTGTCCCTGTGTCACCAGGCTGAGTTTTGAGCCATTTTTCACCTTGACGGAAAGGTCGACTGAGTCGCCGCCGACCAGGCCACCACCGTACGAGAGCAGAAAAACGAGGACGCTGCTCTGATCGCTCGAAGCAGATGGCGAAATGAGCTTGAGAGGGTATTGATATTGCATGATTTCGAGCCCGGTGCCGCCGGAAGGCAGTGGTCCGGCCACGATGCTACCTCCTCCTGCGGTGGCCGTAGACTGGGGGAAAGGCGAGGCCATTTCGGAGGGCTGCCTGACGTTCGCGAAATCGGAGCCGATTCTGTCCGAACATTCCGATATAAAGAAGCTGAAGATGGTCAATGATCAGTGAATTCGTCAGTACGCTCAAGAGCTTCACGCTGTCAATGCATGGCTGTTGGTGTTGATGATGCTGATGCGAAGCCGAAACCGGAGGCATTTGATTGGTGCTGCACACCGTCCTATTTTGATGGGCGACCACGCCTGGTTATTCATATTTTCCTCGGCCACCAATTTAGACTCTATCGCAGGAAAGATGATGCGCAGACATCATTTTCTATCACAAGTCATTGGATCGACCAATTTTTTGTTTCGACACGCAAAGAAGCGCTCGTTGTAAATGGGCTCTTTAATGTGCCAGTCGGTGCCTTCGACCATTGCCGAGTAGCACTTTGCAACGATGCGCGTCATGCTCTGCGGAATTTCAGGTAGCCGCATTGATAATGACCTTAAAATTGTCGCTCAGCTTAGAAGCTTCTCACATCATGATGGGTCACATATTTGCCGATAAACATTGGCATGGCTGCTTGTATCGCCATTGCAAGCTGATCAACGACTTACGACTGGTGATGTTGATGCCCAATGCCTCGAAGATGAAGTCAACTGAGTGAAGACCGTACGCTACATAGCGCAAAGGATTGACCGACACGGCTATTTGCGGAATACGACTTGTTTGGATGCCTACGAAAGATTTAGGTTCCGATGTATGATGCCGACAAGCTATGCTCGTAGCCCCTTGCTTTCCTGTACGGAGCTCGAGATCTCGTGCTCCGAGGTTGGACTGCACCGAGCAGTTTTCAATCTAGATTACAGCGACCAAAGTTCCATGCCACTGTTTTCAAGCTTGACATTAAGTCTAATGTTTCACACGGGCCTCCTCAACCTGTCTTGGTTCATGACAAGAGTGCTCGTGGAGAGCGATGGCCAGGTGCTTGGATCCCATGGGTATGTCATTGTTCTCTGGTCAGCGCGTTAACAAACAAAACAAGGTGCAGAGACTCTGCAGAAACTACAGTTTGTAATCGAGAGAAAGGCGTATTGAGCAGCTGGTAACGCCAGGAACGACAAGAATGGCGCCTTGAGGCAAGGGCGAGAGCCGTCGCCGAGCGAGACGGATATCCGAACAAACGACATAGCTCTCTCATCCAGACGGGCCCGTCACAAAGGTTAGCGATTTGATCTAGAATATTGGAACTCTTTCACTTCCTCGTGGATTCTCTTACATCGCGCACCACTGACCTAAATGCCAGCGAGCGCGGCGCCAACCTCCAATTTGGCGCACTTGAGCAGTCGCATCCTGAAAAAGCGCGTCGACCAGTTATACCAGATACTGATCCCGATTAGTCCTTTCAATTCCGGCTCTATTGGGAAATTTGTGACTCGTCAGGGCCTTGCGTCAGCGACATACGCCAGCGCATCTTCGAAACCCAGCTGTCATCGGCAAAGAGACCGGCAGGCCATGAGAAGAATTATGATGGTCGCGACCCGAGGGTTTCTTTACCTTGCCACAGTTTTTGCCAGTGCTTTGACAGCCTCGCAGGGTGGAAGACTAATTTCTGATGTGATTGAAACTGGTTCCGGTGTGGCACTCGGCGTTCTCACTAGCCCACAGAGATGGTTACGACGAAGCCCATCGTAGTAGTGTTCGTGGCTTTGATTGATGCACCATCATTGGGCTACATAGTGGCGCAAAGGGCCTCTCTCGTTCGGAAAATCTAGTTGCTTGCGTGCCTTTCATCATTGTTCGCCTCCGGCAAGACTTGCGGCCTGGAGAGCGGCCTGGAGGAAGTCGACAGCATGGCGATCTTAGCACTTTGATGGAACTGCTGTCAAAACCGGATCCAGGGTTACGCGAGAAGAAAATCGTCGATACCGGCGAGCGGAGTGAATGCCGCTACCAGCCTTCTCGGAAATGCCCCGAAATTTAGTATTTACATGGGGAGGTGGAGGATTGCAGGTGGGATCAGATAAGATAAGATCATCTGATAAAACAACTTCGCCTGTTCGGCTGAACACCGATTTCAAGCCTCACTTGCATGAGGCATTTTCTATGCAGCATCCCTGTAAATTTGCTCTCGCTATTTGCTTGGCGCTCGCGTGGCGCTCCAGCCATGAAGTTTTAGGCCCCGTCGTTGGTCAAGTGGGATGGCGATCAATACTGTTGCGAGCTGAAGCCGCAGAAAGCAACAGGCAGCCATATCTCTTTTCGGCATTGTCCGATGCGCCGTAGGCCTTTTTCCCTGTTGCGTCCCTGTACGGATACGACCCGATCAATACACTTCAGGCGAAACCTTTGCTGGTCATCCCCCCCATCCTGCACATGAGACGAGTTTTTCGACACAACAGGCATACTTGATTCTCTGCCCGAAAAGCCTCGGCGACCTGCACAAGGGTCCAGACCTCGCAATTGGAAGCATATGTACGATCTATTTCCGGAGAGGAGACTTGCTTAGCTAACACCCTGAACCTGGGCTTGTACCCTCTTCAAGGTAGATCCAACCCAACACCCTAAAAGTCGAGCGCTAAAGGACGAAGCTTTGTTCCTGTTCAACACCTAGGGCAAGGAGAACTTCTCGCTTGAAAGTCTTCATCAAAACCACTCGAGGACATTTGGTCTGCCGCTGGTCTTTCGGCCAAGATGATGTTCCTACCAAAAATCTGGTCCAGCAAAGACGAGTCGTCAGTCGACGTCTCACCGACGTCGCATTCGAATGCTGGGCCGTTGGACAGCAGCAAGACACCCGCCGTCACTAATGCCGAGCGCGACAGCCATGAGAAGAGTGAAGATGACGAGGTGCAGAAAGGTGTCGAGGAGGTCGAGGCCAGCGTCAAAGTCTGGAGTCCATTTCACATTTACCTCGCATGGGCCTTGTAAGTTTGCGTCCGGACCGTCTGACTTGTTAAAAAAAAACCTGGACTGTGATGCTGACTTGAGCGAACCACAGCATCTGGCTCGTGTATTTCGCAGATTCCATGCACTCGGGGATGGGCGTCACACTGACCGCCTACGTGACGAGCTCATTCTCCAAGCACGGTCTCACGGCCACGACCGGTGTCTTTTCGCAGCTCATTGGCGCCCTCATCAAGCTACCACTCGCTAAAGTTTTGGACATCTGGGGTCGTCCTCAGGGCGTGGCGCTGACTGTGTTCTTCATGGTCGTTGGTCTGATCATGATGGCGGCATGCCAGAACGTCGAGACGTATGCGGCAGCACAAGTATTCTACTGGGTTGGGTGAGTGAATCGTTGCAGTGCAGGCAAAGGGACTCGATCTTTTCCCCTTTCGACGCATGGTGTTGATCATGCAATCAGTTCCCTTTGTGCTCTCGCCTTTCCCTACTACTGCCAGAGGATGTCAACTAATAACTTTTCGCATCGTTTTGCAGCTTCAACGGCGTGGGTTACAGCCTACTCGTTTTCACCGCCGATACATCAGCGCTCAAGAATCGTGCTTTTGTCTTCGCCTTCATCAACACCCCCTTCATCATCTCAACACCGACCAGCGGCTACGCAGCGGAAAGGTTCGTCGCCAACGGCCCTCAAGGCTGGCGATGGGCTTTTGGTGCTTTCAGCATCATTGTTCCCGTAGTCGTAGCACCCATATTCTTCTTGTTTCTATACAATCATCGCAAGGCCAAGAGAATGGGAGCTCTCCCCCCAAGGCAGCCCAGCGGACGCACTCTACTGCAGTCAGTCAAGTACTACGCGATTCAGTTCGATCTTTTTGGCATCCTACTTGCTGCAACCGGCATGGCACTATTTCTGCTCCCGTTTAACATTTATTCATACCAGAAGGAGGGGTGGCACTCTCCCATGATCATCTGCATGCTCGTCTTTGGCATCGTGATCATCGCCTTATTCGCTCTCTACGAAAAGTATCTTGCTCCCGTCAAGTTTATCCCTTTTGAGCTCCTTGTGGACCGCACCATCATCGGCGCCTGCCTGACCGTATCGTTATCATTTATATCCTTCTACATTTGGTCGGCCTTCTTCTCCTCGTTTCTCCAAGTCGTCACCGGAGCGTCCATTGTGCAGGCGACATGGGTGGGCCGCATTTACAACATCGGAAGTTGCTTCTGGGGATTGATTGTCGGTGTACTCATTCGCTGGACCGGGCGCTTCAAGTGGCTCTCGCTCTACTTTGGCGTGCCGTTGCAAATCCTGGGCGCTGGTTTGATGATTTACTTTCGCCAACCCGGTAGACCTCTTGGGTATATCGTTATGGCGCAAATTTTCATCGCTGTGGCGGGCGGAACCCTGGTAATTTGTGAGCAAATTGCCATCATGGCCGCTGTCGCCCATAAGCATGTCGCAGTTGTCCTGGCACTGCTTGCCATGTTCTCCTCCATCGGTGGTGCCATCGGAAGCACCGTCTCTGCGGCCATCTGGACAGGTGTCTTCCCCAGAAAGGTACAGGAGTATCTTCCAGCAGAGGCAAAACAGGATGCTCCTTTGATTATCGCGAGTTTACCCAAGCAGCTGTCATACCCTGTGGGTTCCGCAGCTCGGTTGGCCATCGATAAGGCGTATGGCGATGCTCAGAGAATCATGATGATCTCAGCGACGTCCGTCTTGATTGTCACCATATTTACTGTCGCCATGTGGCGTGATTTGAAGGTCAAGGACTTTGATCGCAGGACTAACGTTAAAAACTGAGAGCTTGTTGCACTTTCATCCGAACGAAGGAAGCCATAGCAAACTGTGTCAGGCGACGGGTGAGAGCAGGTCTTGATCGTAGATGTTTGACTTCATTTTACGTGGCGCATAGTCTATTTTGCCCATTTGTGAAGGTATGTAGTATGATTCTCTCAACGAGTTCAGTTTCGCGGTTGTCTTTGGCGTGATAATATTGAAGATGTGAATGCGTGACATGACAGGCCGAGGCGGTCTTTTTGCGCAGAAGCCGATTAGCGGGGCATTGGCACCCCACTTACCCACTGAGCGAACGGCAAAGAACGAATCAGAGAACGGGAACGAGGACAATGCCCCCGTTAAATTACCGGTACCTTGGCTTCTGTGGTTTTTTTATGAGAGTATGTGTATCTGTATATTAACCGTCAATCATCCGACAGGCCAGTGAGGATCATTGACCCACAAATAGCTGCTCCCCTGCTGGAAAGCAGTCCCCTGGTAGCTTAACGACTCCAAGACGCCAAAGACGCGCCGGTCGCAGCAAACATCCGTCGCGCGCCTCGCGATCGCACAATTTCCTCCCACACTACATCGACGTTCCTGCTGATGTCGCATAGCCGACACTGACAGACGCACGAAATATAATGGAGAACGACACAGTGGCTTCCAGCCAGGATGGCGATGCGCCCCGCCGATCTGGACGCGTCGTCAAAGTTCCCGAGAAGTGGGAGCCAGAGGCGTCCGCACACCCGGCTTCAACCAAGCGCAAACGCGGCGGCGAGGGCGAGGAGGGAGACGACGATCTCGAATCCGACGAACACGAAAGCGGCGAGGATGACGACCACGGCGACGAGGACCATCCCGCTCCCCGGTCGCGACGAGCTGGTGGCGCCGGCCGCCAAAAGAAACCCTCTCTTAAGAAGCCCAAGACCAATGGCGCCGGCGGCCACACAGCGCGTATTCCCAGCAGGCCAAAGAAGACTGTCCGAATTGAAGCAGGAACCAAGGGAACGGGTCTGTTCGGTACGCTATTCCTCACCGCACTCACTCCTCACTGGGCTAACACGCTCGATAGTGGACATTTTCGGCTCCGGAGAGCCTTCACAAACCGTCGCCCACCAATGGCTCGAAAGATACAAGGCAGACAATGCTGCTGCTCTGAGTGACCTAGTCAACTGTATTCTGCAATGCGCTGGCTGCGACCTCGAAGTCACGCCTGACGACATTCGCGACCCCGAAAATATCCCCAATAGACTTGTCGACCTTCAAGGCATCTATCAAGAGGTATATGCTACAGAAACATATTTTCATGCCCGTTATATGCTGACGCTTAGTAGCAAAATATTCTCGAATACCCTCTCATTTCGCGAGCCAAAGGTACACGATCGTTCCGGGACCTTCTCGTCACCTTCTTCCACGCTCTTATCGCCCTGCTTCACGACACGGATCTCATGTACCAGGACACAGAACTGATGGAAAACCTTCATGCTTGGCTGGCCAGTATGTCCTCATCCTCACTGCGACCGTTTCGCCACACCGCCACAACCATCGCATTGGCGGCCCAGACCGGACTTGTCGATGTAGCCGGTACACTCGATCGTCGCATTGCCAACATCGAGCAACAGCTACAAGCCGCTAAGCGCGGTAAGAACAAGATCAAGACTGCGGAAGTGCAGCGCAACTTGGAGGAGGCAAATAGCCACCGAAGCCTTTGCAGTGAAGCTATTCAGTCGTATTTCGATACCGTTTTTGTACATCGCTACCGTGATGTTGACCCCAAAATCCGCACTGAATGCGTTGAGGCCCTTGGTTCCTGGATCTGGGACCTTCCTACCGTCTTCATGGAGCCTGGATACCTCCGCTATCTGGGATGGATGTTGTCCGATGTCAACGCTCCCACTCGACTCGAAGTTTTGCGTCAGCTGTGGAAGGTCTTCAAGCGCAGCGCCCAACAGCTTATCCACTTCATCGATCGATTTCGGCCGCGACTGATTGAAATAGCCACGCTTGACTCCGAAATTTCCGTACGAGTTACTGCCATCTCGGTCATTGACACACTGCGCGCCGCCGCTCTTCTCGAACCTAGTGAGATTGACGCCATTGGCAGGCTCATTTTCGACAATGAAATCAGAATACGCAAGGCTGTCGTGAATTTCTTTGGTGCTTGCGTTGAAGATGTGAAGGAAGGCAAGATGGAAGAGCTTGGTGGCCAAGATGCCCTGGACGAGATTGATGTTGGCGATGAGGAAGATTTTGAATCACCACGCAAAGAGTGGCTGGACATCAAGTGCCTCGCCGAAACCTTAGCCATCTACAATGCACAGGTTGATGAGGCGCAGCAGAATAATGGCTCCATTGGCACCGAAGTTTCCTTGGATCTCATTGAGTCTGTTGTACCTGAGACGAGGATAACACTTGCTGCGCAGGCCCTTTACGAGAAGATACCCGAAATCAAGTCCTGGGAGATTCTGGCTGGATATCTTCTCTTTGATCACTCGACGAGCACAAAGTCGCGTAGCAAAGCCAAGGGCAAGAGCGCGTCTCCAGAGGCTGCTTTCAAGAAAGCCATTGCGCCACTGAGGGAAGAAGAATCCATTCTTCTCGAAGTTCTCAGCTCTGGGATCAGATCTTCCCTTACACATTCTGGAGGTGACGTTGATCGCAGCCGACGGAGAGGGAATCGTGAAGCTGCTGATGCTCAAGAGGACATTGCAATTGAACTTGCCAGTATTATTCCGAAACTTCTTAGCAAGTTTGGCGCCGAGCCTGAAACGGCTGCCATCGTCTTGCGTTTGGAGCACAACCTCGATCTCGACGTTTTCCAGCAGCTCCGCCAAGACTCGAGCAAATATGGAAGACTACTGGACGAAATAAGCACACAATTCATTAGACACGACGATAAGAGAGTCTTGTCAGAAGCTGCTACTGCGTTGCTCCATGCCCGTCAATATGACGAACTGGAAGAGCTCACAGATAGCAAGCTGTCACTTTTGTGGGACAATGTTATTGACGCGCTGCGCAATGTGAGCAATACGTGCGAACTCTCTGTTCGCGGAAATCTCGCGGCAGCGCCTCTTCACCAATTATCAACGCTGTTGATGAAGATTAGCAAGCTGGCTAGTATTGCGGATTGCGTGGATATCTTGGAAGCTGAGCCGAGGTCTACGAATGCGGACTCATCAGCGATCCAGACCCTCATCAACATTGTCCATCGCGGTAAATACGAGCCACAGGAGGACGAGATTGATGATCTGGAGGATGAGATTGTGACGCTCGCGATCAAGGCCTGTCAATTTTATTTCATGTGGAAAATTCGCTCTCTATCAAAGCGACTGGCAGCTGGTGTCAGTATTCCCGACGCTGAGATTGACCGTTGCTCTGTACTTCGCCAATCCTACCGCCGTCACGTCATTGAGACGTTCTCGTCTCGCGCTGCCATCGATCAATTGCGTCTCTTTGCGACTGGCAGCCTCTGCGACCTGCATCTATCTTTTGCCACACTTCGGCCCAGGATCAATGCGCTCCGAAGCTCTGGCGAGCCAGCCCGCGCCGACATGTTCAGAGTCCTCATCCAGCAGATAGAGCCTGGCCTCGTACCCGAACTGACGTCAATCTTTGACGGCGCGGAAAAGCAATTCGCCAAAAAGTCCAAGAAAGACAAGGTGCTCAACGAGCCAGCGGAGGACGAGGACCCCATGTCCGACGAAGAAGAGGATGATGATGAGGACGATGAGGACGCCGAGCTCACCTCCGAGCAGCGCCTCGCCAACGAGCTACGGGCCGAAAAGTCACTCTGCGAGTTGACAGCCAAGTATGTGCTCGCCATCAGCGGCCGCCTCATCGACGACCGCGGCGGGCTCGTGGACAAGCTGCGCCGCCGCCTGCTCCGCAATCAAACCAAGCTCGGCAACAACTTCAAGGAGGTGGTGGCGTTTCTCGACGAGGACAAGATGGCGCGCGCGGCGAGAAAGGCCGCGCCCAAGCCCAGCACCGCTCACAAGCCCGCTGAAAAGGAGACGACGCCGGCGGCGCATGACCTTGACAACATGTTTGAAGAGGAGCCCGAGCCTGAGGAGGGATCGCGCGAGGACCTGCGCCGCAAGGGCCTGCTCGAGGACGATCCGATTGACGACGATGACGACCATGATCACGGCCAACAAGAAAGCCGCTTCGAGGACGATGTCCTAGGTGATTAGCCGCTGTTTTTGTCGCAGAATAAAGCAAAGAAAGTTAGGAAAAAAAACATGGGTTAGCGATGTTGCCAAACTGGGCGATGCTTGAAGAGCGAGATGTTGCATCAAAGTAGCAACGAAGAGGAGCTCAAGGGGGGTTAACCCGACATTGCTTTGGTTTAGAAATTTTGTCACGCTGTGAAAGAAGGAAGAAGATACGACAGCGTATATCAGGGATCTACTCTCTTTGGTTTCTTATCTGCGACCTGAGCCCCTTTTCCCACATACGGGCCCTCTCTTTTGCCCTCTTCTTCTGTTGTATATGTTCAACTTTTCCTCTCTTGCAAAAAAAAAAAAAAGGCAACGGGGTGGTCTCGTATCTGCGGATCTTTGTCATGTTTTGCGTTTCTATTTGTGATTCAGGATGCGGGCTTTTTTTCATTACTATTGTTCGTGTCGGCTGTATGCGCGCGCTTCGTTATAGTATACTCGTCTTTTTCTTTTGTTTTTTTCTAGGTCTCTGGTCACCTGGCGGAGTGTCTTTTGTGTAATGAGAAGAATTGATTTGTCGCGCAACGGTGTTTACACTGAAGTTGCCGTCATGCATGCATATATGTTCTGGTGGTTTCTGCATAGTAGCTTTATACACCATCTGACAGAGGGATGCTTGGAATCTTGGAATTTTGTGAAGTTCGATGAGTAATTCTGCATTATAGATAAGAGTTTGTGCATGACGCCTATTCTTATCTTGACCACATCTTACAGGGAAATTTGCGTCCCAAACAGACCGTACATGCGCTGCCAGCGCTTGCCTTCGCCCGCGTCGGCTTTGCCCTCGTCTGCTTCCCGCAGTTTAACACCGTACTGCTTGATGCAGCACGTGAATGGGATATTAGTCGGCTCCACGGCCGCGCTGACTTCTTCATCGTCGCTGTGCGCTGGCGCGGCATGGGCGCGGGCCTGCTTCTCCGCCTTTTCTATGCGCAGCAGCTTCTGCGACTTGCGTTCTTCCAGGTCGCCCCAGAGGTAAAACAGCTTCTGACGTAGCTTCGACAGCGTGTCCTTGCTGTTGCGGAGATCGCATGCATCCATGCTCAACAGACACTGCGCGGCGTGGTTGTCGACGGTGACCCAGACATGGTCCTTGGGTTCCGTCTCCGAATCTCGGACGTCCTCTAGGAGCAGATAGAAGCGCCACTCCCATCCAGCAATCTTTTCGCGTGAGACGAATCGAACCATTTCGTTAGCATCCTCGTCGTCTGACGGCTCGTGTTCTTCGTCAGACAGACAATCGTTTATGTTGCCTTTGAGTTTTGGATATGCAAAACCTTCGAGTTTGTGAGGGAGATAGTCCTTGACGCGGACACTCGCACGGTAATTGGCGTTGATAAAGGGAAGCGGCAATTTGGCAGCGTCCTTGCCGATCACAGTGTCAACGTAGATTTGTTCTAGCAGCTCTGGTACGGTGCTGAGTGGTTGCTTCTCATTTTCACACTTGACTGCGATATAATTGTTAATTGAGGTGCAGTCGGCAGAAGAACAAGCACTGACTGGTAGGGTTGAATTTGATTCCGGGAACAACCGGTTCAGGTATGAGGGGTTGGCCGTTCTTCGAGCTAGGTTTAAGCACTGCAGCATTCCCAGCAGCCTGCCGTTTCTCAGCCCGTCTTTCTTTCGCGTTTTTTTTACGAGGTTTTGAATCATCTTGCAGCGCTGCACGTCGTTTCTGACCAGCATTCGCAGCGTCTTTCAATGACTTGAGTTGCTTCTTCTTCTCCAGATTATAGTCTCGGCGTCGGCGAATTGTCTCCTTCAATCGGGAATCCATGGAATCGCCATCTTCGTGGGGATCGAGCACCGAGATATAAATTTTGTTTGGATACAGCTGGTCTCCGCGGAGAAAGCCCTCCAGGTTGCTGCTGTTACGGCCGAACTTGATTTGCAGATTCCGAATAGAAACCCAGGAGCCAACAGATATGTCGTTGGCCCTGATTGCCTCTGCGTGCGGCTGCCAGCATGTAATCTGCATGCTGTGCTTGCCGTACGGGCCGCTCCAGTCAGCGTCTGTAGTGCTGGAGCAAACGCCGTAATTGTATGGGTCAGAGGGCGCATGAGATCCGAGGCTTTGTATAGCAAAGTTGAAGAAATTTGGGTGCTCCGTGTAGTCGGATATCCACAGAGTGAACCTATCCCCCAAGTCGTACGGCTTTTTGACTACTTCAACAATGACGTTGACGAAGCGATCGCTTGCTACGTCTTTGAGGAGGCTGAATTTTTCTTTGATATTCATGGACATTTCCATCTTGGAGTGGTATTCAGCGGCTGCTGGTACCCTTCTCTTATCGAGTCGATGGTAGAAGGTTGATACAAAGGCAAGGTCAGTCTTTGTAAGAACCTTGCTTGCTTTCTTGACAAGTGGTTGCAAGGCATCTTGTGCGTCTTGCGGAGGTTTTGGAATACCCGAAGCCGCAAATATATAGATGTCAGTGTTCCGATTCGTCATCAGAGAAAATTCGGATTGGTATGATTGGACCTGCCAGTACGGTCAGTGCGGCTGGCCAAGAACGAGGGTCATGATTTGACCGACCTTTGCGCCAAGAATGACGACAACATCGCCACAAGAGGGTACTGGCATGTCTTTGGGATTACCAAAGAGATTCAGTGTTAATGACTTGAGGTCGTCATCCTGGGTAGATTCGTCGTAAAAACGGATCTGGGCTTTGAAATCTGGATTTTTACTGGATTAATACTTGCGAGAAGGCTGGTGAAGGGTTAAAATGGCGTACCCTCTCGCCTCGTTGGAATTGGAGCTCTGAAATCTACGACTACTCCAATCGTGTTGACCAAGGTTAGCGTAGGGCATCGACCCTCGAGGACATGGTCAGCAGCGGTAAAGGAAGTGGCTGCGGGGGCCATTTGTTGATTAGGACATGTGTATTGTATATAAGTCAAAGAAGAATGAGCCTTGACAACAACGACGTGTGTCAGCAGCGTGCACTGGTAGCATGGGTGAAGAGGTGATTCTGGCTGGTTCGTCGCGTCTGAGCGAAGCTATACGCGTTTAGCTGTCGAGGAAATGGCATGGGCGGCACGGAAGCACGTGACAGGCTAAGCTGGAGAAGCTGATGATTGGTGGAGCAGAAAGAAGGCATCAAAATGTGACAGGCGAAAGGGGGGCCGGAGTATGTATCTGCTCGCAGCAAGTACGAGTCAGACCGTCTGTATTGACTGTCTGACAAAGTCCTCGGTACTTGTAGCTGACTGATGCCTCAGGTTTCAAAACGCTTGAGAACGGGCGCCGCCCCTCCTGCAAGACCAAGGGCGGTGGAAGCTCTGTGACCTAGCGAGTTGGAGGCCAACTGGTAGCGAGCTACAGGGGGCTACAGACGGTTACAGGGAGCAAAACGTACCGCTTCAGCGGGTGGTGCACCGCCGAAAAAGGTTAGCGTCACACTTTAGTGACCCCCCCCGCACCGCTTTCTCTCTGGCAACCGAAAAAGGACCCTCCTTGGACGTCCACTTTCTACCGCAATTTGAACCGCTCTGCCAAACTCTGCCCGCCGTCACACTTCTGCTTTTTGCATCTTGCACCACCCGTTATTCTTTTCTCTTTCGGACTGCTTCTCTTCCGCAGATCCTCCTTCTTCCGTCGATATAGCTGAATAGTCGACTTTTCGTTTATCACTTTCCTCTCCTAGGCGTGTTTCTACCGTGGGCTCGCCGCCACCTTGTCTCCTCCTTCAACCCCTCCTCGCCAAAAACACACCTCGAAGCAATCAACATGACTGATCGCTACATCCCCGAACATCGCCGAACGCAGTTCAAGGCCAAAGGCGCCTTTAAGCCCGAGGAGCTCCGTCGCCGTCGTGAGGAGCAGCAGATTGAAATTCGAAAGGCCAAGCGCGAGGATAACCTCGCCAAGCGTCGTGGTATTGCTACTGGCGAGAACCGTCCCGGTGCCTCGCTCGGCGCTGCTCCCGACAGTGACGATGAGTCCACTCCAACAGAATCTCAGGTATGCACAATCCCGAGATCTACACATTTTGCACAGTAACGTGCCTCCCTAACGCGCTGCGTTGGCTGTTTTTCGTCTGCAACTCACGCAAGTCCTGTGCTTGGCATGATTCGGCTGTGGATGTGGGGGATATCACACTGTGGTCAACCCCACAGAGCCTCACCACCACAGCCAAAAAGAATTTGCGGCAGCTTCAGGAGCTTCGGCACAGCTGTTAGCCTGTCATTGCACTATGCTGTATCAATTTTCAAGCATGTCGCTAACTTTTGTCAACCTCGCAGCTCAATGAGGACCTTCCCCAGATGGTCCAGGGTGTCTTCTCCGACCAGATGGAGCAGCAGATCGCGGCCACGACCAAGTTTCGCAAGCTGCTATCAAAGGAACGCAATCCGCCCATCGAGGAGGTGATCAAGACTGGTGTCGTCAGCCGCTTTGTCGAATTCCTCCGATCTCCTCACACCCTTGTCCAGTTCGAAGCTGCCTGGGCTCTGACCAACATTGCCTCCGGTTCCGCTACTCAGACTCAGGTCGTCATCGAGGCCGGCGCCGTGCCCATCTTTGTTGAGCTCTTGGCCAGTCCAGAACCTGATGTGCGTGAGCAAGCCGTCTGGGCTCTCGGTAACATTGCTGGTGATAGCCCTCACTGCCGTGATTACGTCCTGAGCTGCGGTGCTCTCAAGCCTCTACTCAACCTACTTGGCGACAGCCGCAAGCTAAGCATGCTTCGAAATGCCACCTGGACTCTGAGCAACTTTTGCCGTGGCAAGACTCCCCAGCCGGATTGGAACACTGTAAGTCTAGATTGCAAGCTGGCTAATACGCTGTTGGCTGTGTTTGTATGCTGATAGACCGTTTAGATTGCCCCCGCTCTGCCCGTTCTCTCCAAGCTCGTGTACTCTCTTGATGACGAGGTCCTTATTGATGCGTGCTGGGCCATCTCGTATCTTTCCGATGGTCCCAACGAGAAGATCCAGGCCGTGATCGAGGCTGGCATTCCTCGCAGACTTGTCGAGCTTCTGCTCCACGCCTCCACCTCTGTCCAGACCCCTGCTCTGCGCTCTGTTGGCAACATAGTCACTGGCGACGACATGCAAACTCAGGTTATCATCAACTGTGGTGCTCTTCCCTGCCTGCTGTCTCTCCTCAGCTCCACTAAGGACGGCATCCGTAAAGAGGCCTGCTGGACCATTTCTAACATCACTGCCGGCAATTCAGCTCAGATCCAGGCTGTGATCGATGCCAACATCATCCCTCCTCTGATCCACCTTCTACAGAATGGTGATCTCAAGACCCGTAAGGAGGCCTGCTGGGCTATCAGCAACGCTACATCGGGTGGCCTGCAGAAGCCTGAGCAGATTCGCTACCTTGTCGGTCAAGGTTGCATCAAGCCCCTATGTGATCTTCTCATCTGCCCTGACAACAAGATCATCCAGGTTGCCCTTGACGGTCTTGAGAATATTCTCAAGATCGGTGACCTCGACAAGCAGGCTGCTGGCGAAGGCGTTGAGAACCTCAACAAGTACGCCCTCTTTATTGAGGAGTGTGGTGGCATGGAAAAGATCCACGACTGTCAAAACAACGCCAACGAGGAAATTTACATGAAGGCCTACAACATCATCGAAAAGTACTTTTCTGACGAGGAGGAGAACGCTGATGAGGGCATGGCCCAGCCTGCTGGCCCCAACGGTCAGTTCGGTTTCGGTACCAATGGCTCCGGCCAGGCTGGTGGCTTCAACTTTGCCAACGGCGGTGACTCGATGGACATGTAAAGCGTCTGCAGTAGAGACGATGAATTATGCCGCGCTGCGAAATGCGAATGAACTCGCTGGATGATATACCAACATGTCAATCCAGTCTCCCGACACACCACTACAACTCCTCATGACGACAACAAACACAACACGGCCATGCCCATCAGTGCGTGCCTGCTCCTGCTTGCGAGCAAAAGCTATTCCCTGGACATAACACTACATACCCCTCGTTACTCGTTGACCCTACATTCCCCAACATCAACATAGCACTAGTCCTTTTTTTAATCAGTTTAATGCATTCGCACGGAAGGAAGAAGAGTATAAAAGGCCCTATGGTAGCTTGAAAGCTCCAGCCTCGAGATGATTTGATGAGCGACATCAAGCCTTGGCTTCAGCGCAAGCCTTAACAGATGGAAAATGAAGAGGCTCCATATAGACCGCTCAGTGTCTATGCACAGCGCCAGTACATTTACTGGGGCGGCAGTTGTTGATGGTGAGCTTCGCCTATTGATGGAGCGATACAACTCGGGCAGTCAATGCTAGTGCAGCCTGCACCGCGAAGAACGGAATCAGCCGGAGACTTTGTTGCCAAGTGGCTCATTCTCGCTCCAGGGATTCTCGCTTCTAGTTGTAGCGAAATAAAGAACCAATTCCCCCAAGCCACCCCCTGTCTCGTGATGCGAATTGTAGTTGCTGCTGTAGTGCATGAAGTAATTCGGCGATCAACGTCCGGGGTACACGGCCAATTGGGTAAAAACTCTTGACTTGGATCAAATCAGTTTCAAAAATATCAAAGCAGACAATCTGTATGAATTCACACCATGCTACACTTCTCTGTGGACGACTGAAGAGAGTTTGGTGTTGGTGTGCATGTGGGGCGTGACTGTTAGATGTCGCCGCCGGACGGATACATGTGTTGCAGTGCGGACAGCAGTCAATTCGCCACAAGCCTTTTCAAGACATCGCCTGAGGCCTCGTCCGCATATAGTTCGCTTATATAGGCCCAGCACACTTCTTTTTCATTACTGAGCGCGCGATCCTGCCCCATCTGCGAACTAATGGCAGCCTGAAGCCTCACCGAAAATTTTGTCCGCAGACGAGACAGCTTCCACTCGGTGTGACATAAAGTCGCCCACCATGGTGAAAAAGGGTAAAGCCAAGCTCACGGAGCCAGCCAAACCTGCTGTTCCTCCGGCTGCTACAGTAAAAGATGGGGGAAAGGGCAAAAAGGGCGCCAAGTCGGAGGCGGCAGTGCCTCCCGAGCTCGGTCCCGTCGGCCCTCCCAAGCCCACTGTGAAGCAGCTCATCGGCGGTTCCTCGTGGACGGGCAAGCTGCCGGTGAATCTGCTGAGCGAGTACTGTCAAAAGCAGAAGTGGGATCGCCCCGACTACGACACGCGCAAAACGCCCGATGGTTTCTCCGTGTTTGTGACGCTGAGCGCCAAGGACCCCAAGACTCAGCTGACGACGCGGCTGGAGCCATTCAAGATCCCGCCGACGCACAAGCACCTCATCATGCGGGACACGGCAATCGAGGCCAAGCACGCAGCGGCGACGTACGCGCTCTTCCGCGTCTGTAGCATGCAGAACAAGCACACGGTGCTGCCGCCAGACCACAAGGCGCTTTGGAAGGACTTTCAGGCGCTCAAGGCGCAGGACGTCAGGGATGGCAAGGGCTGGATCTATGACGCGGACCCTTTCAAGACCTTTCATGAGAGGCAGGAGGCGAAAGCGGCGGCGGAGAAGAAGCGCAAAGAGGCCGATGCGCTCAAGGCCAAGGCCAAGGAGATGCCTGGTGCTGCTGGTCTAGTGCTCCTAAGCAATGCGGGGGGCGGTCGAGGCGGTGGTGGCAGTAGTAACGGCGGTGGTGATAGGGGGTCGAACATCATGAAGGGTTGGACGAATGCGCCCAACGTGGAAATGGGCCGGCAGACGCGATCGCAACTGGAAACCCTCTTGCGCGGTGGTGTCTCGTGGAACCCGTATGCGGTGCAGATGTCACAGGCTATAAAGGACGGTGTCGTGGCCGAGCTTTGCAAGATTGGCTTCCGCAAGACACACGTCGCTGAAGCTGTCGAGTACTGCAAGGACCGAGAAGAGACGCTGGAGTGGCTCCTCATCCACGTGCCCGAGGATGATTTGCCACGGTGGGCGTTGCCTGAGAAATATGCCGCCGGTGTGACAATCGGCACAAACGATCTCAAGAGGGATGGTACCATCCAACGTCTCTCGCAGAACGGATACTCGCTCGAACTGTGCGCGAGGGTGTACGACCAGGTTGGCGGCGATGAGAGCAAGACGGCAGAGGCACTTCAGAACCTGTTGTTCTCGGGGCCCAAGAACGGGGCCGAGGGCGAACAAGAGTCGCTCGACTTTCTGGATATGGGGTCGCCAGAGGAACAGTGGCGCGAGGAGATGGAGAGCTTAGAATCAATGTACGGAAACTTGTTCTCAAGAGATGGCGCCGACACTGTCAAGATACAGCTTGAATCAGTCAAGAATCCGCCTCACCAGGTTGAAGCCTCGCTACAAGTTCGACGAGGTTCAGACTATCCGAATACACTGATCCTCGGCATCGTTGCCAACTTGCCTTCATACATCAAATTGAGCATCATTCGCAAAGCTCTGGAATACATGGATTCGTCACTGCGAGAAGAGCCGATGAAGGTGTATTTGGTACTGGACTGGATTCAACAAAACATAAACGATATCATTGAACATCCGGGACAGCTGGTCGACATCTCAGCAGTCTCATCTGCCGCCGCCGAGCAAAAGCCAGGTGACGCAGTCAAATCTAAAAGGAGACAACGGACAATGCCAAGAGCCATCAAATGGAACCCTGATGCGCGCAGCAAGGAAGCCTGGTTCAAGCGCCAAGAAAGCTCAGCGTACAAGGAGATGCTCGGCAAGAGACAGAAATTGCCGGCTTGGCAGATGCGCGAAAGAATCGTCAAGACAGTCATGGACAACCACGTCACCATCATTAGCGGCGAGACGGGTTCAGGGAAATCAACGCAATCGGTTCAGTTTATCCTCGATGATTTGTACGAAAAGGGCCTGGGAGACTGTGCCAACATGCTCGTCACACAGCCGCGCCGTATCTCGGCACTCGGTCTCGCCGACCGTGTTGCAGAAGAACGATGCGGCCGTGTGGGACAAGAGGTCGGTTATGCGATTCGCGGTGAAGCGCGTCAATCCAAGGATACAAGAATCACATTTATGACGACAGGTATCTTACTTCGCCGCTTGCAAACGTCTGGTGGTCGTGTTGACGATGTGGTTGCCTCACTTGCCGATGTTAGCCATGTCATTGTTGACGAGGTTCACGAGCGAAGTCTAGATACAGACTTTTTGCTCAACTTGATTCGCGAAGTGATGCGCATGAAAAAGGACGCCCTGAAGCTGATACTGATGTCTGCTACGCTGGATGCCGCTTCGTTTATAAACTACTTTGCGTCTGAAGGCCTGAAAGTTGGCGCTGTCGAAATCGAAGGCAGGACATATCCTGTCGACAATTATTTCCTGGACGATGTTATCCGCATGACGGGATATAACGCAGAGACGCCAGACGGCGAGTTCATTGGCGATGAGCTCATGGGCAAGATTATCCAGAAGCTCGGTCACCGCATCAATTACAACCTCATTGTCGAGACCGTCAAAGCCATTGATTATGAGCTAACCTATGACAAGCAGCCAGGCGGAATACTCATCTTTCTCCCGGGAGTGGGTGAAATTGGCCAGGCTTGCAGAGCGCTACAAGCAATCACCTCGCTGCATGTGCTCCCACTACATGCCTCTCTGGAAACCAGAGAGCAGAAGCGCGTGTTTGCGAGCGCACCTCACGGCAAGCGCAAGGTTGTCGTGGCCACCAACGTGGCCGAAACATCCATTACCATCGATGACATTGTCGCCGTCATTGATAGCGGAAAGGTCAAGGAAACCAGCTTTGACCCCGGCAACAATATGCGTAAACTCGAAGAGACGTGGGCCTCACGCGCGGCCTGCAAGCAGCGTCGCGGTCGTGCTGGTCGTGTACAGGAAGGCAAGTGCTACAAGCTCTACACGCAGAATCTCGAGAACCAAATGGCTGAGCGGCCCGAGCCTGAGATTCGCCGCGTGCCGCTCGAGCAGCTGTGCCTGTCGGTGCGCGCCATGGGTATGCGCGACGTCGCGCGTTTTCTGGGCAGATCGCCGACGCCGCCAGAGGCACTGGCCATTGAAGGGGCAATGAAGCTGCTCCGCCGCATGGGCGCGCTGGATGGCGACGAGCTGACGGCCATGGGCCAGCAGCTGGCCATGCTGCCGGCGGACCTACGCTGCGGCAAGCTCATGGTGTTTGGTGCTATCTTTGGCTGCCTGGACGACTGCGTGACGATTGCGGCGATTCTCAGCACTAGAAGCCCGTTCATATCGCCGCAGGACAAGCGCGATGCGGCCAAGGACGCCCGCATGCGCTTCTTTGCCGGCGATGGCGACCTGCTGACCGACTTGGCCGCGTACACGGAGTGGAAGGGCCTGATGCGCGACCGACTCCCGATGAAGCAGGTCCGCGCGTTTTGCGACGACAATTTCCTCTCGCACCTGACCCTGTCGGACATTTCCAACACCAAGTCGCAGTACTACACGGCGCTCGCGGAGATGGGTCTCGTGTCGCCAAGGGAAGCGGCGGCTGCGGAGGAGGATGCCGTCGGTGCGGCCGCGGCGGGCGATGCGGGAAGCGGCCGGAAGAAGAACTCGCAGCTGCTGCGGGCGCTCGTCGCGTCGGCGTTTACGCCACAGATTGCGAGGATCCAGTACCCGGACAAGAAGTTTGCAAGCTCCATGTCGGGCGCGGTGGAGCTGGATCCGGAGGCGCGGTCCATCAAGTACTTTAACCAGGAGAACGGGCGGGTGTTTGTGCACCCGAGCAGCACAATCTTTGACAGTCAGGGCTTTTCCGGGCACGCGGCGTACATGGCGTACTTTTCCATCATTGCCACATCCAAGGTGTTTATCCGGGATCTCTCTCGTAAGTTGATGCCATCACACTGCCCCCCCCCTCCAAAAAAAAAAAAAAACCTTGCGAGAGCAAAAACAGCTAACCAGAGACACAAATTAGCATTCAACGTGTATACGTTGCTCATGTTTTCGGGCCCCATTGAGCTTGACACGCTGGGCCGCGGCCTGTTGGTGGATGGCTGGCTGAGGCTGCGGGGGTGGGCGCGCATCGGCGTCTTGGTCGCGCGGTTGCGCGGCATGGTGGATGACTTGATTGCGGAAAAGGTGGAAAAGCCGGGCTTGGACTTGCGTGGTAACGAGGTTATTAAGTTGGTGACGAAGCTGATTGAGCTAAACGGGTTGGATGCGTAGATGGAATTGCATGGTTTGGGAAAAAAACGTTTGATGACACCGGGGAAGACTTGAAGCTCTCGAGTACGCATGCATAGAGCTGACACATGAGATGGATATATCATAGACAAGAATGGTGGAATGAAATCATTATATTCTGGAGTAGACTTTTTTTCACCATCTACACCTCGCTCATGCTGTATGAAAGCCGAGGCCCGCATCTCTATCCACGTCTTCTCGTACGTCGTTTTAGTGATACTTCTATTACTTACTCTCGCTTCCACTCGTCAAACTCTTGCTCTAGATGATCTTTTAGCTGCGCAAACTTGTTCCCAAAGTTGCGCTCGCACCGCCAGCACCGCAGGTCCCAGTTCAGATAGCCCTCGCGCCTCGTATCCCTCCTCGGATCGTCCTCTGCCAGCGGAAAGTCGTCAATATCCACCAAAAACGGCGTCACAAACGAATTGTAATGCTTCCTGTGCTTCATCTTGTGCGAGTGCATGTCCCTTGACAACACGTGCACGTGCACGTGGCTCATACTCGGCACCGCATGCACGCCGCAAATGACCTCGGCCGCCCAGTCCCTCCCCGGCGGCAGCATCATCTCTCCACCACCACCACCACCACCACCACCTTGGCCCTGGACCGCTGCTTCTTCCCCGTCGAGCACGGCTTGCCGCGCCGCCTCGGCCCTGCTGAACCGTCCGAGCTGCCGTTGCAGCTCCGCCGCTACCAGCGCGCGCGTGCGCGCAACTTGCACGCGGACGTCCGCCAGCAGCGTCGGGTCGGCGAGAGCGTCAAACGGGTGCAGCAGGTTAATGGCGGAGGACCGCGGCAGGATGAGCGTGTGGACTGTGGCTTTGGGGAACTTGTCGCGGATGACGACAAAGTCGGCGTCGTGGGCGACGACGACTGACGCGGGAAAGGCTGAGGGTTCCGCGAGATAGGCGCCTAGGCCCATGCGGTCCTTGAACAAGTGGCCGCCGCCGGGTAAAGGGCGCGCTGGAGCTTTTTTCTTGGGTGCCATGAGCGCGGCGACTGAAAAAGGGGGTTTTTGGTTCTTTTGCGTTAGCCATAGGGCGCGAGAGATGATCTGGGTATCAAAGGACAAAGGCGTACATGGGTTTTTACGCTTTTCCCCAGCGGGAACCGCCTCGGGGCCGCTTTGAATCTCCTCTTTAGTGAGGGCTTCTTCGGCACTCGGCTCTGGATCGCCCATGATGTTATTTTTTGGGTTTCTGTGCTGGGAGGGAGATTGGGACTGGATCCTGCTTGAGCAAGGCTGAAGAGTCCAAAGTTCACGCAAGTCGCCACTTTACTAGAACAGGCTGCCCGATCCGGCAACTAGCCACGCTCCAATCCAACGGCGCAAGCGATACACGAACTATCGTTTGTAAACTATCGTTTGTGTACTCGCTATAAATTTCACAAGAGATGTGAATAAGAAGACGAAACTGTGTGTCAAAGTGTGCCGTCTCGTTTGTTTTTACAGAACCAAAACGTACTCATGAATCATTTTGCAAACTTCATGTTCCTGCTAAATTCCTAACCTAATCCGACCAAGAATCTCCGAGTGTTGCACGCTTCTCTTTTTAAGAAAAATTATTTGGTATGAATTCAATAGTACACAAAACGTATCCTTCCGCGAAAGCATTACACGGAGCTTCAGTCATCTCTCTCTGCATCTTCGGCATCCTCAGCATCCTCAACACCCTCGGCGTCCTCACCAGTCTCAAAGTCCTCGGCATCTTCGGCGTCCTCATCGACAGTATCGGCATTGGCCTCCTGATCCTCCTGGGCCAGCTGCTCCTCGGCGGCATCAGCGTTGCTCTTGCGGCCGCGACCCTTGCCACGCTGGGAGGTAGTGGGTGTCTGCAGACCAACGGCATTGGAGGCACGCGGACGACGGCCGCGTTTGGCGCTTCCATCAGTGGTAGTTGTGGCAGCGGACGGGGGTCTTCCGCGACCCCGACCAGTGCCAGCAGCGGCCTTCTTGGGAGTGGTGGCCGAGGCAGCCTTGCCAGAGCCCTTGGGACGGCCACGGGGCTTGCCTGTAGGAACATAGGCGGGCTTGGTTCTGCCGGTGGGCGGCCGACCTCGAGGCTTACCCGACGGCACATAAGGCTGCTTCTTGACAACACCGCTGCCCTTGGGGGGACGACCGCGACCGCGTTTGACGGGCGCTTCGCTGGCGGCGGAAACTTTGGACTCTTCGACAGTCCTTGCCATGATGTAAAATACTTGTCTGGCGTGTGAAGTAAATGAATGAAGTCAAGGAGGAATGGGCAAGACGACGGGTGCTGGTGGGCCTGAAAAGAGGCGTGATGGTGATGGCTGATAGCTTTGCGCGCAGAACAAGAAAACGGCCAACGGAGACGCGATGGAGCAAAAGGCAACGGTCGCGGAGCTCAAAGCTGGGCGATTGAGACGCGGCGAAAATAGGAGAAAAAAATGGATGAATCGCAAGTGCAAAAAGCGACGATAGGAGATGAACGCGCAAACAGATTGCGATGAAGAGTGATGTTTTCAGAGGAGCGCGCGCGACGCGACTGGCAATTTAGAGAAAGCTGGTGGCGGTGGTTGGAGAGAGAGAAGCAAAGTTACAAAGGTACATAAATACATGCTTTGACGGGGCGGGGATAAGACGCGACGAATTAGCGAGCCAATGAGAGGTGAGAGGCTGGCAGACACTTCTCTGTGATTGGCTGTGTCTGAGAGGGGACGACGGTGCGAGCCACGCAGCCCGATATGGGTTAGCTTGAAGTTCGCAGTTGATGAACTGATATTTTTATTCACCGTTTGTTACGGAGTACGGAGGGGTGGAGGTAATACGGAGTAGTCTGGGGCTTGTTGAGCTGAGCCACAGGCTCACAGCGCTTCAGCCACACGCAGTAACTGGGGATTGCAGGGAATGTGGTGGCACGCAGGCCTGTCCAGTGTCAGTCAGGTACCTAGGTACCTACATATGAGACTGCTGAAAGGTTGCACTTTGGCAGATTACAAGGCGTGGAAATCATGCAAAAAAAATCTAAAGTCAGTAAGATGATACGATTCAATTTCTTGATATTTTTTAAACCATTTTATTCGCTCCATAATGACCGTATCGAGCAAGTAGAGTAGAGCCATGGCCCAATATTACCTTGGCCCAAGCACGCCAAATAAACTTCAACCCCTGGTCCTTCATCTGTTTACCCCGGCAACAGCATCACCCACTAGTAAACAAATGTGGCAATGCCCCAATCTTGCGAATGTGGAACATTCTCTGTCAACGACGCCGTGATAGCATCGACCAAGTTATCGACACTCTCATTGCCATGGCTGTGGATGCTCGTTTATTGCCCAACTCTTCTCCCAACACCCCCGAGCCTCACCTTGTTCGCTCGACCGCCTCAACACCTTCCCTGCGATCCCGCGATGGTACACTGCCCATGCTCGCAAGGATGGATGGAGGCGGCAATGTCAGAGTCGTCGTTCGCGTGAGAGCCTTTCTCAATAGAGGTATGTGCATTTGCTCTTCATCACGCCTTGTCCTCCCCATCTGACCATATTCAGAGCTCCAACGCAACACACGATGCTTGGTCCAAATGGACCCCGTTACTCAGCAAACCACGCTGCTTGCTCCAGACCAAGACGACGAGCCCGGCCCCAAATCCAAGTCACGCAAAGTCGTCGAGGACAAAAAGTTTACATTTGACTCTTCTTTTTGGAGCCACGATACAAATGACAGCCACTACGCCCACCAAGAAGACGTTTACAATGCCCTCGGCGAAGAGTTTCTCGACCACAACTTTGAAGGCTACCATACATGCATATTTGCCTATGGCCAGACTGGCTCTGGCAAGAGTTATACCATGATGGGCACGCCCGATCAGCCAGGCCTGATCCCTCGCACATGCGAAGACTTGTTTGAGCGCATCGAAGCGGCCCAAAACGAAGATACAAATATTGCCTACAATGTGCGCGTCTCCTATTTCGAGGTCTACAACGAACATGTCCGTGACCTGCTCGTTCCTGTCAACACACATCATCCGCCCAACTATCTCAAGATTCGCGAATCCCCGACCGAGGGCCCCTACGTCAAGGATCTCACTGAAGTGCCCGTTCGCAGCATCGACGAGATTCTTCGTCACATGAAAAATGGCGACGCCTCGAGAACTACGGCGAGCACCAAGATGAACGATACCAGTAGCAGAAGTCACGCGGTCTTTACCATTATGTTGCGCCAAATTCATCACGACATGGAGACGGACGAGACGACGGAGCGTAGCTCACGCATTCGCCTCGTTGACCTGGCTGGCAGTGAGCGCGCCAAGTCTACCGAGGCTACAGGAGCTCGTCTGCGCGAAGGCTCCAACATCAACAAGTCGCTCACCACTCTCGGCCGCGTCATTGCCGCCCTCGCCGATCCCAAGACGCTACGCCCCGGCGCCAAGCGCAAAGAGGTGGTCCCTTACCGTGACTCCATTCTCACTTGGTTGCTCAAGGATTCCCTCGGAGGTAACAGTAAAACTGCCATGATTGCGTGCATCGCGCCTTCCGATTACGACGAGACCCTCTCGACGCTGCGATATGCCGACCAGGCCAAGCGTATCCGTACCCGTGCCGTTGTCAACCAGGACCAAATGTCCACTGCCGAACGCGACGCCCAAATATCCGCCATGGCCGAAGAAATCCGTATGCTGCAAATGTCTGTGACCGACTCGTCGCGACAGCGCGAAAAGAATGCCAAAGACGCCGAAGAGCGCCTCGACGAGTACCAGCAACGCGTCTCGACAATGCAGCGTCTCATGGAGGAGCGCACCATGGTGGCTGAGAACAAGATCAAGCAGTTGCAGACTGAGAATGAGGCCCTGAAGTTGCATCTCAAGCTTGCCATTGAAAGCATCAAGAACCCCATTCCCCCTGTGCAGGTCAAGGAAGAGTTTGGCCATGATGACAAGGAGAATGCTGCGCACAGTATTCACGAAGACCAATCCGACGTAGATGACGACGAGTACGAGTACGACTCTGACAACACAGTCAATGGTGGACACGACTTGCAGGAGGAGATGCAGCGCTACTTGCAAGATATGAGCAACCTTCGCAAGCTCATTGGTGGCGATCTGTCACGCTTCAAGGATGAGACGAGTGTGCGCATGCCACTTGGCGTGAGGGAGAATGTATAAGCAAAGACTGTGTTGCGACTTTTAAGCTTGGAAATTTTAAATGCAGCGCGGTGTTTGGGCTTATTTAGCAATATGAATATTCATTTCTTACGCCTTATGATTAGTCGGCGTAGTATATTGGACAGGAATTATTTAAACACTTGAATTATAAGCTCTATTTATATAAAGGTGCGTGAGCCCTGCGAACACTTCAAGGGCTCTTCATTAACTATACAGAAAATCACGCGAACAGCTAGGCCAAGTGACTCGCTAGAAAAGCACCCCGAAACCAAGAAACTGCTCCATATGGAGTTGGAGCCAAAGTACAAAAAGAAAAGAGAGAAACAGGATAAACAAAACATGTTCTTACAGCCCTGCTTTGAAGAAGAGCAGTAGGGTGGCGGAAAGCAAAACACCCGAGAAAGAAGTGACTGCGGAGTATTGCCGCCAAATGTCTGAGCGTTATAGAGGCGTGGAATCGTGTACTTGTTCCTGTATTGGAATAAGTGAAAAACGCAAAGAGTGACAAGGCCAGCAAAAGACAAAAATTCGAGTGAAAGAGGCTGATGAAGATGAGGCTACTTGTGGTGAATGTAGCGAATGTAGTGAAAGCCCGCGTGCTTGCTGAGTTGGGGAGGAAAAATGACCAAAAGGGGAAGAAGTGAAAGACGTCAAATCAAGGTTCTTTTTGGATCAAGATTTGAAAGCGTCATTGTATGTGGCAAAAAGAAGAAATATATCTTCTTCACTTGTCAACTTGAGAGAAATAGGAGCTCCATCGGACAACGACAAAGGATGTGTCGACTGACCGAGAGACTGACTCTCTATCAAACGGTGAGATTGTTACCAACACCTCACTCCAATAACCAAGCGCTTCGGCGCTCTAGGAAGAAAATCAGCATCGTCAGAGTAAGAGTCAGAGTCGTCCGAATCCGAGTCGTCAGTGTCGCTGCTGCTGTGAGGCCTCTTGCACGACGGCGAATTCTGATTAAAGTGCGGATCTTTGGCGCAGTCCGTGGACCAGCACATAAAGACGTCTTTATCTTCGGTCTTCTCCTCGGCCGCCTTTGCGCGCCTCGCCATCTCGGCCGCGCCCAGACGCGGCATGCGCACCGACCCCGCCAGGCCGGGCAGCGGGCACGGCTGCGTCATTGGCCCGTACGGCAGCGACTCTCGGTAAATCTTTTGCGCAACGTCGTGCTCGTCGACGCGGCGCTGCTTGTTGCGCAGAAACTGCGTGTATGTCGGCGCGGGCGGCAGGCGCGCCAGATAAGCGAGCAGCTCGGGCATGTGGTGCAGGAGTGGCGAGCCGCGCAGGTCGGCGGCGCGCACGGAGCTGTCAAAGAGCAGGGAGCGGTGCTCCGGGGGCATCGAGGCGCCGATGCCGGCTCCTTCGTACAGGGCGGCGAGGAGACGTTTCTGCCGGCGGGCTTCCTGCAGCGCCTTGTCGCGGTCGTATCGGTCCAGGAGCGCATCGATGGCCTTGTCGGGCAGCAGCACAGGCTCCGTGTACGGCGGGAACTGTTTGGTGTCGCCGGCATCGGCGTCCTTTTCGATGCTGGCGGGCGATTGGGAGTTGGCGTCCGAGTCCGACTCCATCTCGGTGTCATTATCGGAGACGAGCGACGGTGTAGAGCGCGCCGACGACGACGCCGATTCTGCCGACGCCGCCGGAGGAGGAGGAGGAGGAGGAGGGTCGAGCCGCGAGTGCGACTCGATGCGCACGTCAAAGAGGTGCGGATGCACATCGAGGACGCTCTGCGGCACGACGGCGCCGCGATGGGCGATGGTGTAGTCGAGGGAGTCAAAGTAAGCCTGGCACCAGAGCTCGGCGCGGCGCCGCAGGCGAGACAGCTGCAGCTCGCCGTTGCCCTTGTTCAGGTAGTCGATGAGAATGCCGAGGCCCGAGATGAGCTGGTTCTCGACGTTGCGGACGCAGGTGCTGTCCAAGGTGCAGGCGTGATGCGACGGGAGCTCGCGCGGAGATGTGGGACGATGAGAGCTCACAGTGGTAGATGTTGGGATTTCCTGTTGATCTTTTTGGATAGTGGACGGGTATGGTGGATAGATGGCGTGAAGAAGACGACCGACTCTTGATGACATCGTCTTTGGGTCTTGTGTGGGAGGAATCAGGCCTTGTTCGTGATGGACAAAGACGGCCAAGAATGACAACCACAAACACGCACTGAACTAAAGGATGAGAGGAAGAAGTAAGACGAGGATAAAAGGCCGTGATAGGGATTCTAGAGACTTGACAAGTGTATAACTGCTCTTCGGCGAGTCATAAAGAGAACAATTGTCAGAAGCAAAATGCAGAAGGAGAAGTGAGAAGAGATAACAAACAGGCAAGAACATACCTTGTATAAGTAGAGAATGTTTTATATGATATCCACTTTTCAACAAGTAAATCAGTATACTAACTTTAATGGCGTCACACAGCGGCTTGGCTTTCAGTATCAGCCACTTATACTTTGACAACTCTCATATACTTTGTCATATTTCTAGCCTACCATCTATTTACCTTGCCAGCGCATTTCACAGATATTGTGTCTTCTAGAAGTTGTACTTACTCGCTCAACGCGAATCCAATGTTGGTGTTGATAACGCTATAGAAGAGGTACATATTACTACGCCAACCGTAGGAGATCTACTAGTATGGCTGGAATAATCAAACGCGCCGTCTCTTTGTTTGTCCATCTTGTCGGTCTGGGCCACCGGGGCCTTTACTTCTGGCGGTGGCTCAGTCAGACTATCACGCCTGGCCGGCGCCGTGACCGAGCCAAAATAAAGAAACTTTGGTGCCGGCCGCCGGCGCCGCCGACTTGTAAAAAGAAGCTTATCCTGGACGATTAGGGCTGAGTGCATCCTCTATTATTTTCAAGTTGACGCAGCCACATGCTCCATGTGGCGTCCTTCCATATGGATTAAACTCGATTCTTGTTGATATGTCGCTTCCTTGACAGCCAACATTTGCCATTTTCACTTCGCACGCCACAGAAGCAAATGAAAAAGCCCATCGCAGGGACATGAAAAAAAAAAAAATGAAAAAAAAACCTGTGGCCGAAATCCCTGCGCTAGAGCACGTGTCGGTCCCAACCATGGGCCACGGCGTCATAGACCAGCTCGTCGGTGTTGGTCGGGGCAAGACTCGGCGAAGCCGTTGTCAGGGCACCACCCGACGCCAAGGCAAGTGCCGACTGCACAAAGTAGATTTGTGTTCATCAAGGTTATCATGTTATCAGTTGATTCATAGATGACCACATATCTTTTCAAACAGCTTGGGCATCTTCAGAGGCATTTGATAGGACTTTTAGAGTTTTGGAGTGTCACTCTACGCCACAACAATCTCGGCGCCGCCACCCACGACCGACAGACAAATAAGCCATATCTTGTCTACCTGATTAAAAAGCATATCATTCTCATGTACATGCTTAGATTGAAGCTTCCACTGTCTCCGTCTTGTTGTCTCCGCTTCTCTCCGTCTTGTTGTGATCCCCTTTCCCCATCTCGACGGATACCATTCTCTCCGTCTTGTCAAGTTCCCCTCTCTCCATATTGTCGGGTTCCCTTCTCCCCATCTCGTCGGATATCATTTTCTCCGTCTTGTCGAGTCCCCCTCTCTCCGTCTTGTCGGGCTCTCTTACCCCCGTCTCGTCGGGTACCCTCCTCTCCGTCTTGTCGCCCAGGTGAACGCCACAGACGAAGCGACCGTTCTTGAGCTTGAGGAGCGTAAATCGACGCCTCTTTTCTATTTTCAAAAATTAGTGCATCTTGAACATCAAGACCGTTCTCGTAGGGTAAAGTAGAACTCACTCTTGTGATAGGGGGAGAGAGCAAGCTCGGTGTACCTGGGCTTCTTGCCACGGCGCGAGCAGGCGCACTTGAGGCCGACGTTGTCGTCTGGGCTTTGGGGGAGCTTATGGAGAATACAAGGGTGGCAAGTGTGGTCAAAATTACCACTAGCAAAAAAGTTATCATCAGCATCATGTCACCAACGTCGCTGCAGCGGAACATCAACGCACTTGTTCCTCCAGACCAGCTTGCCGCGTTTGTTGCCAATACACCGGTTCAAGTTGATGGTAGTCTGCCAGCGTTTGCCGGCTTTGTCGAGGCACCAGGCGGTAATGGACGTCTGGTCCTTCTTTCCACCGCCCAGCTGGGTGAGGTACTTGCACTTTCCGCCAAACGTGTTATCGACGAAGCCGCCGTTAGCAGCGACGGCGGCGGCGAAGAAAGCGACGATAGCAATAATAGAAACGCGCATTCTACTGTTGAGCTTGGGAGAGAAAATGTGCAAAAAGTCGTATTGGTCGAAGCAGTGGACTGGAGGAGACGACGAAGTCAAGTTCCTCTATCAAGGTGGGATGGGCCAAGCTATTTATAAGGCTCCTGGCCAGTCTTCTTCGAGAGTGAACCGATTTGTCATGGATTTTCAATCTTTGGGCGCAATATATTGGCTAAATAAAGTGAGATCTATAGTAAAAAGGCGTAGACAAGGGCATTATAGCATTCTTTGTAGTTGGCGCAGCTCGCAGCTGTCGCGATTCTTCTCCGGCCCCATCCAGCCGAGCCTCGAACGTCTAGGCCAAGAGTGATAAGAAGTAGCGCCTACCATATCTTGCGAAAAGCTGCTGCAGAGACTACCTCCTTGGCCGACTTTCACATTGGCGAGTTGGAGGCTTCTTTTAGCTGATCTCTGGGCTGATGGTGTGGTCCAGTAGCGTGGAGTCGTGGCTGGTGTTAGTTCGAAAAGGCGGGCGGCCCGAAATGCAGAGGGCCGGGTGGCGAGCCGACGCGGGCTAAGCTAGGAATGGTGTGGTATGGAGTTCTGCAACCTCTTTTGCTTTGCTCGTTGCAAGTGCGAAAGCTGATTGCCATCTCGCTCAATCCCGATGGGATACGGCATCGTGCAGCCTAGGACGGCGGGCACTCGCGTTCAAACACGAAACACTATCAAGACCTTCCTTTCATGCAGGCTGCTCTTGCATGAGAGCCATTCTGCTCGTAGGCTGGATCGGTATTGACGGGTATTGAGTGGTGGTGCGCCCGCGTCGTCCTCATTGGACCGTCTTGTACGGATTAAGCGAGTCATTGCTTGCTCCAGCCGATGTGGTTGCGCGATGAACCCTGAGATGAACCCCTGCGGAAGAGGTACACCGCTTGATTATCCGTATATAAGTACTGACGAGCTTGCTGCATAGAGGCGAATGAATTGATGGCCACTGGCCACTGTTTATGCTCGTGATGATGCAATTGTACCGCTGCCATGTATATATCCGTAGGCAACAAGTCTGTCTGGCACTAGCCAAGTTGCCAAGCTGCCGCGCGACCTGAACGAGTCGTCTGATGGATCATGACAGCGGGACCCGTCCCTCATCGCCATTAGCGTGCTGGCGAATCAAGGACGGCGGAGTCAAGGTTCTCCAACACACGAGACCCAGTTGTTGGACAATGAACGGAGAACGAGCCCCCCGGTTACGAACGGGCATTGTTGCTCGTCAACCAACTGGCAGCAATGGGGATGACTGGCCACAATCGGCAGTACTGTTTCGAGGGCCGGAATGAGGAGGGGCTGTCCGGGCTTTATCGAGCGATGACTGGTTAGGAGTCGAGGAGCCAATACTCTGCTGGGTGTTGTAATCTCGTCAGGTAGCCAGACGGTGGCTGTTTCAAGGTGGGTGCTTCATCTTTGCTGGGTCGGTTGGTCGAGAGCGGACCCCTAGTTATGCCAGGACGATGGACGGCGTACCTTGAAAGAGGTTGCGATCTTTTGAAACGGCAAGTTTGATTTAGCAGCTTTCTTTGGCAGAGATTGCGGACATTTTAGAAATGTCGAGCAAACAATGAAGCGGCCTTGCAGATCTGCCCCATGCTCGTCCCATCATCCCCCCTAAAAGTTCCCCTCCCCCTCCCACCCCGGCCACCACTAGGTACCAAGTGTGCCAAGGTACCTATCGAAGAAGAGCCCCGCAACGTACGAGGGCTTGATCAACTTGCAACAGATATATTCAGGAGAGACTTAAGATAAACTGGATAAGAATGTATTCCAAGTCATAGCGGGTAGAAAACAGAGACGGGACATGTTCGCCGAGTGTTTCCCATTCAATATTGTCCAAACCACGAAGTGAAAACACATACTCCCAATACTCGGGATACCAACCCGCAAACTCCCAGTCCAAAAGCGCAACAATGTGCCCATTTCGTACCATTATATTCCTTGCAGCAATGTCGCCATGCGTAAACACAATGGGACAATCGTTGCTGAGCTGCATTGTTATTTGGTGCCAGTACATGCTCTGCGAGTTTACGCGCTTCGACGGCCGAACAAGCCAATGATGAAACTCGCCTTGCGTCGCAAATGGCCCTCCCGAACGCGTCAGAATGCTTGGAACCACAGCTCCCTGACCGTCAAGCCGGCCAACATGATTGCCGGAAATGGCACGGAGCTGTGTGATGTACTCTTTGAGGTCTCGCAAGATGGCTGAGCGCTCATCTTGTGTCAGAACAGGCCAAGCCTGTTGTAAAGTCTGCCCCTCAACAAACGACATGGTTATACGATCCCAATCGCTGCTAATGACGTCCGGAACTGGAATAGTGGTATGCTCCTTGACAAAGCGTAGGGCAAGCGCCTCGTTTGGATGGTCGCCTGAGCCCATGCCATCGCGGCTGATTGTGTATTTCGTAATCAAGTCGCCATGCCGCACGACATAGCGATTGTGGCAGTGGTATATGATCTCGCCCTCGGGGTACGGCGCTGGCTGTCGTGGCGGCGGCGGCGAGTCACCATACAGTGCCTTCCTGGCATCCTGCCTCCTCTGCTCCTTTAAAAATGCAAGGCCCCTCAAACGATTGTCGCCAGTGAGGGGCTTGTCCGCCTGCGCTTTCTTAGGGCTAGGCTGCGGTAAGGGAGTAAACATTTTAGCGATTTCTGGATGGCGGCGGAGAAAGTTGTCGACCACGCCTGGTTCTAAATTGTCGTCGGGCATCTGCGTAAGGCGCTGAATGTACCATCTGAGCAACTTTCTGCCTACTAGGGCGCCAGAGCGCCGCTCCTTAGCAACCCACTCTTCAACTTGGTGCTCTTGATCTGGAGACAAATCTTGTGCCCGTACAAGAGACGGTCGATTGCTAGCCGCTAAGGCCATTCTTGTTTGCTACGAGGGGGTGTTCTGCTGTTGCGGAACTCTAAGTTACTGGGTCCTACCTCCGTACCTATTTAGCATGTGGCGTCGCTAACCGCCAGCCCCGCCCTCCTCCGTCTGTCAAACTACGACGATTCCAGCTTGGCCAATCTTGCTGCTTTGCATCCCGCAGTCTTTTCTTCTCTTCACTTACGCAGTCTTATCCTTTTTCTCTCTCTCTTTCTCTTGGCTCATTCGAAATAGACTTTCCCTTCAAAATGGCCGCCCGCCCGCAGCTCTTCACTCGCAATCTCTCGGGCGTCTCCGCGACCCCAGAGACCAACTCGCCCGCCGAGCAACGCGACGAGGCTAAGCGCAACTTTCTCAAGGCGATGCGGACGCTGCCTACCCAGCACTACTGGGACGTCTACTTTGATCGGTAAAGTCCCACCCTTGTTTTACTTTTGGCTCTTGGCCATTGCCTTTGATCTCGACACGATCTGAGCAGGGCTAACCGGCGGATGGATAATTAGAAGCCAGTCCAGTGACCAGACCGCCGCCGCCGCGAATGGCGAGTACAAAGTCCAGCTCGAGCGGCTCGGCACGCAGATTGAGTCGGTCCAGGACTTTTGGCGCTATAACAACAACACCCCCGTCGCGCAGATCAAGATGCGCGAGTCGATATACCTCTTCAAGTCGGGCTTCCGCCCCGTCTGGGAGGACCGCCGCAACATCAACGGCGGCAGCTGGACCTTTCGCGTGCCCCGCGCTCAGGGGCCCGAGTTTTGGACAAAGGTGCAGCTGCTGGCTATTGGCGAAAAGCTGCAAGAGGCGTTGGGAGAGAGTAACAGCCCCCCTTCCCCCCCTCTTCATCATCTCCTCCATGTGTTTTGCTAACAGGGAAAAAAGACAGCGACGATACAATCTGCGGCGTTGGTCTTTCGGTTCGCTTCAAGTACCACCTCGTCACCGTGTGGAATCGCGACGCAAGCAAAAAGCAATCCATCGACGGTATCTTTGACTGCGTCTTCCGCGAGCTGCCCGAGGACCTGCAGGCCCGCTCTGAAAACTACTTCTACAAAAAGCACTCCGATCACGAGGGCTTCAAGGTGCCGCCGGAGTTGCAGGGCTTGGTGGACGCGCACAACCGCGGCTCCCCGGGCGCCGCCGGCTCCCCCGTGACGGTCACGCGTGGGGGTGCGCCGCTGGTGTCTGTGCAGTCGCCGCAATAGACGGGTTGCTGCTTCTGTCGGCATGATGTGGGCTATTTGGTTTGAGTACGTGTCTTGGAATATGTACAGAACGGGATACATAAGGGTACAAGGGATCGACTCCCATGGCGTTTTACTTCATTTTGTTTTTAATCGGCATTTTCTTACGCTGGGATACGAACATAGCTGGCCTATCAGAATGAAAAGCATGCAGTCTTGACGCATCATCTGGAAACTACGACGGCACCACATTCTAGAGATCCGTTCATTGTTATGTAGAAATAAGTGTCTCAACAGCGGCCAAACCTGCGTGTGCAAACCCAAGGCCTAAATTATAGCATATAGCATAATACGCATATAGCTGGCCTATCGGGATGAAAAGCACGGAGTCTTGACTTTGACAAATGACTTGCAAAGTAACGACTGTATCACTCTATAAAGTTTTATATTCTTGTGTAGAGGAAAGTGTCTCTCAATAACAGTCCAACCAACGCCATGCTAGCTAAACCCACGTATGCAAACCCAACGCCTTGAATCAATACACAACTCATCACAACCTCTACATCTACCCACCTAATAATCCTCTCATCCCTTTGCTTCCCTTCATCACCTCTAACCAACCCTTTCCCCCGGGTCACCGCCACACGCCCGCCCTCCGCATCACCTCGTCAAATTCATCCATCTTCACGCCCCGCGCTACCCCCGCACCTCCATTCGCCTCGAGGATCATGTCCTTGAGCAGCTCCTCGTCCACATCCTCCTTGAGCACCGCCGCCACCCTCCGCAGGTGCGCCAGCGAGATTGGCCCGCCCTGGTGGTTCGTAAACAACCCAAACGCTTCGTCCAGCGCCGCCCTGTGCGCCGCGCCGGCGCCGTCATTGTCGTCTTCTGCCTGATTGTGAAACTTGAGCGCGGCAATGGCGAAAAAGGGCTCGTAGGTCGCGTAGCCTTCATCGTCGGGGTCCAGGATGGAGAGAAATTCTCTGAGCTCGGCAGGGGAGGAGGGTGGTATCCCAAGAGCGCTGTTTTTTTTTGTGTAATCAGAAAAAAAAGTCAGCATCTTCTTCTTCATGGTTGCATCTTCGAATCATCAGCGGGAGAAATGACACCCCCCCCCCCCCAAAGAAAACAACGTACATGAGCGCAGACTTTACGTCGTCTATCGGCAACACGCCGTGCTTTTCCCCATCCATGGGCTCCGCAAATAGACTGTAGGCTTCCTGGATCTCGTTTTCTTCTTGCGCCGACACGTTGTGCTCCTTTGCGAGCTTGGACTGGCGCGGTGCTCTGGGCGCGGTGGTCGCCGCCGCCGCGGGCTTGCGCTTCGGTGGCTGAGTAGCGGTACAACGTTAGCAGTCGACAGAAAAGATGAGAATGGCATTTGTTAGTGGCAAGAGTTACCATTTGCAAATTATTCAGAGTACAGGTTGAGGTCTCGCGACGTGGTTGTGTTGTGCACCAGGGACAGGTCAAATCGGTGATGCAGCTCGATCTTCACGGGTCACTCACAGTGCTGGCATACAGTGCGAAAGCTGTTGTCAGACAGTGCGGTGCTGCTGGAACCCACTACAACAAGTGTACAAATATCTTTTAACTACTTTTCAAATTTTATTTTCCCTACCAACAAGCATGAAAGAGTTACCGCAGCCCAACTCCTTTTTGCCCTCGATGACAGTTCAAACGTTGGATCGACGGCGAATAGTACTCTTCAGTCTCCAATTGTTTCATGTAAACTGCTCTCAAACAGGTTTGTTTCGACGCGCGACGCACAACGATCTTACGTGACTGCCGAACCGATATTACTTGACCGTGACCGATGACACACAAAAACTCGCTTCAAAATTTGCTAGAGCTTGCCGCCTCTTTCTTCACCAGGGCGAGCAAGTGTGGACAGTGAAGCAATAACAAATACCAGCCAAGACTGTTTTTCCTTCAAAAAATAAGTCTTGGTTCCAACGAGTGGCCCGCGGCATATGTTCTGGCTCGTCCAGCTTTGCCTCTCTGTTCTTGGAGACATTATCTCTTCTGTGACTTGCTTCAATATTCGTGAAAATTCGCGCTGCTACGACATTTGGCATTCTCATATTATCTGCCCCCTATGCCCGGGATGAACCATAGATATTGTCTCGCCAACATTTTCCATCTATAAAACAAATCATGAGCAACAACTACTACATGTGATTCTACATTTTGGGTTCAGGTGGCCTGCACGCCCGCGTTAGCACATTCTTCCTGCGTCGCCTGTAATCGAGAGCTAGATTTACTTCTCACTTGAAGCTGTTCTTCATCTCGCGCAGCTGGGCCATGACCTTCACAGGGTCGGTGGCGCCAGTGGCCTTTTGCACGACGGGGTCGTCGAGACGCATAAAGACATTGTGTTTCTAGCGATCGGTCAGTCAGAGAACCTCTTTTCCACTGCCAAACTGCCCGACATCAACGCACCTTTTCATCGCCAATGGTGAATCGGCCAGTGGTGACTTTGTTGTTCTCGGCAAAGTCCTGCAGCGCCTTGACGGGCTCGCTTTGCAGAACAGAAATGGCAAACTGCACGTTGGCCTTGGTGTATTCGTGGCCAGGCTACATCTTTATTAGCACTCTGGTTGCGGCTTCGTGCTAGGTGGCTAGTTTGGCAGAAACTCACGTAGACGACAGTGTCATCCGGAAGGGCAGCTAATCGCTTGTTCAGAGCCTCGTCCATCTCGGTGGCGTTGCCTTCAAAGAAGCGACCGCATCCTGAAATTGAGTCAGTGATCAGACACAGTTCGACAATGAGAGCGGAGGAGAGAGGAGAGCAGTACTCACCGCTGATAAAGAGCGTGTCGCCGGTAAAGACGGCCTTGCCCGTGTTGTCCTCCATGTAGTAGCAGATGCTGTCCTGGGTGTGGCAGGGCGTATGGACGGCTCTGACGGAAATGTCGCCAATCTTGAAGACTTCCCCGTGCTTGGGGGTCTGCGTAACGCCTTCGCAGTCTTTGCCGCCAATGATTCCGAGCTTGGGGTTGCCAAGATCCTCAAGCTGCGCCATGTTAGCGAACCAACAACCTTGTACATCCGTTGGTGATGAAGCTTACCAGCTGCTTATTGCCTCCCGCATGATCCCAGTGGCTAGACTGCCGTTAGCCCGGCCTAACAATGCAATATGACAAGGGGGCCCCTACTGGTGAGTGTTGACGATGCTCGTCAGATTAATCTTGCCGGCGGCGGTGGCATCCTTGAGAACAGGCGCGACTCTGCAACAGTCAGTCTCTGGTGTGCTGCCCTCCTATCCTGTCTACATGCGATAACACATACTCTGGGGGATTGGCCGGGTCAATTATGACGGCATCTTTAGATTTATCGTCGACCACGAGATAGGCATAGTTGTTGCTGGTGCCCACCCCTGTGATGCGTGTTAGAACTCGCCGCATCTCATCATGTCAACGTCTCTCGGGGTCATCACCTCCTTTCCTCTCGCTGCTCTCACCGCCGACTTGGCTTCGCGAAACTTACACATGGGAATGGATTGGATATGCATGGCGCGAGAGACGGCGAGCTATGAAATACGTCAGCACTTGGAGTCCCGGTCGAAATGGGTGGTGGATATGTTGGCGAGGAGAGAAGCGTACGGCCGCAGAAATATACCCGATATTGTGTCGTAAAAAGGGCCGTCGCGGAATCAGTCTATTCATGAGTTTTTATACAAGTGCGCACTTAAGATGGTGCTTATTCGCGAAACGCTATCGATTGGAGAGCTGTCAGAACGCTGTGTACTAAGGCGGGGTGGAAAGGGAAGCTATGTGAAGCTCCCCGAGGTCATCCACATGTATGACGTCGATTTGTAAGCATCAATATTGGGACGACTGTTGACACAATGCGACAATTTACGCGACGACTAATCATGGCGAGATCATCTAATTCTTTGTTTCTCATTTCTTTGACTTTATTCTTGATTAAATGCCAGAGCAACGTACTTGACATGTCGGTTCGCGGTGATCTGTCAAGGTCTACGCCGTTGAATAGCGTCGAGCTGGGGTATCTAGTTGAAAGGAAACGCCTTGCATACAGAGCACTACATCATACAATGCCAATCGGTTTTGGCTTCCACTGTCCTTTGTATTTGGACCAGCCAATATCGTCGTCGTCTGATTCGTCTTCCTGAGTACCATTTCCTTCAGACGTTGCCGGCTTCGATACTTGCGAAGCAGGATCGGTTTCTGCGGCTGCTGGCGCATGCGGCTTGGCCTTTTCCATCGCGAGCAGCTCTTGCTTCAGCTTCATACATTTCAGATATACCTGGTTTCCGGGGAGCGTCGCTTGCAACTCTTTGATGGCAGCCATGAGCTTGTCCATCTTCCACCTGCTCAGCTCGCGCGCAATCAGCGTCTGCCTGCGATTCTCGTCCTCTTCGCGTAGGTAGCATAGGATCGCCTCTTTGCAAGGATCTTGCGGCGCAGGAGCGTCGCTGGCTTGGTCGAGCTGCTTCCAGTAATAGTGCCAGATCCAGTCCAGGGCCGTATGCGCGGCCGGGCGCAGCTTTGCGAGAGAAGGCAGCTGCTCGTGGGTGGCCTGATGGCGCAGCTCGACAAAGGTTGCCGGCAAGCCTATCGTCTTGGCGAGTGAATACATGCTCTGCTTGCGCAGCTTGTCTTGGTGGCCGTCGAGGAGACCAGTGACGAATCTGTAGGAGAGTGGAGGGAACAGACCCCAAACCAGTTAGCCGAATTTATGGCCCTACAGCATACAGTGATTTCTCCTCAGTTTCTTTTTTACGATGACCGAATATTTGTACGATTGTGCGACTTGTTTCCGGAGTTCGTGCCGTATTGTACTGCGTACACGCCAGACTCCGTCGCCGCTTCCGCGTCGCTGGGAGGATGTAACGATACAGGGTTCGTTTCTAAACTTTCGAAAAGCGGACAGGCGAGGACGTAGAGGGAAGACAAGCGAGGTCACAAGAAAAAGCTCACCGACTAAAGGCCGCCGAATAAGCTGCTCGGACGGCATAAGTGGAAGAGCCGGCGCTCTGAGTAGCGGCCATATCATCGCTGAGGACCGCAGCGAAGAGCAGGGCGGTCGACTCCACCATGTGCGGGCAGTTGCCTCGATGCACCCACATGGAGATGCGGGCGACGGCGAGGTTTTGACGGGCGCGACGGGCATCGGGATCGGCATCGTCTTGTGTGTCGGCGTAGAGCTGGTCGCGGACGAGGAGCAGCTCCTGGCGGTCGCGCCACGGGGTAAAGATGTACTGGACCATTGGTATACGTGTAGTGCGTGGTGCGTGGTGCGGTGTGTGTATGCGCTGCTACGTCGTTATCGTTTGGCGAAGCATGGCGTCGTTCAGAAGCAAGCTGAAGAAGTGGGTTCGTTGACTGAGAGGGAAAGAGGGAAAGAGGGAAAGAGATGAACAATGACAATGCAAGCCCAGGGTTTTGGCAGCCGAAACCGATGAACAGGGTTGTATTGAGTTTATTTCTTCCTATTTGCCTTGACTGGTTGATGGAGGGAGGGGTGAAAACTACTGAAGAAAAGCTTGCAAATGTCAGTAATAATGGCTGACGTTTGGTGGCTGAGGTGTGGAGTGGCGCAGGTGCCTCTCTCTACTGATAGTTTTGCCAAGGACAGTGGGTCCAAGGTATTTCAAAGCAAATCGCCATCAAACTGTAGGTACCTACCTAATGGCTGTCGACCGACAGCAGCAGCGCGTAATCTACTGAGTAGGTACCGACAACAGTGGCTTCAGACCCCATGCAGTACATGAATCGAGCCCTAGCTGTGGCCTTCTTAGCACCCGCCAGTGGTTTAACAGTGAACAGAAGGAGACCACGAATCATTATGTAGCTATTGATCAAATGATACAAAATTACATATAGCGGTGTGCAGTCATCTCTACTATTTATCTCTCCCGCTAATATAAAGGAGCATTATCAACATCACATAATCTAGAAAGGTACCTACTAATAATAATGAGGAGCCTTGGTCTGCCCAGGGACAGGCTACTGCCTCACATTGCAGCTGTTTGCTGCAGCCCGCAACTTCAATCTGATATTGCCTCAACTCCCTACTATATTTGGTCCTTTTTCCCATCCACTCGTCAACCATCCATCACAGGGGCGATGCAATGTCGCAGCACCCTTGCTCGACAAGTTGGCACCACAACAAACCTCTTCAACCTCGTTTAACCGGCCGTCATTCTCTGCTCTCCCCTCACCCTGATCAGGCCGCACCTGACTGCTTCTCTAACTACTTGCTCAGTTCGTGGTTCTCGTCCTCAGCAATAGCGTGATAGGCAGAGCAGGCCAGTGAGAAAATTAAATAAAGGCCCAACTTGCAAGCCACTTGCCGGCGGTCAGCCACCACCAGGGTGGCCCTTGAGAACCCCCCCGTCAAAAGCCATGTGGAAACGTTTTTAATTCAAACCGCGAGGCCCCAATTGAACCATCGAAGCAAATCTAGTCTTCCGCGGTGCTCCATCTTGCTGGCCCCTCAGGTGAGGCGAACAGACTCATCACGTAACCTTCTGGGGCGTGAGCGAGGATCCAGCCTCCGGCCCGGTCCCAGTTATTCCTACATCATCATTCAACAAGAAAAGCTTGAATAAAGATGAGCGAAAAACGCATCGTCTGCCGATGGATGCCGTGGGGACTACAAACAAGAAGCCGAGAAAAGCCCTCCAGTTCTAGGCACAATAATGACGCCGTAATTCATAGTCAAGTCCGTGATCGGCTACGGGACTCTAAGGAAGGCACAAAGCAAGCGGAAAAGAAAGCCAACATGTGCCTCTCTTTCCACCCACACACCCCCTTTCGATTCTATGACTCTTTTCTAGCATGGTGTACCCTCTTTTCACCCACTCTATCCGCTTGTTCCGTACGCGAATTCTGGAATTGCCAAGCTTTCTTTCCCTTTTTAAACAGTTGTGGATGGAGAGAACTTTCAATCCCTCCCCCATCTAGCCTTTGCCGGTCATTTGTCGTCCACCGCTGCTTGCGCTGGTATCACAATGCGCAGTTTGCTCGTTTGCAGGGAAAGTAGCCTTCTTGTCTAATTATCACGGCAGGTCGTTTTGCAAACTCCACTCGACAAGCACTTCGTAATCGCCTTGTTTTGGGCGGGCTAAAAAGCCATGCGAATGACAATTTTCCAACCTAGCTTTTCCGTGGCGTCAGGACTCCGTTTTCTTGCTGGATTTTGTCATGATCAAATCGTCTGATTACGGCAGACGGGCAACGACCGAGGCAAAGCCCTCTTTGCTCATCGCCATGCCCGTGAAGGGTTTCCTCTCGTCAATTATTTACAATAGATGACTTTACTTGTTGTACTGGTCTCAAAATCGGCTGCAATGACTCGCAACGGCAATATTTCTTTTTTTTTTTCCCTATCCTTACTATTTTCTTTTTTTTTATGCTTTTCGGCTCAACACCCACACACGGCATATGCCGCGTGTCGCGCAGAGCAGCCATGTGTAACCCATTCCATTTCCACTGTCAGAGTCTCTTCTTGCTTCTGCTGCAGTAGCAAATCACTTGCCTCGTTCATCCATTTCCAATACCACTCACACTGCAGCGGCAGTGTGCATTAACTACTTTTTTTTTTCACAACACAATATTCAAATAATACGTACCGCAAAGAGGGCCTGTGGGACAAGGCACCGGTGTACTATTAATGGACCCCCCTCTCCGTCAACTCTGCAACCACAATCTACAAGAGAAAACAGCCTGCATTTGCGGGGATTGGAGGGGAGGGGCGTGCGCTTTTTGCCGAGCGGCGGCGCGGCATGCCGTCTTTGTTCATTCAAGCTCTTTCGGATTGTGCCTGCCTATTTATTTACCTGTCCACGGCGGGTGGAGGGAACGGAGGGTCGGGCGCAAAGACGGCCAGGCATGCATGTCACCGCGCGTACGACTGTATAAATAGGTATACATACTCTGATGTTGCGTCAATCACGTTGCTCACATGCGCTTTCTCTCTATTCCTCTCCCTGCAGGCGGTTGTACTTGTACAGCCCAAACAGTCACTTGTTTTCGCCGCCATTGATTGCGCAGGAGCTGCAGCAGATCAGCCTCCAAAGAAAAGGCAGGGTTGGCCGTGACACGAAAACAGAAGCCCTTTGGTGTGCAGCCTGCCTCGTAACTTGTGACTCGTTGCACAACTTGGACCGCTTTCCCACGGTGTGGCTAAGTATTTTGATGCCATGTTTTGGATACTCGGCAGAAGAAAAAAATGAATTTCTAATAAAAATTAAAAAGCCTCGAGGAGGGCGTCTCGAGGAGGGGCCAAACCTGTGCGATTGTTCAGTAACGTCATCAAGTTTCGTGCAACCTTGTCCATCTCGTTTAAAGGGGCCCTCTAACCAGTAGTCACCGTCACAAAAAGACCCAAGTTCGGTTCTCTGAATGAATACCGGGGGTTTCGCAAAAAGTGGCAAATGCAGATACATGCCTTTCGCAGCCGCCTTGTTCCTTCCGCAGCAAACACACGACACAAAAGTCTTTGCCCTACCCAATCACTTTCGCGCAAGGGGAGAAAAAGCAAAGGCCGAGGTGCAGAAGTGTTTCCCTTGTCACAGGGCTGGTTTTGAGGTCTGGGGGTTTTTCGCCCCTGTATGGATGGGCGTGCGCATTTCGCCAAAGACCTACGCAGCCCTGCGCACTTGCTCAAACATTAGTACCCAGTTGTTCTTTTTTTCCTTTTTTTTTTTTATTGACGCTGACATGGGGGAAAGCATATACGGAGATGCAAATTCTCTCACTTGTTCATTATTGAAAGAGTGGTATAACCTAGTTAGGCCAGGCAACAGTATCCGTACTGCGTGCCTGGCTTCTTGCTTTCTGCAAGGGGGGGCCATAACCGTCAGTCATCAGCATCCGGCCCTCTTGGCCTACCCCCCCCCCCCCCCCCCCGCCTCTCTCTTGCATCCATCAATGATGACCCCGGGCGGGACCCATGTGAGAAAGGATCTTGCTATTTTTTAAACAGGGACTTGACCAAACAGAAACCGAAACCAAAAACATTCGTATCAAAACGTGTGCACAAGCATATGCTTCTGCTTCTGCTTCTGCCATTCCATTTCTTCTTCTTGTGCTGCGTTGCAGCAAAACGCTGTCTTGCGCGTGTGAAAGTAGCACAACTTATTAGTGACAGCCTTGTACGGATACCAACCAGTACGGAGTACAACGTCTCTTAGTAGGTAGCACAGAGTACGGAGTACGGATGCTGAGAAGGGGGTGGGGGTTGCTTAAGGGGGTGTGTTGAAATGCGAGCGCCAGTAATGTCTTGCACGCACGCCCTCCTCCACGCTATTTTTGCCTCCCTTTCTCCGGGAAACTCTCTGTTTTATGAACCAGTGCGGAACTGGCCAATCTTGCAATTGCAGTCTGCCGCAATTGGCTCCTCCCTACCAACAACCGCAGCGAATGGCTAGTCTCGCATGTAGGGGAACTAGCATACACGCGTCAGGTATTAAGGATGACTTGTGAAAAGCATATACCTGTGGTCGCCATCGCCAATAGTTGAAATTCTGGCATCTGCCAAATTAACCATAAATCATTGAAAAACAGTACAATTAAAAGCTCTGTGGCTATTTCGCCCTCAGTACAATAACTCCGTGGCCAATCCCATGATATGCTATGCGTTTGTCCCAGGTCCCTTCTATGCTGTACTGTGCGTTCATGATATTTCCCAAAATCAACGCTTGGTATCCCAAAATTATTTGCCCCTGGCAATGTCCCAAAACAGGAGTATGTGTAAAATGTAAACAGGTGAGAATGTAAAGCTGGCGTCCCCTTCAATTCAAGCAGCGCCGGCAGCTTCCTCTTCGCCTTCGGCGTCTTTCCCCTCGTCTTCATCCTCGTCTTCGTCATCCGGCTTGGGAGGAGGAGGCTCCCACGTCTCTTCGAGTTTCAAGCCTTTGCCAATAGGCTCGGTGTGGTAAAAAGTAGAGCCCAGCAGAGACGTCACAGTCGAGCGATAGTTGTTGAGCTGCGGATCCTCCTGACGCTTGTCAGGCGTATCATACAGACCCATGCCAACCAAAATTTCACCCTCGTCCTCCTCTTCGGGTTCTACCTGATGAAGAGATTCTGTCCGCTCCAGTACAGACATTTGCTGCTGTTGTGGCGGTTGCAGAAAGACTTCTGGTGTGGGCGGCGAAGTTCTGTTGAAGCCATGCATGATAAAGTTGTTCCAATCGACGCTGTTATTGGGCTGCATATGGCCAGATTCCATGCTCGAAGGAAGGGAATTGGAAATTATCTGGCCCTCCTCAGTCGGTGTGTAGATCGTGCCAGGCTTCTGTGTCATCCCCCAACCGTCTGCACCAAAGTACTGGTCATTCTCCAGGGGAGGAAAGGCGGCCGGAAGTGGCGAAAAGGTGGAAGCTGGAGACGTGTTTGTCGAATACGACTCAACCATGGGAGAATAATGAGAGCCGACGCCAAAGTACATGTCTTGATAGTCGGCATACATGTTTGGCGTGGAGAGAGGGTTGGTGCCGGGTGTGTGTTGAAAGTTGGTTTGAGCAGGGAGGAGATGCGAAGACGGATGCCAGCTCAGTGGTCGTCCCTGATTGGTAAAGGTCTCTTGGCTTTGGGGTCCCAGGTTCTGGGCGGTGTTGAGATACACAAGGACTTGCTTCTGGCGGCGACTGTTGCTGCCGTCAGTCATCATGGTTCTCCTCCTGGCAGCCATCATGGCGGATCTAGGGCTGTTGTTGGCGCTGGCAGGCTTCACGACTCGCATAGCTGTGCCTGTTCGTTGTCCCGCGGATCCTCGTGAAAGTCGACGGCCTATTGCTTGGCCCGTGTAGAAATCATCATAGTACATTTGTTGAGGATAGCCTACGGCAGTGTGCGCGGGCATCCCATGAGCAGGATGCTGCATCATCTTGCCCTCAGTGTTGGTGTTATTCGTGGTTGATGGTGGGGTGTATGTATAAGATTGTCGAATAGTGTGTGAGAGCTGCTTCAAGCACGCAGGAACGGGCTCTTTGTTCGTAGCAACTGCGTATTTCAGGAGAATGATTGTCGAAGGATGAAAAAGACTTTGGTCGATGTGAAAATTCCAAGATCCAAGTCTGAGGAGGAATGGATCCGGCGTGGATTAAGTATGGTTGCAAGTTCATGGCCACGACAAGGAGCAAATAGGGCGAAATCGAAAGGGGCGTTTATTAGTTCCATGGGGAGTGTCGTGCGGGACCACAGGCAGGGGCAGGAGTTGGGTAATGGCGTTCAAACAGGAAAGAGGTCGATCAAAGCCCGGCGGTAGGTTATAGAATGGCTAGGTTGAACTAGTGCAACGCCAGATCCAATTTGAAGACACACAAAACGCACACGCCCCAATTCAGGCCTTCGGATCTTGATGTGGGCCGGATAGCAGCCACCAGCCCTTGCAACCACGAACAGGGATCTCGCTTTTTGCCTTTGTCGAGCGGGCTTGATGGCTTAACTAACATCGCCGCAGCACACACGCACTCTCGAAGTCTCTGGACACTCTCGCACAAGAGGCACACACACAGCACACGCTGCGCCGACCATGCAGGGTTGGTGGGCTTTCTGTGCCTGGAGCAAGCTTGGCGGTTGGCCGGCGCTGTGATGGATGCATGCAGGCAGGCAGGCATCCTTGGGGTCGCCAAACGTGTGGGTGACGCCTGGGGAAAGACGCCGAGTCCTTGAGTCGCTGCAGGGGTGCTTCGTACGATACCAGTAATGCTGGGCACGACGACGCGTTGCTGGTTAAGCGTGCTATTCGCATACTGAGTATACTTGCACGGCAGGGTCGTTTGTTTTTTAGATTTGCCTCAGCATCCTGGGCTCGGGCTCTCGCCCTTTGCTATCATTTTGGTGGCTCAACGTTTCTGCTCCAGCTTGTATCGCATGTAGTGGGCAGGTCTTCCGAGCCGCCCCTCCCAAAAGGCCAAGGATTGGTGTCCATGCCTGCCTAGTATGGCTGGATGTGGGCTCTGATGAAAAAGATGATGAAAAAGAGGTGTGGTTCCATACGGGGCAGGCGCAAGGGGTGTCTCATCAGATGGATTCCAGGTGCAAAGACCTGTTTGATGCATCACAGCCAGCAGAAGAGCAGAAGGGATGGAGAAGACATACCTAGCTTCCATCTGAGCGGCGCCAATACCCTAGCCCAGCACCCTAGCAACCTGGCTGGCGGGGGGGGGGGGGGGGGCAACAATAGTGCAGCGCCAGCCGAGTCCCAGCCATGTCGATGGCGTGTCGTCAAAAAGTGTGGGCGACCTTGTGGAGCTTTCATCACTTTTTTACTTCGTTTTTAGCTGACTTTGCATCAGGACGTTAACACAGCCGCGCAGGCTCCAAGCGGCATCGTGCTCCGTCTTGACGGTGCATTTGCGCTGTGCGACTCAGTCCCGCATGGGACCATGGACATGCACATGGACATGCTGTCAAGAATGCTCCTCTCTCATCACCAGAAATTTTATCGTGACGCTCCAACCACCTACTAGTTCCGCTTTCCTGGCGAATGCCCGTCAAGTACGGAGTACGGATATCGATCTTGAACTCTAGAGTAGGAGTTGGGGTGGTCATGACGGGCTGGCTGCCACAGCCAGTAAACACGGCTCTTGATTAATGTTTGCTGTGGATGTCGGGAATGCCAGAGACGAGCGAGCGCCTGTGACTGATCTGCGTTTTTGCGGCCTGCACACAGTTTGCGATGCGGACGGGACACGTCCGACAATCAATGACAACAGAATATTGCTGTTTCAGTAGCGAGCGAGTTAGCGGCAAGAACCAAGTCCAGTAGCTTGGTTAAAAAAAAAAAAACTACTGGTACGGGTAGGACAACCCAGCACCAGCCAAACCGACCCCGCTTGAACCGCCAGAGGCAGCTGGGGCAATGACGGAAAGGAGTAAGATAAAATAAAATGTAAATATGCTCTTGCCCGATGGGCTGATGGAAGGGATACGGAAGGGTGTTGCTGGGGACACGCTGTGGTGTCGACTTAGTGGTGACGCAGACGGTACATCAGCCATTCGCATGCTGCGGACAGGAGGCAAGAGGGCCTAATCTGGAGGGTGGCGTGGATGTCGGTGGGCGTGAGCCCAGACCTCGTCGAAGTTTCTTGGGATTCAAACGCAACAAGGCTTGTGAGTGGGGAGTTTCCAGCTCCATCAATGCCTGTCTTGGACTGGGAGCGGATGATGTGGAGAGGGGTACGGCCATTGTCGCAGGGCCACCGACATGTATGATGTCTATTCGTATGCGTTGTTCGGAGGTACCAGTATGCACATCACTTTTTCCCTCTTGCTCTTCTTTTCGGCTTGAGGTTGATTGAACCCGCCGGTTGCTCGCCCATTCACCGGGCTTGACTAGTCGCACCCTTGAAAAGACATGGCTCCCCACAGCCTAGATTTTCACCTAGGAGGGCGTGCTGGGCGTTGACGTAGCAAAACAAGGGCAAGCGGCATGTCAGTTGAGGGTTGTAAAATGAAGCCGATCTCATCAACGTCGCCACTGCCACTCGTGAGATTTGCTCCGTGCAACTGTGCTCTTGGGCTGAGGGTTCTCGCTTGTTCTGACCGACGCTGACAGGACTAAGCACGTAGGGACGAACGACGGTGATGCGGTGCAATGAGCAAAGCGATATCTGAGGTCTAGTTCAATATTATGGAGAAGCATCAAGTGCAAGACTCACGCAATGTTGGCAATGTCCGTTCCACAGTGTGGCGACACGAGCAGAGTTTTGCTCTGCCTGCAGTGTTGCTGCATGCGCACGACGGGCGTCAAACATGATCATGTCGGGATCAGTCATGAGGATGCTGGATGGCTTACGTGTCCGAGAGTGTGTGCACTATTCGCCATCTCTTTCTCAACTACAGGCGATTCCAGACCAGGGCGGCTGAGCTTGAAGAAGCGGCTAGTTTGCAGGTGGCACGCTTTGCTCAAGTTTGCAACTACCTGACACGCGGGTGACAAAAAACATCGCCGCCCTGCCCGGCTAAGATTCGCTCTTGTCAGCTAAATCCGTTCAAAATAAATATTTTTAAAATACTAAGAATTATAGATGGTATTAGAGGACTAATTCCTCTTTTTCTTTTTAATTATCTTATTCTATACGTGGTGTACCTTATGGAATATTCAGAGTCCATCGGCGATGTTTTTTGTCACCCGCGGGCCTGAGTAGGTAAGTACAACCTTCTCCTCCTTGTAAGAGGTCCCTTTATTAGCGAGGTATTGCCGGCTGTCAAGTGCTTGGCGGCGTTGCGTCCAGTTGGCTCCACGCATCCACCGCCTACCGCAGCCCGTGTCCAGCTGTGCCTTTGGGCTTCAGGCAGTCGAGCTCAGGGCTTCGGCATTTCCTCGCTCTCCAAGACAATGGCGATTACTGGTAGCAACACGCTGTCACAGCCAAATCACAGCATGAACAGCTCGGTATTACTTTGCCTGCTGCCTGACCGCAAAGGCACACCCACACGATGGTGTGCTGCTTCTGGCGAACTCTTTGACGGTCTCGGTCTCGCCCTGCTTTGAGTGGTGGTACCTACCTACAGGGCACGCTGCAGCATTACAGCGCCCACCACCCACAGCTAGAACATGCTAAATCCACCTACCGCCACCAGCATGCTAGACTCTGCTGCCCATCTTTTACCATATTGGAACTTTATTCCTATACAAGAAGATAACTAATTATTCGTCCAAGGTTTCCTCCGTTATTATTAGTGGCTAGATTTAATTTATTTTCCTCTTCTTGATTTTTTCCCAACGTGACGCGTTTGCACTTTCAGCCCGCGGCGACGGCCAGCCAACCAGATCCCCTCTTCCAGCGGAAGCGGAGCCCCGCCGCGGCGGAACAACGCGGCGTGAAAATCCCTGCGAAGCACCTTCACATCTACCAGTACGGATTAGTACCTACTCATTTCTCGTTTGTTGCATGCTTCACAGCACTGCGTCCAAGCTTTCAACACCAACACACGAGTTGCATCACCAAACTGCATATCAACGCTCAACCTACGGCAATTGTTACTCCATCAAGTCCCATTCGCCTCGAGTGCAGCACATGTGGCTTGTCACTCGTCTGGTTTCATCCATCCGAGCACACAGCGCTACAGAGAGCTCTGTCTAGAAAATAATAATATGTCCGACAGGCAAGGAGCTCGTGAAGATATGTTAGCCGTGATATAGGTTGGTGGCGACGTTAGCCCGTGTCACCACCCGCTGGTCTCAACATTTCCCATTCTCTCGAACCCATCCTAGGCGCTCAAACCGATTTGTGCTACGGCGCCTTGAATCAGATTACAGTGGTAATAGTTAAATATGTCAGGCGGACCCTCACTTCGAAACATTGGAGCCCTTCAACATTGGATTCCTTCACGGGAGCTGACAATAGCCGACATCAAGGCGTCTTGCGACGGCCCTCCCACGACAGAAGCACATCACGCCCTCCAAACGGCGCGCAATGCAAGTCGGGTCAGTCCGCGATGATGCCTACACCCCGGCGCACTCCCTCCCCGGATTGTGATGCTGCGTTCGGTAGGTGGCGCTGTGGTCACTCCTCGTGACGGACACCAAGTGCGCTCTGTAGCATCCCCGGTCGAGCAAACGGACGGAAAATGGCAGGTTTCGGCGATCCAGAGTTACCTACAGCAAATCCTCCATACTGACGAAAAGGAGGGGCGAAAGGCAGGGGCGGTCAGAGGTGGAGGTGGATGGTTCAGTTCAGCACGACGAATACCACTCACAACTCGTTAATAACTCGTGTCTCGTTGCAATAACTAGAACTTGACTGTTCGAATTGCTCAAGCGACGCTAGCCTCTAGACTCCGCCACCGCGAAAAGCCCACCGTCAACGTCCTGCTCTGTCTCCAGCGGGGCGACGCAAAATATGGCTGGCTTTGGTGGGCTGCGCTCTCTGCAAAGCTTCTCGACCAGGCCCCTGCTCGTCACTTACGAAGTCACTATTTCGCCGCTCATTATGCGCCCTTTGGAAGGCGTGGTTCTGCGGTGGGCACGGAATGTGTGTGTGCGTCCCTTCCCAGCATGCAGTCGCCAACAAATGAGACGAACGAGAGCCATCCAACTCATGCCATACGAGGCCACGCCGTAGCCTGACCCATGGGACACCGAAAGCCGTGCCCTGCAATATTGGACACGCTACTCCTTACTGAGGGGCTCAAACAACTCCAAAGTTCTGGTAAGCAGCCATGGCCGGACCTAGCCAGTTACAGGAGCTTCTGCTAAAAGACTGTCGGTCGGCATCCCGTTTTAGCTTTGGGGCCATCGCTGCACAATGATGGGCACTTCGCGTGCTTGGCGGCGCTGCGGACACGGCAACCTCACGCCTGCCCCGTGCCATGACACAGGCAGGACCATAAAAACGGCAATGCCGTTGTGCTCTGCCATGAATGCGCAAACCCAGGGAGACCATGTCATTACGGTTGCGGAAGTGCGCCTCGTGGCTGACGGACGTGCAAATTCGGTGCTGCAACTGCAACACAAATCGAGATGAACGTGTTCCATATCTAAGTTTGGACTGCCCCGTGAGCAGGCAGCATGCATGTGAGTGCCCGAGCCAAACGGGGGCTGGGCAAAGAAAACAAGACTTGTCCCCTTGTAAGGCTTCTCTATTCTGTTTGGGGCGCATGTCTTTTCTGCTCTCACGAAATGAAGCTAACACCCTGTAATACCAAGGACCTCGCAACTTTACCAAAGCTAAAAAAGGCAACTGTTTGGGACAGTTAGGCCCGTGGTACCGGTGCGTATACTGAGTCAGAACCAAGTCAAGATGCAAACAACGGCGATGCTCTTTCCGCATCTGCGGCCCTGCACGCCGTACTGGTATGTGTGCCTCCATTTGGAAAGGTTTGGAAAGGTGACTTGCTTCCCGTTTCTTTGACGATTGACCCTGCTCTTTATTTTCCTTTATTCCCTCCCTGGCTCCACTCCGCCATCTTTTGGCCAGAACAATACTGAGTTGAGCAGCTACTCGATGCTTGTAGCCGCTGGCACGCCCCCATCCTACGACAAACCCCTGGTCGTGCGAAAACGTGTGGGAGTGGCCTAAATATACACAACCACAGTTCTGCAGCAACGGGTGGACATGATGGAGACTGAGCAATTGTTGTGATGTGCCAGTAGGTCCCCTTGCGGGCTGCCTAGATAATCCCGCGAGTGTGGAGGCAAGCCTCGCACTGGCATTCAACCAGCAATAGATGTACGACGTGGGCTCATTCTGTGGCGCGCCGCAAAGGCAAGGCCTACGAGGAGGCAACAACATCGCCTGTGCTCTCTTTTCGTTGTGTAGAATCTATTTACACACGCGCATCTTCTCGGCTATTGAGCAGTGACATTTGCATAACGTTACACACTGGGGCCAACTCTAGCCAACCTCTATCCGTCTGTCAGGGAACAGTGCTTGGCAGCCAGAGTCCCCAGACCTGTTGCCAATGTACAGGTAAGGTTTCATGGCTCGCCAGCTATTGTTCTTTTTTCTTCGGCATTATTATTGACGGCGAGTGGAGTGAGATCCTGTTTGATGCGTAACGAGATATGGATGGCCCATGGCCCTCCAACACATCTCGTCACCACGGGACGCAGTGAGACCATCCATCCACCTGCTCCCTCTCGGCTGCCCTCTCGGGTAGCATGTCTTTTTGTACGTTTCAGTCCTCGTTTTTCTTTTGGTTGGGCCGCTCACCGTGGTCAAGTCGCCCAAATGCTGCCACACGGAGGCGGCTCACTTTTTTCTCAATCTCTTTTCCTACGCCTAGGCCAGAGACGGGCTCACAGCGGCTTTCGACGCCACCAAGCACCACAAGCCTGGGAGTGTGATAGCAGCCCCATGCCCATACTACTTGGTAGTAATCCCGGCCTCCTGGGCTCGCCTTGTATTTTTACTGATACGCCCTGCCCCCACACGCCCCCTTCTACCCCGACTCGGCTAAAAAAAAAATCTCGACGTTCCGCTGCTCCCGTACGGTAGAACTAATTAGCTTCGTGACTCGTCATGCACTCTGTTGGCATTACAGTATTGCATGCTAGCTAATAAGCTAAGTTTCTCTCTTGGTCAGGAGCCACCTGACCCTCGATAGATCTGCTCAGCATGCGTACCGAAACCGGCGGGGGGTGAAGGCATCAATGATGGTTAGCAGCGTGGCTTGCCCATAGTGCCAAGGCTGAAGTAAAGCCTGATATATTGTGACGTGCCTCAGTGATTCGGAAAACTGCCGTCATGCTCATGGTGGCCATACCTGGCAACCGGAAGCGCAATACCGTGCGTTCTGCCACCAACAGCAGAGGCCAAGCAAGGTATTCTTACCGCAGTGTTGGATGCATGCTTGACAGCCGAAACCCATGAGTCTCGGTAGGAAACTCAAAGCCCCATGGGCGCCTTATTTCGTCACCCGCATTCTTTGCACAGCCGAGTTGCATGGCTCGCCCTAACAAGCAAAGTTCACGCCGCCACAGTACTACATGGCTGCAGCAACACCAGAGCCGCCTTCTCATCCGTCGTTTGCCAGCTGTGCTTCATGTTGTCGGCGGCCACCGGTGATGACTGGTACCAATACGATCCCTCTGGTTCCCAGCTGACGATGGCACGGCAATTCAGAGCAAAAGCCTCCCAGACGCTGCAGGAGCTGCGCAAAGAAGAAAACAGAGACTAAATCTATATGCGCAGGATGCTCACTGCGTTGCATCTTGACGGAGCCCACATCATGCCTCTTGTTCGACACCACCCTTCTGTTCTCCTTCAGGGACCTGCCCAGTTGAGAATAAGTTATGACGACCAGGAGCCTACGCCTACCCATGCGTTCCCACTGCGCCAGCCATGTCCGGGTCACGGACGATCCCCCGTCGGTACAGGGTCCACATGAGCGGTAGCGGCTCCTCCGATGGCACCTCCGTCAGGTTCTCCATCTTGCTCGCCCCCGTCCGGGTCTCGTCTGGCCATCGGCTGACAGTTGGAAATTTTCTCCTTGGTCCCACGGAAAAGAGCGCTAGTTGAGTTTCTAATGCCGCTGCTCACCGTCTGCTAACTTAGAAGCTGAGGCTGAACTCTCGCCCAAACCAACCCTGTCCATGCTAACAATTTCGTAGCTGGGTGTGGCCCTCCCTGACACGTCTTTTTCGCTCGCCCCAGCGCAGCTGTTAAAAAAAAACCTACATTCCCTGGAGGAGGGGCCCTGTCCTCGAACTCTTGCCGTTACGCAATGTAATACTGTCATTGGCATCCCGCTTCGATGGAGAGAAATCTTGCGGCAGGGACGGCATCACCGGGACCTAGTGACCGGGCGACTTGAACAGCGATGCTAACTTCAAAGCACCTGCGTCGACCGTCTGGGTGCGGCAACCTGTCCCGTGACATGTGCAAACCGGCAACCTCTCCCTCAACCCTTCCTCTTGTCACGGGCGCAGATTGCCAGTGCTCATATGCGAAATGTTCTTTGCAACCAAACTCCCTGGGGATGCTCGAAACTATCCGTACAGCGTGGAGGCTACATATATCGAGAGCGTGCTGATGCTAATAATGCCTCTTTCTCAGCGCCAGTCCCATGGTGAGGGACTTGCAGCAGACCATCCTTGTAGCATCTTTATTACCCACACTGATATAAGAAAGGCACCCGACGTAATGTGAATCGCCAACAGCATCGTTACACCTGACGAGGAATGCTACTCATCATTCCGCATCTTGCCTCCCTCCCCTTACTGGGGCGCATGATGGATCGGCCAGGCCTGTGTAACAATTTCAAGCTTGGTCGCTGGACATTGTCCTTGGCGAGCGCAGGCAGCCCAGTTTGCCCAGCTCTGTCATTTCAACTCAGTGGGTGTGTGGGATAGTTGGCAAATATGCACCACCGGACTCGTCACCGTCATTTACCTTGCACAATTGAAGGGCCAACAACCGTCGCAGGGGAACAGTGCTCATGCGGGCGATAAAGTGTGCACGTCCTCCGTATTCGCCAGACGGCACAGGATCCTGCCGGGCCATATTCTCACACTGATCAGCGCCAGGCACCACAAAGCAATGAGGTGCTTTTGCCCGCCTTGATTGAGCTGCAGGCGGCGCAATGTTGGGAGGAAACTAGCGAGAAACAGCACACGCCCCTCTACGCGACGATCCAGAAGACACGGGCATAACAAAGCATGCCTAAGAACGGGACAGCCTCAAAAGGGTTTTAATTTGGGACTTGAAGCATCGCGCCAGGGGACAGGTGACAGGGTCGCAAGTTCGCAACTCTGCTGCTGCTGCTGCTGCTGCTGCTGCTGCCGCCGCAGCTCTTCTCGCCACTCGCCTGTGTAAGCACCTCAATAGAAGGGACGAGGTGAGACACCGGGTCGAGGTTTGGCCGCAAATCTGTTCGAGGTGGGAGTGTTTGAGTGTTTCTATATTCAACGAGCCGACAGCAGACCCCCTCTCGTCATTGAATTGGGGGCCGCCATGCAACCAGTTTGGCGCCTTGGTTGTACCGAGATGCAGGACAATTTATGCCAACGCTCCCTTTCTCCGCGCACATATACTGGTGCTAGATCGCGCGGTTCCCGCCCGGCAAGCCGTTATAATCGAGGCGGAAGACAACCTCCCTTTTCTCTGCAGCTAACCCGAGTTCCTTGGGCCTGGTGGGAAGGTAATATCCGCGGAACCACACCTATTCGAGAAGGCCCAGAAAGCGTTTCGCTGGCACCTGGTTAACAAGTCACCAAGCCGTTACTTACCATGTCGGCCATGTTTTCAGGCTGCTGCAACTCAGCTCTGGCTGCAGTGCATTCGAGGTAGCCCGAGTGATTGTGAGCAAATCAAATCGCCTTACTTTGCTGTTCGGAATCGCATGTAGGTAGGCACTGTACATGATTGACATGTCACTTTTTTCTCTCTCTCTCATTTGCATGTGCAGCCATCTGTTGCCGCCCGTTTTGCCCAATTTTGCTTTGTCGCGACGCCACGTTCAGGTGACAAGAAGCGACAGCACCACAGCCAAACAGCTTTTGCTGCGGCCCTTGCAGGGCACAACCTCGCTACCACCACAGTCGTGACAAAAAGCAAGATGCGAATTTCTTCTGGTCGGGGAGCACAGATGGTGTTTTTTTTTTGTTTCTCGTCGCGTCGCACCACCACCACTAGCAAAACGGGCCAGCTCTTTTGTAGTGTAAGCCGCATGGTCGCAGGGCTTCGGTCTTTTGCATCAAATTCAGAAGAACATGGTCAACAGCGAGCCGCCGGCTCAGAAAACTCGGGGTACTTGGTTAGCATGTGGCGCTCAAACATACATGGCGACTGGCATGCAAGCATACTGATACTAGGTTATTCCTGCCTACCTGACACTGAGATCAGTGAGTCATCGAGTTGAAGCCAAGCCCACAATGGCTGCCACTCACACTGCACCGTATCGAACAAGAACTTTTTGCTTTTAACTTATTTTATTAGTGCTTCAAAACTCCTTGGTTGTTTCACCGCCCTCGAGCTTCACAAGCGCACAAGCTCCAATTCCATCAATACTGTCTAATAACGGGATCGCGACTCGAGTGTCTCGGATTTTGGGCCTGCGCAAAAAGAGACTTTTCGGCTGTTTCTTTCCGTATTTATCAAAGGACACCCACCAGCCATCCTCATATCTCGACACCTCCTGAGATGAAGAGGTGCGGTGGAGAATATGAGACGCATCAGCACAAACCAGAATGGGCGCGCAGTTCGCTAACCAGCAGTCGGGTATCGGACAGTTGTGCATGTATGTAGAACCATCCATGCTGTGTGTGATGGCACGGGGTGTGTTTTGTTTTGCTTCTGCTGGGTATGTACGGCTACGCCCCCGAAATCACGCCGTCGTCACAGGGCAGCGCTTCTGGGTTTGTATCACGTCGTGGCCCAACCCGGCGAAGCCTTCGCGCTGAACTTTGAGCGTAGCCAAGTCGACAGCGAAGCGCACGCAGCGACGCGCATCCCAGGGCGTATTCTCGTAACCACCTGTAGTGAGGCCGTAGAGCATTCCGGCAATGAATGTGTCTCCCGCTCCCACGGAGCTAGTTGTTTTGTCGGTCCACGTTAGTTTCCTTGTCTCATTCTCGTAGTCCCCTTCTAAATTTCTTCCAATCTCTCATGACAGACATATCCGGAAATCGGTGGGGGGCAAGGCAAAACGGGAAGAAACGAAAAGAGAGACATACTCTACGACGGTAATTTCGTCAGGCTGTTGCTCGATAGGGCAGTGAATCTGGTCCCCCGATAAGTGAGACATTGCATAGGCCCCCCCAGCTCCCCAAGGGCACACGGACAGGGATCTATTAATTGGCCACATGGTTAGATTTTCAAATAGCAGGGAGCCGTTGCAAGGGGAATTAAAAACATGAAGAGCACGGAACGCACGCTTGTCCTGCGGGCTCGGCCGTGAGACAGTCCATTGCCGAATTATACCCGCGATCCTGTTGTTCACAAAGCCCAAATCAGCATGAGCAGTCCGGCAAAGGGGGTGCGTTGCCGTCTGATTGCTCGTCTCTCCTCGCAACCTACCTCTGCCCAGACTTTCGAGTAAAAGACAACGTCTGCTTCGGCGGCCAGCGCACGCAGCCCTTGTCGCCCCGGCTTCTCGACTTCGACGCTGATTTTGGATCCAGGGAGAATGCGGCGTAATATCCGAATGCATTCGAGCGTGGTTTCCGGTATGCGACCCTAGATTTTGCATGACTCGAATATGAGCCGATTCTGTTCCCACTGCCATGAGGATTGCAGGTCTACATCATTGGGGCTGGCAATAATTTCGCCCTTTGATGATGCTAATACATATATGAGCGAATGTTGTCGCTTACCTCAAAGTGCCACCAAGATTGGCCCTCTGCTTGGAAATCGCGCGCGACGGCCTCAAACTCGGCGACTGTCATTTCCTCGAGCGCGTTGTAGTTGACGAGCGTGCGGCTGCCCGTCTTGCTGCTCCGGATAATGTAGCTGCTCGCCGCCTCGGCCGCGTCCGCGCGGTAGAGGCAGTGCTTGAAGCTAATGGGCGTGCCATTGCCAAACGACTGCATCACTTGCCTTGTCGCTGGGCTGTCCTGCTTTGGCAAACATGCGAGCAGGTAAAGGCGGTTCTTGGCCGTCTCGTCCGGTCGCGAGGGGTCGTCATCCGGGACGTCTCTGTTGGCGCCGCGAGCGGAGGCGTCGGCGGGACGCACATCATTCAGTTGCTGAAGCACTTCTAGCGTGTTTGCGCAGTTTCCACCGCGTCTTATTTCCAGATTAGAGGCTCGCAGCTTTGTGTCCTCTTCTGGGTAGTGTGGCACACTGAGGTGCAAAGACAATGAATTAGCGTTGGAGTAATCAGAGAGCGTCGTACGTATGGCGGCAAGGGTACTTGCGTGAGAATGGTGTCCAGGTAGCAGGCCCCTACCATTACGATGTCCATGTTCGCCGTATCAGAGCGGTATCAGAGCGCCGTTTTCTTAAGGTCTCTGTTGCGAAGTCGTTGGCTGTGTTGTGAGGCTGAAGATGTCGTCGACACCCGTCGACACGGGTGACTAGAAGCAGCCTGAATTCGGCTCCATCAAATCTCCAGCTTCAACAACAATTAGAGGAAAGCACATGCCGTGAAATTACAGCACATAGAGACATGCATCAAATTACCGATTTCAACATTTCCTGCAATAGAATCTTCTCCTCATCCGTCCCAGGCACATACTCGCAGGCAGACCCGTATCAATGCAGGCTCTATGACGTGGTAACATGACTTACCCTAGATCAATCTCCAAATAGGAGCAACGGGAATGCTACGCGATGCGTGGTAGAAGGACAAACACACGAAGATAGGGCACGATTAAACAGCGGCCATCTGGAATACGAGTGGAAGGAGCTATCGGAGGGGGTATAATTGAGCGTATTGGCGTTCTACCCAATTGCGCTATTGACGTGGGATGCTCCAGCGTCGGTCAAGAAGAAGACCCGGGCTCGTAAAGGCGACAATTTGCCAGTCGGGGAGTCGCGATAATCATGCCGAGAAATGTACAAAAAATTTCCTTAGACTGCCATATATCATCCGCCCGCAGTTGATCTGTTCTCTCAAGCAGCGGCAATGCCCCGCGTCATCACAAGCTCCGACCTTTTTGGTGGGGTTGAACCCGACCTCTCTAGCTCCGACGAACATTGGCTTCATAATTTAAACTTTGTCTGGCAACATAGTTTTGCGCACTTTGACTGCCAAGCTAAACACCTAGCACTGGCTGGTACTGTGCGACCAGATTTACTTGCGCGACCATACTACTCGAGCTACAAGATATACTCGGCGACTGCGCGATAGCTTCCGGAAGCCTTTGCCGATCATCGCAGAAACAGAATGGAGGCCGACAAAGTCCCGAGCGAGGACAAAGTGCCAAAGACGACAGATAAGCAGCATGACCTGGTATTCGAAGATGGCTCCGATGGCAGTGATGAGGAGTGCAAAGCAGTAGAGGTTCGTACGAGTCTGCCACGTTTCCGTTGCATCCGATCTCTCGAGGGAGAGCGGGTCGGCATCATGGCTGTGCACGGAATTGCGATGCTAATGCCGTGAGATTGTGACCAATATAGGTTGTGTTTGATCCCACGAATCCATATAGACGAAAATCTTCCCTTGTGTCCTCGGAACATCCGACCTGGAACTCCGTCACTGTGCAGCGCAGGCAAGGCATGGTGCAGCAGTACCTTGAGAGCCAGCGACATGGCGGCGAACCCCAGCCAGCCAAGTCATACCGGGCGCATCCCGCGCTGGGAGGCGCCAGCTCCCAGGGCGACGGTTCTATGCTTGTACCAGCTTCCATTTCGAATAGCGTGTCGCTGGCGACCACCGTCGCGCACGGCTCCGAGCGGCGCCATTCTCGCGCTATTGTCGATCCCACGAGTCTAGACAGCGGTGAGGTTGGCCAGCCCGACCAGCAGGATTGGACTCGCGAGATGATGCGGAGCGCGTCCGAGGTGGACTTCCTCGCCATGCAGCAGCGACACCACGAGAACACGAATGCCGAGAACCGCGAGGCCCCATCGCGCATGCTCACCAAGAAGCAGCTCAGCGACATGGCCTGGGGCGTGCGTGAGCTGAGCAGACGGATCAGCAGTATGCGCATCCGTGTGCGCGTCAAGTCCATTATGCTATTGACCAAGATATACGACCAGGACTTGATACCTACCACGAGAGAGCTGGCATCCTGGCTGCTGTGCCTTAACCGCGACGTCAAATACGTAGTGTATGTTCAGGATAAACTGCGAGACAACAAAAAGTTCAACGTGAACGGTCTCATCAACGATATCTGCGACAAGTATGCGGCCGAAGACTCCAGCCTGGATCGGGCTCAAGCATATGAAGACGTCAAGAAGAGACTACGCTTCTGGGATGAAGACATGTGCCGTACTAGGCCACATGTTTTTGATTTCGTCATCACGCTGGGCGGTGACGGGACCGTGTTGTATGCGAGTTGGCTGTTTCAGCGCATCGTGCCTCCGGTGCTCAGCTTTGCGCTAGGCAGCCTGGGATTTCTGACCAAGTTTGATTTTGACGAGTATGCGCCGACCCTCACCTCGGCTTTCACCAAAGGTGTCACCGTCAGTCTGCGGCTGCGATTCGAAAGCACCGTTATGCGCAGCATACGGCGTACAAAGACTGCGTCCGAGCAACTGGATGGCCTCAAAATCGGAGAGGGCGGCACGACAAGTGAGGAAGAAGACGAGAACGAGACGCACAAGAAGCGAGATCTCGTCGAAGAACTCATTGGCGAGGAGAGAGAAGATGCCCACACGCATCGGCCAGACGGAACGTTTGAGATTCTCAACGAGGTTGTCGTTGATCGCGGGCCGAACCCGAGTAAGTATCGTCATCTATGCCAAACCGATGCAGATGAGCTAACTAGCCCCCCCCCCCCCCGCCCTCCCCCAACAGCCATGTCGTATACGGAACTCTTTGGCGACGACGAGCACTTTTCCTCGATCCTGGCCGATGGCATCTGCGTGTCCACACCGACGGGCTCGACGGCGTACAACCTCGCGGCCGGCGGCTCGCTGTGCCATCCGGAGAATCCCGTGATGCTCGTGACGTCGGTCTGCGCGCACACGCTCTCGTTTCGGCCCATTATCCTGCCCGACACGATTGTGCTGCGCGTGGGCGTGCCGTACGGCGCGCGGACATCGTCGTGGGCCAGCTTTGATGGCCGCGAGCGCATCGAGCTCAAGCCAGGCGACTACGTGACGATTAGCGCGAGCCGGTACCCGTTTGCGTCGGTGCAGACCGAGGGCCGGCGAAGCGAGGACTGGGTGAATAGCATCAGCGGAAAGTTGGGATGGAACACGAGGCAGAAGCAAAAGGAATTCAAGACTTGGGACCAGTGAGGCTCCTTCGAATGGCGTCTTTTTTTTTACTTTGCATATAGACGGGAGGGCTGCGGATGCCGTTTTCCTTCTGTACTTGTGGTCGAGGGCCGGAGGATAGTATTATATGGGATCTTATAAGGGTTGGATAATGAACAAGTATATATATGTACATTGACGACGGCCATCTCAAAGGGCACATCTTCAGTATGGGGCCATTCAGCCCATATTAGTTCTTTTGCACCAAAACGACGAAAAGTGGCCTGACATTTGCTCTTGAGACATGCATAGAATTCATTGATATCGTCTACCTAAGTTTTGCCTGGTGTGCTTGCCCCCGCTACGCAGCGATCAACACATTCGAGGCTGGCTTCCTTCTGCAATTTGTGTCTGCGGCCGCATGTACAACCACACCCATGATGCCAGACCCCCGCCGATCCAATTCGGCGCCTTTCCCCCCCTGAACCCAACCCCCAGCTTCTATAATCGCTTTCTGCCCAACAACGAGCCGGTTCAAACTTGCATCTAACGGATTGTATTGCATACAAGCCACACACACACACACACACACACAAAATGAGCTCGCCCGCTCTGCCCCCTGATCTGTTCGACACCGCGACGCTCGTGTCGCTCGCCGCGACAGTCGGCATTGTCGGCGTCGCCTACGCGGCGTCGCGCCAGTTCCTGCCGCCGCGAGGCAACACCCCCTCGGCACTGCGCTTCCTCTTTGTGTGGCATCTCGCCGACGCGCTGTGCCATTTCATCCTCGAGGGCAGCTTCCTGTACCACTGCTTCTTCTCGTACGTCGAGGCTTCGGCGCCGGCCGCCGCGGGGCTCACGGCGTCGCCGTTCAACTACCTCGGGCACGGCGCGGCGCGGGTTTACGGCGCGCAGGCGGGCGGCGCCAGCAACCCGTTTGCGCAGCTGTGGATGGTGTATGCCCGCGCGGACAGGCGCTGGGCCGGCGCGGATCTCGGCGTCATCAGCCTCGAGCTGCTGACCGTCTTCTTTGACGGGCCGGTGGCGCTGTACGTCGCGTACCTGATTGCCAAGAAGGACGACAAGGCGAGCTTCTGGATGGTGGTGCTGGCTACGTGCGAGCTGTACGGCGGTAAGGCGATCCAATCAGCGTGGGGACGCTGATGGAACGGAGGATGAAAAAGATGGAAGCTAACATTGTGAGTCAGGTTTCATGACGTTTTGTCCCGAGTGGCTCGTTGGCAATATCAATCTGGATGGTAGCAACTTTATGTACATGTGGGTGTACCTCGTCTTCTTCAATATGCTGTGGGTGGTCATTCCGCTGTACGCTATATGGTACTCGTACCGTGACATCTCCCACGCGTTTGCTGTTCGTGCGTCAAAGAAGGATCAATAAAGTGAGAAATCTTCGACTGTTTGATTTGTTCGTTTGGCGCCGCTGTAACTATCGGTTTTGGAAGTGGTCATGACAACTTGCACGAATCACTCTCGACACTCGACATTAAAGGGCCATTTTACCAAAAGATCTTGTTATTCGGACTAATATAGGGTATTCATATTCTATAGCAATCGAGAGCAATCATTCCTAGCATCCCTTGGCTGTCGTAGAATGGTAGGCTTAGATTTGCTGCTTGTGAGCACTGGCCTTGGCATCGTGGCCGCTTTCGTTGATCTTGTCGCCGACGGCATCCTTGGCGGCATTGAGACTGAAGGAGTGTTAGCTACCTAGGGATATAGCATTGTGCTTATAGACCAAGGGTGCTTACCGAGTGCCGGTGTTGGCGTTGCTGTCCTTGGCAACCTCCTTGTTAGCTTCCTTGCTGGTGCCGGAGGTGGCCTTCTGGGCCTGCTCGGAGACGTAGTTGACACCCTGCTTGATGGAATCCATTGTGATGGGATTGTTTGATTGTTTGAAAAGTTTGAGGTTTGTTTTGTTTGTAGAGATTGTGTGGAGGATATAGAAATTAGATGCGAGATCTGGGCGCAGAGATGGGACTTATATAGACAACTGAATACGGGAAGTGGGCTTGCAAACAAAGTCAAAGGGTTCATACCCCTCACTTGTAATTACGTATGTACGTGGCGTTTGCGCCGTCTTTCTTGCTTGTGATGCTCGTGATCGGCCGTTCCTGTCCATCAAACGGAAGAGTTGGAGGCGGCGTGCCAGAGTCCTTGACGTCATCTGCATTTTCCGGCCTGGAGGCCAAGGTTGCACAGCCGTCTAAAAGGTGGCGGACTACCAGCAACGAAGGAATATAGGACACGATTTCCACAGAATATAGGCATCCTGGCCAATACTTGGACGACGAATCGACGACTCTTTTGCCGTCTTGACAATTGCATCTTTTGATGTTGCGCAAGCCACAGTGAAGTGACGGGGCGGGGTGCCACAGTGTGGCACAAAAACCCACAATCAAGGTTGTCACGCATTTCTACTCGTCTACGAGCCTGTTCATGACGTGTCAGCTACCTCATTCTAGCACTTCTACTACTCCATCGAGATGCCGCCGGAAACTTGGCTCCGAAGAACTAGACTATCTTCTCCGCTTTCAGTTTCTATGAGGCATTCATGACGGCGTCAGAGAAAAGTAGAATTTGCCCATGTACGTTCCCCAGTGACGCTAATCGAAATGAAAGGTCAGCAGCCTCGCTGGTTGGGGAGCAACTTCATCATGATGCAACAAGCCAGATTGGCTTGTGAATCTCGACACGAATACCCTGTGCCTGCCTTGCTGCCTGCCGTGCCTGCGTGCCTGCGTGCCTGCAAACTGGTGCCGCTTCTCGCCTTTGATGCATTGAACCATTGACCAAGGCATTGTCAAGAAACGCGCCACTGACTCTGAGCCAAGCCTTCGACCTTGCCACCGATCTATCTTTCACGCACGGCGAACTGTTACAACTTCTATTACTCGTCGAGGGTTTTTAAAAAGAACGAAAATCTGCCGGATGTATCCCTTGACCCAAACTACATTCCAAATCACGTCTAGCAGTCGCATTGCTGCTTTCCTCCCTTTCTAGAAACTCGATTTGACCCACCAAGCGAGCCAAAATACGGCGATTTTCTCTAGTGTCTAGCTTCTGCAGGACATCTCAAACATGGCGAATAATGACAATTCGATTCCGTCTTCTTTAAGAACAGCGCAGGCAAGGAGCTCCAACATCTTTCCCCAGAATAAAAACGACGCCATGCCAGTTAGCGGCCAAACAGTTAGCGGCCACTAGCTGATACCCGCTGTGCCTCATCGCTGCTAAATCGTTCTGCACCCGCGCACGGAGGTTCCCCTTCGAACATGTTGCGAGCGGAAACGATAGTGCGGCAGGTTCAAGGTGCCTACGGCAAGGAACCATATCGAGGGTGCATTGCAATGTGTTGCAGCGTATGCAGCTACCGTCAAGAGATGGCATGATTCTGTCTGTGATTTACGAATGACTGATTGATTTGGTCGAATCGATTTTGTTGAACTCGACCGATGGACTGCAATAGCCGGGAAAGCGGCAGTCGCCGACTTACTCTCCTCAAGCCGTACCCTTTTGTGCACGCATGCCATGCTATATGCTTGCCTGGTGATAGCACGCGAATAGCCGGCTGCTGTCTGACAGGCGGCACTTTTTCCGGCCCGAAAACTCCCAAAGTGGACTGCCTAAATCTTGAAATGGAAGATGGTAGCCCCAGAAGATGGCTGAATTGGCCAATCCAGTTGTCGACGCAAGTCGCCGTCTCCTTGCTCAAACTGAATCGCCAGGGTCCGCCACCCGAAACTGTAGAGTGTTGCATCGATGCTTCACACTGCCGCCACCCACTTTACATCGCACCAGCCACTGCTGGCGGAGAATATCGGAGTCTGCCGCTGGAATTCCATTTAATATTCCAAAATTGTCATGTCAAGCCGTCTTTTATGCACGATGGTAACCCCCGGCCCGATATGTGGACTGAGTGTGTCAAGGGCATTAATACTATATCGAGTATACTGTCACCATGTGGCTTCAATGCAGGGCAGCGGAAGCCACTGTTAGTCCTGTTCATCTTGTCAAAAGAACAAAGGAAAAGCAAAAAAACATTGGTTCGAACCAATGCTTTCTTTTTCATGGGGATTTTAAAATTACTCGCGGCTGACTTGCAGCTGTCTTGCAGCTGTACTAGCACTGCTCCTTGCTTTGCCGCAGGTGGTATGCTGATGCAGATGGAGTCTCGATACGACCTTGGCTGCCACCTTCCGTGACTCGTGGCGTTTCTTCATTCCCCCAGAAAAGCCCCGACCCTTTTATGGATCTTGCATGCCAAGAGAACCGGATGCCATGCACAGCCCATGCATTTTTGTGGCGGGAAAAAAGAAAGGAAAATCGAACCCCGGGTTCTTCTCTGATGAGGGTGGCGCCGAGGAGTGAGGGAGCCAGCGAGGTGGGCTGGCTTGGTGTGTTTGGGAGATGTACAAGCCTGTTGGAGCCGGCAGATATAGATGCCGAAGGAAGCTTTGTTCGACCGTTTGGGGTCAATAGAGGACCAGAAAGGGTGTATACCCTGAGGGCTTGGTATGCCGATTATGCGTGGTGGACCTGACATCTATGCTGGAGGCTGCCTGGAGCTGTCTTGATCCCCCACGGGTCCCTGATTCAAGAAGTGTCTCTCCTCACGTTTTGAAAAAGGTTCTTTTTTCTTTGCATGTTTGTTTCTCTCTTCTCCAAGTCTCATCTTCTACCTACATCCCACTAATAGCGATTCAATCCGTCTCCTACCTACATTCGTGTTTGTCGACAAACGAGCTCGAAAGTGCAACAACGTCCAACAACAGCAAGAACAGTAACTACAGGCACGACAGCACAAACAGCACATCAACAGCATCAACGGCTTGGCTTGAAAAGTCACCTGAAAGTCATCGAAAGCTAGATGTCGGCCAATACCGAATAGACATCTGGCCAGGCCAGTGTGCTTTCCCGCACCCGACTTATTTCTAGCAGAGAAACAAGCAAATCTTTAATCCAGCCAGCCAAGTTCAAAGAGAAAGAAAATATGGGCGCCAGAAATCTCCACGTATTCGATATCAGGGCAGCTGCAGAGGGAATCATTGGTAATGGATCTTTCACCACAGACTGGACCGGCTTTCAGTTCCAAGCCAATTCGACAAACGCGGTCATCAACCAGCTACGATTCGCCACCTCCAAGACGGTACGGCAGTCGAGTATTATTCTCGCGAGCTTCAATGCAGTGGTAGGACTCGTCTTGGCGCTGGGAATCTTTGGAGACTGCTACTGGTCTGCCAAGAGGGCCGATCCCAAGATGAAATTGAGGTACGGAATCATGAAAGGCGGTGACGAAAAAGATGCCAATGTACTGACCAATTTGTACAGGACGTCAATGTATAAAATAATAGGTCCCATGAATATCTTCCCATTCACTTTGGCAATCGGAATATTCATTCAAGGGATCATTACTGCTGTTGAGCAGTCAAAGGGCCTGCAAGGACTGCTGATTCTTGGCTGTTTGCCCATTTCACAAGTCATGTTGCCCAGTAAGTGCCTCAGCCTATCAGTTCGACATGAATCAAGCAGTTTCTAACTTGCCATAGCCATTTTCATTGTACCATATATCCAGTTTGTTTTTGGGATGGAGACCACCGCGCGCGCCTTTCGACGACGGGCCTTTGACAGCTTTGGCAAGTGGACAATCTCCGTCTGCGTAGCGCTGGTCGTCGTCTCTCTCATTGCAACATATGTAGTCACCCGTGTGGTGCAGCCGCCCAACTTTTGCTTCGCCTCACTATTTTGGTTCGTGCAAAGGTATCGAGTTCTATGCTTTGCCCTCTTTACCATCATATCCGGAAGTCTGCTGCTCGGCAGCGTCATCACATTTATAAGACTCTATCAAAGCTCGACAGGCGGCGTCATCGAGAGGATTGCAGCCTCACGAATGGTCTACTACATGTGCATTGGCGCCATTACAAACGTAAGACTTCATCTGCCACCCACCTTGGTATACAACGACCACTAACGCTTCAGTAGAGCATTGTGATACCATTCTTCGCCAGTCTTACTATCCACAACGACATGGAGGTTTCTCAGTTGCGCGGTAATTTGTCCATGGCTGCCATGGTGGCCACCAATTTGACCGCTCTGACGAATGGCGGCCTCTACGTTTTCTTGCGTACCTGCCATAGAAGTAACATCGGTCGCAAGGGCTATTTCGAGATGGATCGTGAGAAGCAGCAGAAGCAGACGAGGAGGCGGCAGGTTCGCAAATCACTCATGGCGGAGACGTATACGAACCAGATGGAGCAGCCCGTCTCTCTACCCCCGCGCGTGTACCAGTCAGACTCACCTAGCGGCGCAAACCGCCAAAGCATGGTTGCGGAAAGCCAGATTGGCCTAGCGCAGACATCGAGCGCGACGGGATCTGTCAACTCTGCCGGTTCGCCAAACAGGTCTCACGCCCGCAAGGCGTCGTACAGTGTCTTTCCGCAGCAGCAACCGCCGCCGCCGCAGCAGCAGCAAACTCCGGCACTCAACGCCAAGCCACTGTCGATTCTACCCGCCGCCACCTATACGCCGCCCACGCTCGCCCGTGGCGAAAGTGCCGAGGTGAATGACGAGGATCTTGAGGCCATGGAGATTGACATCATACGGCGGGACATTTCCAGTCTGCTGCCGCCGATGCCCGGCTTTGTGCCGAGCCACCAGCGGGACTCGTCTATGGGGTCCTCTGCTACGGTGCAGATTGGCCTCCGCCTTTCCAACGTCAACGACATGCCCCGCACGGCCGACGGCGGCGGTCTTTCGTACCTGCAAGAGCGCATGCCCACGCCGCGCCCGACTTCGTCCATCTACCCTCAGACCGTCCGCTCCACCGCGGTGGTGGCGGCGAGGGAACCCGTGTCTCCTCGCAGCTCTGTGCGCGTCGGAAGTACCGTCTGGGTCGACCCGGCCAAGCAGCTGCCGCCGGCGCCACTGCAGCCAGCCAAGAAGGAGCGCAAGCAAAAGGAGCGTGACAGCCAGATGCTGCTCAGCCCGACGGTGTACAGTCCCGATGGCCCGGCAAACAGCGCGACCATGTCGAGCCCGTCGGACAAGGATCCTCGGATGTCGCCGTGGGAGCGCACGGGGTCGGTAACGGAGAAGCGGCCCTCGGAATGGATTTGAAGGGCTTTCTTTCTTTTCTTTTGAGTCGAAAGTTGCACAGGGGAAATAGGTCTGTGAGACGTGTACTACACTGTATCATCTTGTTTTCTAAGCATAGACGGGAACATGGGCTGTATACAGGCGTGGCCTTGCTATTCTTTTCTTAGCGTTTTCTTCCCCTGTTTCCTATACGATTAGACGATTTATACTTATTTTTCTTTGTTCTATTTCAGCTCTGAGGTCTATAAACATGATTCATTTTGCTACTGTACATGGGGTATATTTATGTGAATGAGCAAAGTAGCGTAGCAGCGACGTAATCTTACGAGAGATGCCAAAATTCCTTTGATGGTCCTTTAGTGTCAGGAGGGAGTTCCATCGTCGGATGCATCTTGTTCTCATTGAGACTTTGAGCTTTTCGAGTTTCTGTTCCTGGCCAACCTCTTCTCCTCCCAACGGCGCCAGCCCGCCTCGCTGAGGTCCTCCTCCACGACGAGGTCCCTTACCCGAAACGCGCGCACGAGGGGCAGGTCGAGCGCCCACGCCAGCAGACCGGAGCTGCGCAGCGCCGCGGTAACGCCGAACCACGTGACGGCCGACAGCACGCCGACGGAGCTGCCGACGAGGACCTGCTTCGGGGTGTGGTAGTTGAGGTAGACACGGCTCCAGGCGGTGGCGGCGGCCAGGCCGAGGCTCGCGGCGCTGACGGCGAGGCGCGCGACGAGCCTAGCGCCGCCTGGCGTCGTCGTCGTCGTCGTCGCCCTGCCGGGGTTTGTTGGTCGGTGGCGCACCAGGAGAAAGAGAGAGAGGGCGACGCTCCAGAAAAAGACAAACTGGGCATGGGACGAGGGCATGCCGTAGCCCTTGCCGTGTATGCGGCGCGGGCGCTCCTCCTTGATGAGGCGCTTGAGGAGAAAGTTGAGGGCTTCGCAGGCGAGCTGGCCGGCAAAGAGCAGCGCGACCTCGGCCTCGCGCGAGGCGAAAATGAGGGTGAGGTAGACGATGCCGAGGGCTTGCGGGAGGAGGGCGAGGTAGGCGCAGAGAAGCGAGATGCGATCGTCGGGGTCCTGAGGGTCGGAGGGCGGTGAAAACGGACAAAGGATCAGTAAATGACGGCGCTTGGGGGGAGAGAGGAAGGGCGTGCAGGATGGATTGGAGGGGGGGGAATGGGACTCACATAGTAAACGTGCGTGATGGAGAGAGACGCCAGTGGCGCGGCGGCTTCGTCGTAGCCCATGGTGGCGAAGGGGAGGCAATATGCGCGCAGATGGGTGGAGGATAGAGTGTGAGGGCGTCGAGTTTTATTGCATGCTGCACCTGTAATCGAAGAGGGAAAAAAGAAACCAAAATTACTGACACCGCAGTATTTTGAGAGGAAAAAGAACCGAGCCAAAACACTCGCCCGCGACCCCTTTTGTGCTTCCAGAAGGCTGCGTGAAGATGCTGGTGATGCAATGGGAAGCTAGCAGCGCGGAGGTTTGTCGGTGGGCGGGTGAAGACGCGTGGGCCAGGCGGGCCGGCCGGCCGCAAGTCAGCGGCAAACCAGCCAAAAAGTTGTAGCGCCTTCATCAGCCCAAGCAAGTACCTACATTACCAACCAAGAAGAGTCATACCGCCATCCTCAAAGGTCAACCCCATTAGGACCCCAAACAGGAGCCGTTCATCAACAAGTTCTTCTCCTCTTCCATATTCATGCTCGAGATATAATTACCATCAACCGCCGCGATATCCATTTCGCGCTGCACGGGCCACACCATCAAAACCCGTCGCCACATTGCACACAAAATCCTCCGTCTAGCGCCAACTACATTGCCACGCCACGTACGATATTCGTTATGTCTACATGATCGATCCTACTTTATCAAGCAAAAAGAAAACAAAAGTTCTTCGGTCTACAGTTTTGATCCCAAAGACTGAGACACATAATAATGACGCAGCCGCGCGACACATACTACCATGGATCCCATCGATGACAGCGACGACGTGCGTCGCACAGAGCTGGAAACGCTCGAGGCCATCTTCCCGGAGCTGCACCGGCCCGAGGGCGCCGATTCGCCGTTCACTTTTGAGCTCGAGATTCCTGTCGAGCTGGCCGAGCCTTTGACGGTTACTTTTCCGCCCGTTGGAAACACCATCGATGAGGACCCGGCATCGCAGAATGGCTACCCAGGCGCGGCAGCAGCAGCAGCAGCAGCACTACCGCCACCCCTCGACTCTCTTCAAGTGTCGCATCTCCCACCCATTTCGATACTCTTCAATCTTCCGGATGGCTACCCAGAATCGTGTCCTCCACAGGTCCAGCTGAAAATGACGTCGCAGTGGCTGCGCGATGAAACCCTCGCCCAACTGGAGAGGGATGCGCCGCGACTCTGGGAAGAAATGGGGCGTGACATGGTCGCATACACATACATTGATCATATCCAGCGTGGTGCTGATGACGTCTTTGGCACCATTAGGACTGACGGTACCCTCGCTGTCGACCCGGAGCACAAGCTCGCTGTACTGGATTACGATATCAAGGCAAAACAGGCAGCCTTTGATAGGGAAACGGTCGAGTGTGGCGTATGCTTGGGTAAGCTGGAATGACGTCCCGTTTTTATCAACTCTCGCTGACGATATATGCAGACCCGAAGAAAGGCACGAGCTGCCACAAACTGATGGACTGCGGCCACATATTCTGCGTTCAGTGTCTATGCGACTTTTACGGGGACGCCATCAAAAGCGGCGAAATTATCACTGTACGGTGCTTGGCACCCAACTGTGCCAAGGAGCGAGCCTCAAAGAGTCCTGCCGCTTCCGCTGGGCGTCCCACCAAGAAGCTAAAGACGTTCATCAGCCCTAGCGAATTGCTTCAAATCGGCCTGTCGGAGGAGCTCGTCAAGAGATATGTCACGCTCAAGTACAAGACGGAGCTGGAGTCAGACAGAAACACCATCTATTGTCCGCGGCAGTGGTGCAACGGCGCCGCCCGCTCCAAAAAGCACAAAAAGCCTCGGGGTCTCGAACTCGTTGACGTGTCAGACGATGATGACGAAGAAGACCAAGATACGGAAGTGGAGGACAGCATCAAGAAGAAGGGAAAAGCTACCACAAAAGCCAAATTCAACCCGGCCGACTTACTGTGCGTGTGCGATGACTGCAGCTTCGCTTTCTGCAGCAGGTGTCTTCAGTCCTGGCATGGCGAATTCGTGCGCTGTACAGGGAAGAAGACGAAAGAAGAGCTCACGGACGAGGAAAAGGCTTCAGTGGCATATCTCGAACTGCACACCTCGCCCTGCCCGACATGCTCTGCCCCGGCACAAAAGACGCATGGCTGCAACCACATGGTCTGCTCGCGCTGCGACACGCACTTTTGCTACCTCTGCTCAGCGTGGCTAGACCCGAGCAACCCGTACAAGCACTACAACATGCAGCCCAATGGCAAGGTGACCTCCTGCTACATGCGGCTCTGGGAGCTGGAGGGTGGTGATGGTAACGACGTCGGGCTCGGGTTCGGCGGCGGACAAGGCCAAGCGCCGGGCCCCGCGGCGATGCCAGCGCCTGTGGAGGAGGACATGCTGGTTCTACCCCCTGAAGACGAGGAAAGCGACGGCGAAGAATCAGTTCTTGATGAGAATGGCGCCAATGATGAACCTCTGCCGGAAGAGCAGCAGCCTCAGCCGCGAGGGCCAGCTGTTGCACGAGAAGCGCCCCTTGTTCTGCGAGTCATGGATGACCCAGCAGCGCGTGTGCACAGAAACGATGCCGCAGATGCTGCTACAGTAGCGCCGGGCCAAGACGGACGACGCGGTGGCCGCGGCCGTGGTGGCGGCAACAACAACAACGACAGAGGGCAGAGGGGACCCGGTCGCGGAGGAGCTGCGGCGCGCGGTCGAGGACGGGGCGGTGCAGCCCCGGGACGTGGAGGGGGGCGACGGAACTTGCATGGGGAGGGTCGTGCGAGACGGCAGTTTATTCCCTTGGTCGGACGAGAGCAAGAAGTGGTGGAGCGAGAGTTGGAGCGGTTAGATGCGCAGCTCAACCCGGCGCAGCAAGCGTGGATTCGCAGGTTTCTGGAAATGGCGCTGGATGATGAGGAAGATGGCCTTCATGATGAGTCGGACGATGAAGATTTTGACTTTATGATGCGCTGAGTAGAGGTTTCGAGGGGGAAGAATCATGGCAAGACGTTACTTCATAATTAGAGAATGGAATGGCGACATCGGGTTGCTTGGCATGGCAATACATTGCTTGATTTCTAGCGACATGCAACTACAATTCAAAGCGAAGAATGATTTGAGTCAACAATAATAGAGGAACAGAACCTATCGTGAACAAATACGTCACTGCCGACGCTCATCCAGCTCGTACATGACAGCCAAAGTACACTGACCTTTTCGCTAGTCACTCTCGATACAACAACGACCTGGGACTGATATCCAGACTCGTCGTACTCGGAAAGCGCATTCTACTCCGTATGGGCTACTAGAACAAGCACAAGGCATACCCCCCTTCCCCCCAGCCTGGAACACGGACGAGGCTTGTTTGGATCGTCACCGAGGTGCAGACCAATCCGGCGACAATCCGCCGCCAAGAGATGCATTTCTTGCCGGAGCAAAAGACGCGACGACCTTGGAGTCTACCAGCTACGAGGTGACCATTATCGGAAAAGCAACCTACTCACCAACCTCGTACTTGATTCCATCGGCCCGGAGCCAACGTCAGAGTTAAAAAAGGTGGCACAGGTGACGGGACGCCCTGCAGGCACGGTGCGTCATTGCCTTTCCTCCCCCCCCCTCTACTTTCGATTCTCGCGGCCATCACGAGCAAAAGAATACGAAAAAATGTCTTGAGTAGGACTGATTGATTTTTTTTTTCTTTTGCTCGTTTATACTAAAAGAGTTGTGTTGTTTCAGCCCGCATTCTGCGCTTTTACTGTTCTGGGTGGTTGGGTGGTGGTGGTGGGTTACAGCTTCAACGTTGCATGGGGGGGGGAGGCATATGCCAGATGAGAAGAGAAGAGGGGACATGAAATGCTACACGAGGCCATCTTTGGGCGGAAACAAAAAAAAAAGAAAAGAAAAGCAAACCATAACAAAAGTCTGGAGTGCATGATCTTGTCTCGAAAAGAGAGAAGAAATCAGACGCTTGGGGGGCGCAGTGATGACAACACTCAAAAAAGGTTCAGTCTTTTTCTCCGTATATACTCCTTATTAGTTAGTCATGCGCAGCCAGCAGTAAATGTAAGAAGCAGGGGACAAGTTTCTCTAAAGAAAACTAGTCAGAAGAAAAAAAAGAAAGAAAAAAAAAAAGAAAGAAAAAAGAAAAAGAGGTCAAGCAGGAATGCAATGTGGGCTTCTCACGGGCAGCTGCTCCAGCGGACATCGTCCCCCCCTCATCCGTTCTCTCGGTACCGTGATCCATCCAATGTTACACCTGCGACATGGCAAGAGAAGGGAAGAAAAAGCCAGCCCGGCCAGCCCAAGCCCTCTTTCCCCCCTCCCAGTTCTTGCCCTTTCTCAGCCTCGTGCCCGGGATAGACCCTGCAAGTACGGAAGTAACAGATGACAGTATTACAGGTGAAGGGAGGGATGATTTAAAGTCCTGCCTTTTTTATTCCAGCGGGAGCCGATGAGAATCATACATCGTCTCGTGTCGCTGGGGGAGGGATCGACATGTTGTTGCCGCTATCAAACTGGAACATGACCATTTACACGCGACCGCCGCACTTTGAGGCGAAAAAAGACGGAAAAGCCGGCAGGTTGCAGGGGGGGGGGGGGGGGGGACTGCCTACACGAAGGGGGAGAAGAAGTCCCGGAGAAGGAAGAAGAAGAGAAGAAGAAAAAGAAGAAGAAGAAGAAGAAGAAGAAGGCAAACAAAAAAAAGAAAGAAACTAAAACAATCATCATGGCCATGTGCCAAGGTCACGACCACACCCCCATCCCTCCCTCCCTTTTACCCTTGCCCTGCGTCTCTATCTATCTCTCTGTGTCTCTTGTCTTCTCCTACGCCCCCCCTCCTCCAAAATGTATGTGTGAGTTTTTACACATGTCCTCTTTTTGCAGCAAGTCGCTTTCCATATTGAGAAAAGTACTTTTGTCCTCACCTTTTTTTTTTTTTCGCCTAATTTCTGACAGCATCTCGGGCGGCCGGCGCCGCGCCGTACCCGCGGAGAAAAAAAGCCCCCAAATATTTAGATTTGCGAGGAAACATCAGCTAGCTACCTTTTCTTTTTTTTTCCCACCATTGACGTGGTCGGGGGACTTTTACAATCACAAGAAATGCTGTGTCATGTCTCACACTATCCATCCGCTGCGAGACGGATCGTGTATGCTGACAGTTGAGTAGAAAAAAGAAAAAGGGAAGGGGGGGAGGGGAGTATGTACTATCGTGGCGTGTGTCCGGCAGGCTGGGAGGGACAAACGCAGAAAAAGGGCAGACGACCATGTCTCAGCGGTTTGGTCAGCCATCACCACACACGGTCATGGATCAATGTTGATCTTTTCTGTTGATGTAGAAATCCAATCAGTCACACACACACACACCCGCCTTTCAACGCTCACCCCCTTCCCTCCCTTCCTTTTCCCTCATTATTGTATCTGTACCAGCGGTGCCTTGTACCGATAGACTTGCCTCTTTTGACTAAATACTTAGGTGGGCGCTGAAAAGCAAGCGAGCGCCTTTGGGGGCTGTACATTAATTATTACGGTAAAAATAGAGTGACATTTATGTTTTGCTCTAGAGTCTTTGGCATGTGGCTGGTAAAGGAAGATTATTGCTTTGTATACCGAAATCCGACTTGGCCTTGAGGTCTTTCATAAACTCTGCCAAAAAGTAATGAAGCGTCATGAGGTTGATATATAACTCGTCGCAAAAATCAAAGAGGGATAACCAATTCGTCGCTTTGTTTGAGCTAGAGGCGGCGTTTCCCGCAGAGACCCCGACCACTTTCGGCTTTAAGCCATTGCAACTCTGTAACCAGAGGTTTCCTTGCGGGCAAAGGCCGTTCAATTTTGCCCAATTTCTTTTTTCTATTTGTGTGCATTGACCTTTTTCATGCATTCGACTTTGATGATATCAAAGGTCCATTAGAAGCATCTTTTCATGTCAGGTGTGGCGCGAATCATGTTCCTTTTATTAGTCACATTGCATCTTACTTTTAGGCAATGGTGCAGATTGAGAGAAAGCACATCTGCATAGGCGGCAAAGCAAAGTAGCGAATAATTTAAAAAAAAAAAAAAAAAAAAAGTAACACAACATACTCCGCGGAGAAGGGGTTAGACGACGACCGGATCGAGCTATTGCTCCGGCTTGTTTGAGGCGCTCGCTCTCATGCCACTACGACAACTAATTTTTTACAACAACTACTTTGATTTCTTTTTTTTTTTTATTCTTGTCAAATAAATTCAGGCGAAATGCTCATAGGTTCCGCTGCAAGAACAAAAAGGCAGGGGCAAAAGCGCCAATGCATATTGCTTTCGTCTGGGATCCAATCTACATGTCTGACAAGTATCTTTTTTCATGTGTGTGTGTCCAACCCCCCATGCACAGAAAAACAAGGGACTGGGGATTGTCCTGGTAAATAACCCAAATATGTATACCAGTATGTTGATGCAAAAGAACAGCAAAAAAATGCAGAAGAATAAGCCCGCTACCCCCCGGAACAAACCGGCACAATGTCAAGGTAGACGGAAACAAGGCAAGGACATAACGAATCAATGTGCTTCCTTGTTGCGTTATATTCGCCCCCCCCCCCCCCCCCCTTTAGCCAAACATTCGTATGCCGATGCGCATATTCGCATTATTATTCAGTTGTCCTAATAAAGCCTGCGAATTATATTACCTTGGTGGTGGCGGGCCCCCCTTTCCCCTCATCCTCATCCTAGCCACACCCACCAATGCAATTATGACCCTCCCCCAAGGTTGGGGAGTGGAGCGCGTGATTGATATCTCTCGCTTCCCCTTGGGTGAATTTTTTTCCCGCGGCCTTTTTTGGCTCGGATTTCTAGGTCTTTCCGAAAGAGGGCCAGGTTGAAATTATTTAGGTCTAGGGGGGAAAAGGGGTGCTGAAAAGTTAGGGGGGGGGGGGGGGGTGACGACTACCTGAAGCAACCTGTCTCTTTTTTTTTTCTTCTTGTCTGTAGCCTATTACTGGGTATATAGTTGACAAGGGAGGGGGAACGCGGGTGTGAGGATATACTACGCATGATATATGATCACTGTGGAGAGGATACTAATACCGGAATCTTAGCGGAATATACAACTTTGTACGAGTAGTTTGGGCATTTGACATGAAAGTTGCGCTCAAATCATGGTTTCCGGCATCATGTCAATCAATCCGTGCTGGGAAGGAGGGAAAAAAAGGAAACATGGGGCTTGCCAAGATGAGTCAAACTATCGTGATAGGCCTCTAATAATAGAGTATCGATAATCGCAAACATCCCTGTCGATACAGGCAACAAGCTTTTTGCAGCAAAACTGCAGCAGCTACAGGGCTAAACCACGACGAATTAGTAGCACAAGATTTGCAGTCATAGGCTCAGTGTTGGAATTATGGCAGTTGGGCCTCTTCATCTCTTCTTTTCAGTGCCAGACCACTTGTTAACACCGCGACATCTCTGGCAACATGTAACTATTTACAGTCGTTCGACTTTTGCGGTACAGGAGGGTAGCGAAAATAGAAACAGATTTTTGCCGTGTGCGGAAACAAACAAAATTATAAACATCGAGTTTTTTAAGTACAGAAATTGACAAGCGGACGCCACGTTGGAAAAAGAAAGCATCCTCCGTCTGCAGCAACAAAGTTTATTTATTAGCCGCTTGGGGGGTTTCCGGGGGGGTACGACTCCCTTTTTTTGCCCGATCTGGACAATGGCGCATCTAATCTATATCGAACCGGGTTCGTCTCCCTGGTTTCCAAAGTTCTCAAATTATACATGACATGATTGGCGTGGTACAGTTCAAAACAGTGGGAGTTCTAATGCATCCATCTGGTCATTTATTATTCTGGGCACATTCCCCAGAAAAAAAAAAGTAAAAGAAGCAAGCTCCCTCCCTGCCCCTTCGTAAGGCCGGTCGGTGGATGCCAGGTCTAGATTAATCTGCGATACAACCGTGTAGGTTTCGATTTCTGATGTCGTCCCGATTCGGCAGC